CAACTTCCGGTATGATAGGACATCTACATAAAAGAAATCATTCGACCTTAGCAGGCTATTCACAGTAGGTACTATAAGACAAAACGTGTTTAAACTGATCTATTGGCACGGTTTCTATAAATTTTTTTATACTAGAAATAATATACCAAAATTTTAACAAAAATCGCACTTAACTAAGTCGTTAAGAAAAGAGACACAAAATAGGGTTAAAACATCGCATAACATTTTTACAACAAAGAATACATTCCAATTGTGAATGGTCACCTTATTAAAATTATTTGAAGGACCCAACACATAGAATAAAAATATGGCAATTACGTACCACACAAGGACCCGAACGGTACTATAATAATCTATAATCAATAATTAATAACCTTCCCCGTTGGGCCCGTGGGCGTGATTTGACATGCATCCATTTGTTTTACTTAACCCAATGCTCTTATCCACCGCATCCTTCTAAATCGGCTTATTGTTTAATAGTAATAAATACTTTTTGAAAAATTACCGTATTATGTTTATATAATTCCAAGCTATGTATTACCTAAAACTGAATTATTATTTTCGTATAGTCTTTTAGGGGCACATTATGCATAACATTCTCCCTGTCAATAAACAGGGAGTTAGTTGTCCAGGCAGAATATTTCTTCTGAAACATTAACATTTCTATACACGCATACGGTCTATCTGATAAGAAACGTCAAACCATGACCAACCCATGAAAGCTTGCCACATTAGAGGCAGTACCGGTTGCGTGTTGCCGAAATACCGACTCCAGTTGAAGATGTTGGGTCATAATAACCAGTTAATTCTAAACCACAAACAATATATTAAAACTAGTAAGTGCTAACTAAATTTCACCAATGTAACACCACTACTGGGCATGGATCTCATAGGAGGCACCTTTAGCCTACTTTTACCAAGTGACTTTGATAATATTTCACGTTTTTTTTCTCATACACGGATGATTGAGCTTTATTCTCGAAACCGATTCTTACAAATTCAGATATCAGAAGTGGAGTTCTTACTCTTAGAAAATTATCATCATCGCTAGTATTTACTCCAAATCAGTCAATGTTAACATTACGAATATATAGTATGTATTTTCAAAACAAAATTACAATAGACAGTACAAGTTGGCACCAATATAAGTAGGTTAGTATCCAGATTTCATCATGGTATAAATGCAAAGTGCGTGGTAATTAGTAAACGTCTACAATACAACGGAAATTAAACAGTGTAGTTAGTGCTCTGCGACGAGCGTTTTAAATAAAATATATATAAATATATTATAAAAAGTTTGTGCGTAATATAACGTACGTCATAAACGCTAGTTAAACAGTTCGAACTTCATTAATTACACTTAGACACAAACTATATTTCTAAAAACCAAAGGTTCTCTTATCAATATTTCAACAGTTCTACCTGCGTAACCTTTGTCCGTAAGTAATAAAATAACTATAAGTATGTTTCAATTTGAATCTTAAAGTAAATATTTTTTTCGTTGGGATATGTTCAAAACATAGACACACTTTATAAGGGTTTGTGAACGGATACTGTGGGACTTTTACACACTAAAACCCCTTCTAACAAACCGCGAAAAAGACTAGCCGCGTCAGGGCGCATGGCATTCATCCACACCGTTCCTATACCAATATAAAATAAGTACTTAGTTCAACGTAACTTAAAAATAATATATTTTAATATTGCAAGTATGTTATTACATCAAAAACATAAGATAACAAAAAATACAAATTCTAACATTGCAGTACTAAAACAAACGCTAAAGCTTTTGACTTACTTCATGAAACCATAAATAAAATTAGTATACCTACTTGCGAGAAAATGACGTCATAATCCTAATTGATCGATCTAATAATTTATCTGCCAAATCGCAACTTGTCTGTCTGAAAACAAGTGCATGGTGCTCTAGACAGTGTGTTATGGATCAAGTGACTAATTGGCCATTATTCACAATGTCCAAACAATATCAAACATGCTCAATACCTACGTATAGGTAATTTGAAAATAACAATTTGAAATAATGCCTGCGAGGAATTCAAAAAACAATCTCAGGACAATTTACACAGCGCCATCAAACCCAAGTAAGCAAGCTAAATCTTATGGGCCCTAGATAACTGATACAAATATATATATGTACTACCTGTCCCGGCAAACGTTGTTTTGCCTTAAAATAAAAATAAAAAATTAGGGGTGGACTACAGATATAGATGTTGGCCGATTCTCAGACCTACTCAATACGCTCACAAAATTTCATGAGAATCGGTCAATCCGTTTCGGAGGAGTATGGGAACGAAAACTGTGACACGAGAATTTTATATATACGATATATATTATATATATGTGTATATTATACATAGTATATACATATATATATATATATATATATACATATTATACATAGAAACCACCCAGACCGATACAAACAATGAAACTCATTAACACAAATTTTCGTGCCGTGCGAGGAATCGAACTCGCAACTATTGGAAAGCGGTGTACGTGTAGCACACCGCCTTCCAATAGTTGCGGCGCGCTAGACCACCGAGGCCATCAAAAAGTTATTTCTATAGTTAATTAATGAATACAAGTATATTATTGCCTGAACCAGAGAGAACTAAAATTAAGGTCGAAGTAAGAAATGTGTGGTACTCCCCAATTAATTAAATAAACACATGACAAACTTAGGGCCATGCTTTAAAACGATTTGAATTTTTTACTAAATTGAAGTATCTCTTCAATTTAGCAAAATTTTCACGCCAAATCGCCACGCCATTACATATCCTATGATGTGGCGGATACGCCACTACATATCCTATGACATAGGACTTATGCTAGGTTGTAGCCAACTCATGCATAAAGGAAATGCCTCCTTTCGAAAGTACACGTCTCCTCCTGAGGAGATTAAAACCATTGCTCCTAAGTATATCCGTCAATTTTTATCTCTGACGGGTCAGAGTAGCAATTATACTCTGAAAAAAAGCGCAAGCACAATAGATTTCCGCAAGTTGTAATGTTATAGGTCTAAAACAAATAGTGATAGCCACTGATAGCCCAAACCCCTTAATAAAAAAATACACTATGATAATAATATAAATTATGATCATAGTGTATTTTTCATTCATGACAAAAGTGCTTAAGGGGGTCTTCCTATGTGACGGCCTGTTTTTTAGGGATATTTTAGGATTTTTTTTCTACGACCAGTAAATATTTAGAGCTTCAAGTTTTTTATCATTTATTAACACATATTTGGACAGTATAAATATAAAATTTCAGCTAAAAATATTCAGTCAAACTAGAGTTACAGCGCTCTGAACACCCCCGCCTCGAAAAAAAGAGCTCCCACTTCCTCCACGATTCCGGCTGATCGGCTTATCTGAAAAAAAAAAAAAAAACGGCGTTTTAATTTGTAGGCTTAAAAGCACGGAATGACCTATAATCAAATGAATATAAAAAAAAATTGGATTTTTGATAGACATTTGAAATAAAAGTTGCAAATTAGGCGTTTTTTTTTTTTGTTTTTTGCTATAAAAAAATCGAAGTTTTGAAAATTTTCGATTGATAATAGTTCATTCCATGCGTTTACATATATTGAGTGTGCCCTGTAAATTTCAAGTAATTCGGTCCAGCCGTTTCTGAGATACAATGGAGGAAAGTTTGAAAAACACAGTTTTGAGAAAAACGCGTTTAAAGTTTCAAGTCCGTTAAAAACTATTAAAATATCAACTTACTCTCAATCGGCGATGCCTGGTCCATAGAGTATTCCTTCCTCTTCCTCGTGAAACTCTTTTAAAGCAGATTGTTCAGCTCTTGAGTCAATCCTGGCTTGTTTAACGACATCACTTACGCGCCGCTCAGAGCGTAAGATTCGCTTTTCATCCCGTTTCTCAACATACGCTTGGGCTTCACGACCAACAGGGCATCCCATAATCGACATAACTTTTAAAATACCTTGAAAACCTTCATTAAAGATAATAACTGCTAAGTAGCTAGCAATTTCAACAACTTTGGGACCAGAATGAAGATGTTTAGGAGCGAAAGTCCAAATCAAAGAATTCAAAGATTCGTTATTGTTTTGTGTCTCTGCTCCTAAACAACGAATTAATAATTCGTCTTTCGATAAATCTTCGAAAACCGGTTTGATAGCTTCTTGGACTTGCGGAATTAGAGGTGGTTTATCGTGATGAAATTGGTCCAGTTCATTATTAGCTTCAGCCTTACGCCATTTACACCAACTGTCTTCGCCTTCTGGACAAAATTGATGCTGAGGGTTTTCATCAGAAGAACATTTGTGATAGTACGTTGCCCAAACTTCCTTTCTCATATCTTCAAGCGAATCTGGATGGCGTCGAATTGCTAATCCGTAGAATTTTGTAATTTCTTGGATAACTTTATCAGTAAGTTTACCTGCTCCTTTTCCTTTATTGGTTTTATCCTTTTTAACAGCCCGAAGTCTGTAGAAACGTGTCTAAACTTGTATAAACAAATATATTAATAAAAGGGAGGCCAGGTATAAAGCCGACGGTACACAATAGGCCCGGTCTCTAACTGCCAATTCACCGCTCCGAACCGCTCTTTCTTTTACCTGCTGTATCTTTAAAACGACTTCGAATTTTCTAAAATCGCTTTACTACCGTATTCTAGACATGTTAAGGGAGCAATTTATGAAAAAAAAAAAATCGATTTTTTCAACCCATCACATAGGAAGACCCCCTTAAAAATGTTTGCCAAATATAATTATACATATATACACAAAGATCAACCGTCAATAGCCGCCGCAACTCCAGGAGGAATTCCAAGTGCGTTGTCAACCTTTTAAGAAGAAATAAGCTCTTTTTTTAAAGTTTTTTATATCAATATAATATTTACTTATGTAATATTTAGTTCTAACACCAAGGATTTTGTAAATCAGTACCATGCTTATAAATTGACTAAACACTCTATTATATTATTAATAATGATGTTTATTTTTAACAAATGTACACATATAATAACAATAATATCGGTAACATATAATTAAGTATAAATATAACATTTTCGTACATTCATTTGTCCCCATGAACATTAACTTTATTTGATTATATAAAAATTTCTAAAATAAATGTAGCTTAGGTCACTCCTTATGTTATAAGCTATCTGCAAGGGATAGTTCCGTCATTTTTGGTACATCCATTTCAATGATTAGCAAAAACAAATGGAGAAATAGATAGACTTTTGATAATAATGTACACTAATATTTCAAAGTACTTAAATTCACTAAACTAATTAAGTTGAAACACAAAAATTCCAAATATCTGGTTTAACTGTCCATGTTTTAAAAAAGTTATTTTTCACAATAACCCAATTCTTCTCATATGTTGTTGCTTTTGCCTTCATTTGATTGTATGGAATATCAACTAGGTTATTATTGAAAAGTTTTTCTTTGAGGATCTCATTCTTTTCTAGATGATACTGGAATCTTCGATAAAGATTACACTTGCTGATACAGAGTGACCGTGTAATTATCTTTGCTGATTTCTTTGTTACTCCCAATTTTTGTCCATTTACGGCCACTTCAGAGCTCCTTAAAAAAATTATCATGGAAATCATAAGAGAACAACAAATAGTCTTGCAAATAATTCCCTATTTAAAGTATGTTTTAAAACTGTGTCCCTAAATGAGTAAAGTTAATCAGAGTAATTATTAAATTAGAGTAAACCACCCAACCAATGGAGTAAACTAATAAACAAATATGTATAATATATCAGTTCCTATTATTAATATGCACATCTTGGTTTACTGTTGTGGAACTATTTTAAACAAGAAATTGTATCTTATACTGATATATTCTCAAAGTAATAACATATTATACCAAAAAATATTTAAACAAACTCAGAATTATATTATAATTATTACAGAAAAAGAGGCTCAATTTATATTTGAACAACCCACAACAACAACATTCCTACAAATAAAAAGAAATATATAAGAACTTACTGTTTTTCACCTTTAATCCACACTATACTACCAGAAGCAGGTCTTGAATGATTTTCTGTTTTTATGTGTGGAAATATAACAGAACTTTGATAAATCTTCGGAATATTTTTTGTTATTATTACATTATCTAAATTTCTACACAGGAAAGCTCTTCTCAATGACAGTTCTGAGTATGGCACACCACCGCCAAATATAAAAGAACTAATATATATAGGTTCAACTAAACACAAATTTAATAGCCGGCCTTGTATACCCAAATGAATCCACTTGGCTATTTTATCACTGCAAGACACAGACAATGTTCTATCTCCCCGCCCAGGTTTTGTACGTACTTGCCCAACTATGTGATAATTTTGACCAGCCTCTTTAGGATCCTGATCGGAATCAGGAAGGCATTTTGCACCAGTCCTATGTATGTCGAATTCTAATCTTTGTTTTTTTATTGCTGTATCACATATACTGTCTTCAGCATCACGCTTCTTACACAAAATATCTCCAATATACGCCTCATCTGCATCCTTAGGCAGAATTGAACCATCTCCACAAGGCAACTGTGATGAATAAAAAATAAAAGTTATATTTCTTTTTAATCGAAAAAGCCCATCTTCATGTATAAATATTGAACTTTTATTTTCTATAGCACTATCAATGTTATCATACAAATAAACTAAAAATCCTCGTCTCGCAAACACCTCTGCATGACTATCATTCAATATATCCCCTGATGGAGACATTTTATTGGCTCCAATGCATTTGGAACCGGTACCTAAAGATACCACATGAAAATTGTTACTTTCAGTATCATATAGCACTATACAAGATATCACAGTCCATTCGTCTTCAATTGGTTTTCCTGTTTTCGGTAATATTCTGAACAAATTTAGGCACTGCTGAGCAATTGCATCAACTTGTGTGTTTTGAAGGTTAGACATTCCAGAATTCATATAATCAGCGGTATTAAATATTTTAAACGAACGAACACAGTAATAATTTATTTTTTATTATAAAATTTTTAATTTTCAAATAAGAACATAATAATAAAAATAAATAAACATCTCAAAAGACTGTGTTATGACGTTTGAAAATACAGATTTGACAATCCAAAGTCTTTCTGTCAATCTCATTGTCAAACAAGAAATTCATACACTGCAATTCCCTTTGTCTGTACATTTACTGGAATTTAATTAATAATTGGTAACATTATTGTGTAACAATGGTTTCACTAATAAATATACTCACTGATACAAGTATTGTATCACTGATACAAGTAGTGTATCAGTGAGTGTAGTACATAATGTAATTTGTTACAAAATTATCGTAGAAAGAACACAGTGAAGAGTACATATTCGGTACATAAAAAGTGCGGTAAAATTACCTCATTACTGTATATTTTTTTTTATGATAATGGAATGATGCACCCGTCTGCGCTTACGATTTACTCTGGCGATAAAATGAGCATAAAGTCGATTAAAAAATCTTGGCAAATGGCAATTTACCACGGCGGTTTTCAGGGGGAAGGAGGAAGGAGTTGTAGTGTTATATAGTGAATTTGCGGATTTCAATGCATTTATGTACATATTTTACAGCTTCTCCGAGTCGCTGTAGTCAAGGTTTCGACGTAGGTAATCACTATGATACGATCATAACCATGTTGCATGTAAGTAAGCCGCTAAGGAAACTAAAGAACGGCTCATTTGTTTTCTGCGGACATAAAGAACTAGAACAAAACTTTATAATGACACTTTATTTTGTTTTAACCTGCCCTACTGTAAAACCAAGCACTCATATCACGATACCAGAAAACCGGGAAAACATAAAATGAACTGTATTAGTCCAGCTTTGAGTCTGTTTTGACCTGTACTGAAATCATACGATACATATGATAAGTACAACTTAGTTACAAAGGCACTACTAAACCATCCATTACTTTACAGTCCCAAATAATGTTATTTAATACTTGTATATCAATGAGTTTACTCCTATTATTTAATAACTCCTATTATAAAACATGTTTCTAATTGCTATTCATAATTGACACCTGTAGCTTATTTAGTAGGTAATCATGTTTGGTGAAATTGCAATTAATAAATATCGGAAAGCCTTAATCAATATAAAAACTGGCACGTCAGATTTATTGCCTCTTGTGCCGATTGTGCGCTATTTGGTGAAAGTTGATGTCCCATTGCAAATAGTTGTAATTATAATAAATATCTAGTTATGACGAGCTATGGATTCAAATAGAAATGCTTAGTGAAATGCTGACAAATTATTTTTTATATTCGCTACAATGTTCAAGTGATGGTTTTCTCTTAAGATGATTGTATAGTGATCCCGCCCGCGCGTAGTGGTATAGACTGATAGAATAATAATGAAAAATGTAACGTTAAATTCATGGATCGCATCGTCGTGATCGAATCACGATGATTTCCAGATTAGTAATCAGCACGGTGGCCAATTTGAGATAGAACCTACTCATATAGGTTACGAGCTTTAGCTGCTAAATGCCTCATTACTGATAAACCTCCACCGCGTTATCTAATTTTATTTGCACTAATGCCGTTTCAAATGTGTTTCAATTTTTATTAATATTTATTTATTTTAGTAAACAACTAAATTTAAACTGTGTTAATCCGACTTCCCAATGGAAAAGGCCCCAGTAATAAGCATATAAAGTATGGCGTTTGACCAATAACTATGTATGTGTTTGAACTTGTATATTGCATGATAACATACGAGTACAGTCTGTCAAAATTTATTATATATATATTTTTAATCTGACATTCAAAGTAGACAAGTAACCGGAGCAAAGTGTGTGACATAAGTAGATACCTGCGTAAAGTTATAATAAAGAAAGTATAATATTTATCAACATATACAAAATGAACGAAAATATTTCACAGAGCATAACAGTTGATAACCATCTCCCTTCGGAAATCAGTTGATACGAGTACTATCGACAACCATAGACCTCATTGAGCACATTCATCATAACTTGCCGGACACGGATATTACAGTTCCCCATTGCAGCGTTCAGTGGGCGTTGATGAAAGAGGGTTGTTTGTCATTCCACACCTCATTACCGGCCAAGATGACAGGCACAATCTCAACAGTAATTTAAATATCAAAGCTCATGTTACCCGCCATTCTAACATTCAAATCCAAAAGAAGGTGGGCATGTACATACCTTCTCTTCGCATATTTTAAATTCAGTATCAGATAAAATCGATATTGTTTGTGGTAAAAAAAGTATTTAGCATATAAAGTATGGCGTTTGACCAAACCGAATCTTAAACTTATCTACGAGTATGTACTGTATTGAATATATTTCTATTCAACGTAATATCCAAGAAAAAAAGGTACCGACTAGTATTGTACTATCTATTAATTCCCGGAATGCAAAGACATTGATGGGGATCATTGTTTACCATACGAAAAGGCACTACATATACACATACATACATATACTTATTTAAGGTACAGTTATGTTCAGTTTATCCTTTAAAAAAGAAATAAGTGCATCTACTATCATAAGATGCACTTATTTCGCTCTGTAGAATAAATTAAATCTACTACTGTTAGGCTGAAAAAACAATACAGATCAATAATTAAATCATGACGTTTTGAGTTGGGCCACAATGACGTCATGTCGCTCAATAGCCATATCATACCTACCTCTTTCATTCTCAAACAGTGGATGACAACCAAGAACAGGAATTCTATTGTAACCCGTTAATATTACATTATTCTTGACCATCACAAAGAAACGGATCAAAATGTTCCAATAGAAAATGTTGTCTGCAGGTCTCACCTATTTCAGTCTCTAAATAAATTGTGTTGTAAGACGTGTTTAAGTTTTTGCGACAGTTACCTTTCAGTATCAAGTGAGCTGTCTGTGAGTTTGATTGCCATTATAACTGATATAAAAGATTCTTTAAACTTGATTCGTTCAAGTTTAGTTAAGAAACACGTTAGACCGAACGGTGTCAAATTGTTTCTTAAATAGATATTTACAGTTCAACAACATAATTTTGAACACTTTCATGTTTTCATAATCACCAAATTACACCAATATTATGTTTGCAGCCCAATAAAATTACGGGTCTGGCAAACAATTTGCGAGCTGTAATGACTTCAAAATTAAAAGGACCCAAGAGCATATTAACCGTCATTTGCTAGGGTCTTCAAACCCAAGCTCAGTGCTTAAATTACATGAGGTGTAAGCTTCCTGTGGAATTATTGGAAAATCGCCAAATCATTGCGTTAGTAGGTAACTACGTCGTAATAAAAGACTACAGAGAGAAGCACTCTATAAAGACCTCTTAGTACCTATATCATTTCACATTAGTAGGAAGAAACAACTGTATGTGCTGCCAGTTAATAGGATTGTACAACAACTAGGAACAAATATGTGCTTTCTGTCACAGAGGAAATATTTCATAAACATCACGACGTGACCTCATGCTCATTTTATCGTCCTCCACTGGTGTCCCGCCAACGTATACCGTCATCGCAGGCGGGTGTATCATTCCATTACCATCCATAAAGAAATAGGTATTTATTTTAATCAATAAAAAATATTAGGAACTGATATAAATCCCCAACTACTTCATACTTAATTGACCACACCGACATAGTGTTATCGTGTGACTCATTCGCAACAGTTGTTTGATTTGTGGTGAGTTCAAATTTATAGAACACAGCACAATAAAAAAGTTATAATATCTCACATTTCCTATTAACCATAAATATAGGCTGATTGTAAACAAATAGATAAACCGAGTATTTAAATAAAAATTTTGCCGAAGGCAATCGCCGCGGTGAAAGGAAAGGAAACAAAACATGAAGGTGATCATTTCCTGCTGATTTATTTATATATATACCTAACAGCTTATTTATATTTGCTCTATAACTTAATCTAGTATGTCTTCCGCATGTTTTTAAATTAACACATTTTATTAATACTATAATTTACGATTGAAAGCATAATTATAGATTGGTAAAGATTTAGTAATTTCTTAAATCATATTGATAACAATATAACATTTAATACGTTTATTAAGCAATTATATAATTAAAATAAGCAATGAATACTAAGTATGCATCTACCTATTTATATATACCCAGAAATAGAGTTATTTATTTTCTACGACTTTTACTACCTACAGATAGTGTCAAAGTATAATAAAAGCTTACCTACACTTACGTATATTATACATGTGACGTAGGAAAAAGGAAAGCAAAAATGAGAAATTGTAATTGCTAATAAGCCTTTATGCATAAAAAAATTAATGAATGAATATTGCAGCGTAGGTAGCTGCATATACCTCCTATCAAATATAAAAGTACAGTGGACCCGCGGTAATCCGGCCCCTGTCTAATCCGGCCCCCCTTGTAATCCGACATTATCTATTATTTGTTATTGAATATTACTTTGACAATATACTTCAGAGTGCATATACATACATACATATATAACATAGAATCTTATCACTGGATCTGTAATTTGTCGGATTACAAGATACTCTTTTGTAAAAAATTCCGGACTATAAGCAGAGGACCCTTAAGCAGCACTCTATAATATACATAATCCGACAAATACGATGGTCCGACACTGCCCTGCAAAACGTTTGTCGGATAACCGGGGGTCCACTGTATATGTATATAATATAAAGAATCATCATTGGATCTATAATTTGTCGGATTACAAGGTACTCTTTTGTAAAAAAATTCGGACTATAAGGGGTCTTAGGCAGTACTCTATAATCCGACAAATTCGATAGTCCGACACTGCCCTGCAAAATGATTGTCGGACTACCGGGGGTCCACTGTATATGCATAAAATATGAATCAACTCAAATGAAATTAGCCAATTTACGTTACTACAAACGAACTCCATTTAGTCGAAACTGTTTGTTGTACCTGCAGGTACATATTTAAAGTGCTGTGCACTGCAGGGGTCGAAGTCGGCCGACTATTTCAATTTGTATGATTGCATAATTTCGGAAACTTTAAATTATTCATATTGCATTATGAATGACGCACAAAAGTGCAGATGACAGATAAAGTAACAACTTCCCAAATATTGCGTAAGCGACCTTGTAGTTCAGTTTGCAATTGTGAATTGAAACACATTCTTGTTTTTATCTAATATACACCGTCAGGGACCTGACAGGAGAGTATTTTGTCATGTCTAGTTTACTTATACCTAATATATTCCTACCTAAATATTTTTATTTATCAAGTATTATATTTAACATTGCGTAATATTAACTATGCTGAAGATATATCTAATATTATGAATAGTGTATGTTATTCAGACTATACAGACTGACAATTTAAAAAACTATCTTTGCCTGAATATTTCCTTTCCTACTTGTTTTTCTGCAATACCAAAACACAAGAGTGTGTGATAGATATAAAAATAAGAAATTCTAGTAGATTGGTAAGTAGTATCACATGTAGTAATATACTCATGTACCTATTAGGCAAAAAACAGATCTTGAAATACTTAAAACATGTTAACTAATAAGAGTCAACAAACTATGTTTTCCAATGTTATATGGTACTTATTTTAATAGGAATCATAAAAATCATCTACTATTCCGGGCTTATTCTATATATTTAACGAGAAGCTCTGAATAACGTTAATGTTCAATTTAATGGTCGATGCACTTTCATTTAGTTCATAATGCACCTACTCGTGTATCTAATTGTCATACAAAAGATAAACAGCTCTATATTGACAACAAATGCCGTGACATTGGCAGTGGCCTTGATACGCATTATGACAAAGTGTATTGTGATGCAGTCATATGTAGAAGTTAACTGAGATCAAATGATCTAATGAAAGTGCAATATGTAACACATAAAGAATTTCATCCAATATTAGCTACGGTAAGTACGTCAAATGTGAATATTGCTTCATTCTATGAGAATAGTATGTTTTACTGGCTGTAACTTACGGCACTGTGTCGTAGAGTATGTACAACATGTGTTACCGTACTAGATCATAATGTTGTTATAATAATTTATCTGCTGGTGATAGATTTTTTAAAAACCGTATTTTTTCATTATTATTTATAACCAAACACAAAAAATGTAAACTCGATATTGTTTCATCTTACATTTTTCTACCACTTCAGTTTGGCAAAAAGCACAATAGATCTATGTAAGTAGGTCGCAGTGCTACAGGCGCTACAAACATCTGACAATAGCCAAAACAACCCAATAAAAAAATTAAAAACATTTTTCTTCGTAACATAGATTCGACTTCCGCCTCATTGTTTTCTATTTGAAATATTATTTTCATATTAATAATGTAATATTATAATAATTATTTGTAACAAAACTACAGAAAGTCATTTGAACTTCAATTCTATATTTCTTTTCTATAACAAAGTCTCAAAAAAATTATGTGCTTTTATGTTTTAGTTGTGTATGCTACTTCTAACTTAACAAATAGCGTGACTTCTATCACTAGCATTGGTATTTATAGAAATACCAAATTATATAAAAGCATTTTGTTGTACCTACTTCTGAGTTCCAATAGTGGTGATAACAAATCGGAATCGTGCCGGACTCGCATTAGCACGCGGCACGTTCCGCCGAGCTCAGGATCTGATAGGTAATGCCCCAACTATAATAGCTGAGGCATTATATGTCTGCTTACTACTACACTATAAATTGCAATTATGTATCATAATAATAAAGCCCTTTATTCTAAAGATTTTAAATAAAATATAGATATATTTTTATAATAGATCTCCAATATCAGTGTGCCGTTTGGTATAGCCCTTCTCTAGCGACTCCATTTGAGTCTGTCATCTGTAACTCTTCTCCATTGTGTGCCCACTGTTGACTTCAACTCGTCTTTCCATTTCATCAAATGCCTACCCCTCTTTCTCTTTCCGTTTCTAGGATACCATTCCGTTATTGTTCTACTCCGTTTTGCCTTATCATGCATCATATGGCCAGCCCATCGTCAACTTCGTCTTCAATCTAAGATCATTGCATACATAGATACATTGCAATTACAATTTTAAAATGTATTATTTAAAATGTGTAAAAGGATTCACTACAATGACGGACTAAGTAATGCTTATAGTGTTTTACTGATCCTAAAAAGATTCAAAGTCAACAATTAGGCGAGTAGGTAGTCCACAAAACATTCAATTTTTAAGGATCTTTAAAGAAAGCAATTACTTAATACCCAATATACGATGTTCTTTACACATGGTAACCATAGTTGATATCTGCAACAAAAACGCAGTGCTCGCCACGCCCTATGCTACTCGATATGGACCACTGAATCGATACTGGTAACTGCAACAGGTTGCTATAGCACGAAACGGAAGTTGTTGTTTTTTATTTTTACTATTTTTAAGATCTAGTACATAGGTAGGTACATAAATAATTACTTATACCACATTCCTTACACAACTTCGATGTTACGAAATTATTTGTAGGTATACAAGGCCATATCTTTATATTTTTAAGGCCATATCTGTATATTTAGAAATAGACTTATTACACTGTAGAAGGATTCGCTATTACAAAGCAAAATCCTAACGTAAAAGATTACATGGCCACGTATAGGTGATAATAGAAACAGCATGTCGCATGTAAATACAAAAATTTCATTATGTAATGTTCATATTCAGTTCCTTATTGCAATCTTTATATTCAATTGGGATCGCGATTTTCTATAAACCATTTGTAAGTTCTATATGGTTCTCAATTATAACTTAATAAAGTGATTCGTTGCAAATTTATAGATTTTATCTGTATTATATGAGAATATTTAGTACTTTACATAATTCACTCCCAGATTGCAGTTTTGATTTTAATACATAATGATATGAAGCTGTGGATTCAAATTAACGAAGATTGTCTTTTGTAACCGAAAGTCGAAATTCCAGCAATATAACTATTACAGAATATAATGGTAACATTATCAGTTTTGAATATTGTAATGCATAACTTGAAGTACTTTTAGCTATGTAAGTTCTTGCAATTTGCAGCAATTAGATAGTTTACAACGGAACAGTGCGCCGGTAAGAAATTGCCTTTAATAAACTTGTAATGTAATAAAGTTATAGTGCTCCGCCTAGAGTCATCCAGCCATATTACACTATGCATCTATTGAAATGAAATTGTCAGATTGTTGCTTCAACACAGCTTGTAGATAGTTTCTTTGAAAAATAAAACTCACCTAATTTTACCACTAACTGCTAGCTTTATAGGGTGTATCCGGTTTGAAATATGAAATATGGCAGTAAAATTGCTGGAGTGTGGAGATATAGCACTTCAATCTTAAACCCTTGAGGAATAGGAATGTAAGGGAGATACCAAAAACATCACAATGCATTTTGTGTCGTCCACAGTGCTGTTTAATTGTTCGTTTTTATATATATTTTTGGTGTCTCATAGGCTGTAAGCTTCTTTGAATTATTAATTGGCTATTATGTACAGATTTAAAAAAACATATATAGTGTCTGCTCGCAATTTAAAATTAAAATTTTTTATGTGTATGGAAGTATAAATAGTAGCTACAACAAAATTATTTTAATTCATTTCTATCTGTTTGTTCGTGTCGTTGGCGTGTGGTGTCGCTGTAAGAATAGCACTACCCCCTCTCTTCCCGTGGGTGTCGTAAAAGGCGACTAAGGGATTCATCGACCAGTGGACGGGCAGCAGCGTTCTACTGAGTACTGCGATTACCAACCCTCCCAAATGAATTTACACCCAAGGCCCCGGCCCCCAGTCCCCGGCGGCCCCGCTAGTCTTGACCATGGTAGCGGTCATGGAAACGGCGGGGCAGGGGGTGCGAAGAATCTCCGGGTAAGACCGGGCTACCACAAACGACGACGGAACAGAGACGTGGTCGCTAACTATGGGCCCCATCAACAAGCTCAGAGTACTTAGAGGGCAATGGAGAGGGCTATGCTCGGAGTTACTCTGCGTGATCGAATCAGAAATGAGGAGATCCGCAGAAGAACCAGAGCGACCGACATAGCCCGAAGAATTGCGACTCTGAAGTGACAATAGGCAGGGCACATAGCTCGTAGGACAGATGGCCGTTGGGGCAGTAAAGTCCTCGAATGGCGACCACGGACCGGAAGACGCAGCGTGGGGAGGCCTCCAGCAAGGTGGATCTGGTCAAGATCGCTGGAAGGCATTGGATGCGAGCAGCGCAGGACCGATCGTCGTGGAGATCTTTGGGGGAGGCCTATGTCCAGCAGTGGACGTCTTCCGGGCTGCAATGATGATCTGTTTGTTCTTGCCAATCTCAGAAATCGCTGAATTAATTTTGACAGGATTTTGGACTCAGAACACGGTAATTTTGAAACAGAGAGTTGGAAATACAGTCACTGACAGTCACTGTGACTGATAGCTAACGAATATTGAACTGACATGACATGAGTCAGTCGAGTCATCTGTAATTTGACTGAAAAATGATACAAGTGCAATGATAAATATTACTTATTACATTATTTTTGAATTATTCAAATATATCTAAATATTAAACCATGAGCAGCTTAAGAAAATTTGTAAGTAGTCTTATAAAAAAATAATTCTAAGAGTTTATTGTTATTCAAATTATTCTGTATAAAGAAATACGGTATATTACAGGTTCTTCAGAGCTTTAAAAAACTGCATCGTACTAGGATCAAAGTATTTGAGGGTGATGAAAAAGCCTTGACTGCAGCAAGAATCAAAATCAATGACGAATACCAAAAAAACAAACATGTTACTGATGAAGTTGCGATCAAAGCTGTAAGTTAAAATATATCCATTGTGGATATATTTACTAGAAATTTATTACAAATCTCTATAACCAGCCCATTAGTCTGCTATTACCGCTCGGATCATGCAGCTTGATATAATGTTTTGTCGAGTTTATCTGGGAACTTACTAGGAATACCTAAAACTAGCATTTTACAAACTTAATTGCCTGCCTGAATGTGGTCTGTAGTAGAATTGATAGTGTACATGAAACAACCATAAAAAAAACTGGTATACTATACACATCCTCATGCTTACATACCACAGGTTCCAAATAAGTACTATAAATAGATTTTTATTTCCTTTATAAGTAATTATGTATGCACAAGTAAATGTATTAACATACTCAGGTATTTCCTCTTAAATTGAAAACCCTAAATTTAGGGGTATATAACCCCTAAATTTAGGCCTGCTATTTTTGTTCTTGCAAAGATAAAAATACTAGTATGGATATTTAATTTTCATTATGATTGGACGAATGCCATAAAAAATATTTATCATTAATAGTTGCTAGAATATAGGACAGTGACTGTGACGAACAAGCTTCTAACAGAAGAATTCCATTTTCTCTTTTTAGTTTAGAACCCTTATGAAGAATTGTCTATTAACAAAGGCCATTCAAACTCTCAAGCTCAATAAAATGTAATAACACATTTGCCTTGGCAGTTCAAATTTGTCTATTTTCTAAGATTTACATAGTTAAAAAATAATGTGATTGTCAATAGTACATGACAAATTAACACATCCACAATAAACTGATATTAGTTAAGTACATAAATTTCTGGGTAATATTATTATAAGTATTTCAAATTTTAGTAATATTTGTATTTATGATATTTATTGTTTGTTCATCCCTCAGGATGTTATAAGCATTGGTTGCTATGCCCCACCATCTTTGGAAATGTGCCAATTGAATACTGTCATTGGCACCAGTGGTCTGGTCAGAATTTCATAATGTTTGCTAATTGTATGAGAATAAAATACAAATACAAAAACAATAATATAAAAACCATAGATAGAAAATAAATCTAACAATGAATATAGGAATATTACTCACTGCAATATTAATATATGGAATAGTGCACCCACCTATGCTAACATTATATGCTGGCAGAACACCAGATCAGGTCAAATAGTACATGATAGTACTACCATAAATGCACATTGTTAGCAATGGGGGTTATTATCATACACCATATACTAACAATTTCTTTCACCACCCTTCAAGAGGAATTAATACATGAATTTAGATATTACTGTTCATATTAAAGACAGTCAGAAGTTACAATTGTTAGTTACTGATACTGACTAGTTGTAAGCCAGATTTAAGTAGTAGTAGTAGTAAGCTTTGTTTAATTTTGACTCCTAGATGATAAAATTTGGTGAGGATGTTGAGAGGGAACTTAAAACACAAGTAATTCAAGCACGAGAAATCAAACCTGGTGTTTTTGGTAAGTTACTTTGTTTATATAATATATAAAATTTTCACATCAATGTTTACTAAACTGGCTTACCTAGTTTTGATGAAATTTTATATGTATACTGGGCTTGTTTGATCATAACTTCTTATGTATTTATTGTATCACTTAGTGATAAAGGTGGACTCCTAAATTTTCCACCCTTCCTCCACTAACCCCTATTTTTTATTAGTGATAATAAAACATTTGCTAGGACAGCTAGTTATTGTATTATGTGTAATTAATAGATTTTATTTTAAGATACATTGCAGTGTCAGAGAGAAAGAAAATATTATATAGTACATATAATAAAAGTTATTCAGTTGTAATTCAACTTATATATATTGTTAAAGTGTTATTATCCTGTTTATTATAGAGGCAAGAATAACTGAAGACACATTAAAATTAGAGAATATGCCATATAATCCAAATGCAGTTACAGAAGATGGAACACCAAGACCTGAAACATGTTGCCAGGACAACGCTCAAACCAAAGGAAATATAAGCTAAAATTAATTATAGTCATAGAGAATATTACATTTTTGTCTGAATATTGTAGGTCACTTGTTTTGTTTTCTTTATATTATTATATTTTAGTTATCTGTTGTTTTTATTATTTAATACACTATAGAATGTTTGTAGCAGTTTTACTATAAACATGTGAAAAATGAAAATAATCTGTATCTATAAGAATAGATGGAATATGTTTAGAATTTCTAACGATTACAACAAACGTTTCTGAAAGTTCATGATTGCCTAAAACAGATGATGTTGAATGATTTCTTAAAACTAATACTTAGTTAAAATCATGTTTTAAGTAATCAATATTTGTTCCTGATATGTAGTACTATAACAGATGGATAGATAAATTAGTACAGTTCTGAAATTTAAATAATCATTATGTAAATCTCACTATATGTATATACTATATACTTAAAATGTTCAAATCAACAATAATAGTTATTCCAGTACAGAAATCCAGTAGAAATTTATAAAGGAAGACACATTTAATAACCACTATTTTATTAAAGAATACAATGGGCTACAATAAATAACAGATTTTATGTCTAACAATAAATTCATTTGCCTTTTTAATATTTAGTTCTTAAGTGCTCCTGTAGTATCTGGTGGAATGCCTAGTTCCTCATCTGTCCAAGTACTAGGATCAATATAGGTGAATTCACCCTGTAAAAAAACATTATTAATTAGAATTAACATTGTTATTTACTAAAGTGAGTGTTGACTGTAGAAAAAGTACTCTATAGATATCCTGGCCAGTGTAACCTGTGCTTCAATCAAAAAAATCAAAGAAATATGTGTTTTAGTGTGACGAAAATGTGGAAAAGGGCAATTACCATCTGAACAAGCTTGTGAGAAATTTTAATGTAAATATTATCACAATTTAAATTATTTTATTATTATTATTATTAATGCCAATTGACATTAACAAAATGTAGATGGGTCAGTGTCTTCTCAGAGCACAAATAAGAATATTGAGAATAAATCAAAGTGTTTTCACTGTGGAAAACCATATAGAATGCAGGTTCCATGGGAGTAAATATCATCATTGTGGGAAGATTGGCGACAAAGAGGTAGCTTACTTATTGAAGTCCAACAAAGGTAAGTATCATTCAGAATGTAATAAGACATATGAGGTAGGTAATAGCATTAGGCAAGAGAAAAAATCCTCTTGTGGTTACAGTATTTTTTAATGGAATGAATTACTGATGAAATTTAAGGACAAAGAGAGCTTTGTTAATACTTACCTCCACCTACATTATACTCCAAGACAAAGATCTCAAGTAGAATGTAGTATGACCAATGAACCGCCTAATTGAAACGGACCAATCAAAGTAGTCAACATAAGTCATTCGGGAATAGTAATTATTTTAGATATCTAATAAACAGATACTCTTTACTCAAACTTTTAATACAAATTAGGAGTTGTTATATATTTTTATGGATAACACTAAAGGACCACTAGAGTATAACATCAACCCATCTACTCTTAATATTAGTAAAATACTTACAAAGACATGTTCTGGCTCAGTTGCAAGATGATAGAGTATCCAAAACCAACATAGTCCACCAAGTCCATTAGCTAGATTTGTAATTTTCTTAGAAGGCATCGGCGGAGGCACTCTATATGTCCATACTCTGCAAAAAATATATATATAGATTTTCTACAGAGCAGCTTTTTATAATTTTTACTGTTAGCCCTAAACATATGGTAAATTTAAATAGTATGCCAGACAGCGTGAATGGCTCCTCATATGAAAGTATATATATATATATAAGTATAAAGTATATTTTATTTTGTATAGATCTCAATAGAGAAAATGTATAATATTCCTTTCTCACTTAAGAGAATCTGTGAATAATTAATTACTGTTGATAAAGGCACAATACATATTTATTACATTGAACAAAAAAATATGAATTATTACCATATTTCTAACCAGCACAGTTTTGAAAAATTATCAAACTCTTTACAAATACAATTATGTGATGCAATTTCACAATCTAATTTATTCCTTATTTTCTAAACAATATTATAAATGGGACAGTTTGTGAGTATGGATGGATGGACATTTGTTATATGTTTATTCAAAAACTACTAAATGGATTTTGATGGAACTATATACAGTATATAACTTATAACTTCAGAATAACACATAATGTATAATTTAAAGAGATGCTATGTAAATTGAGCGAAAAATAATTATAAATGACAAATAAGTGTGATGCACAGTTACCTAATTTTATTTATTCACTTAACATCAACGTGGATAAATGTGGTGGTGGTAGTGGTAGCAGTGGTGTACATAATCACACTAATAATATATAGGCCAATATTCACATTACATTAACAACTGTTGTGCTACATGTATCCGACATGTGATGGTTAAGATATTGCCAAGATGCTGCGGCACCCATCTAAATATATATAGTACAGTATACCCAGAGTTTAGGAAATAGATAGAGCTCAATATCAATTTCATCGGTAATTACCACAAAATATCCACACAAATAATAAAATACCCATCACATCACGTATGACATAACAAATTATTTACCCGTGTCCTGCGTTTCTTTTTGATTGTTTCATGTTTTCGGCTACATTTTTTAAATTCTGTAATAAAATAGCTCTTGAAGTAAGAGTTCTTGTCAGCATTCTAAGAAACAAAATATTCGCCGAGAATTCAAGCAAGAATAAAAATACAAATAGGACAATTTAGTCAAATCTAGACATGTAGATGTTCATCGATGTATAAGAAACATCGATATTTAGGCGAAAAACATCGATAAGATTGAGTAAAAAACAAGAACGGAAACGAATAACTCAAAAACCTCTAAGGATAAATAAATGGAAATACCATTAAAACAAATAGGATATTCAGTTGCATCCTATGTTAACTACTACTGAAATGTCTATGTTTTCTGAATACAAATAAATCAATCGAAATAAGTCAAAACTCGATATATGTGCAATATCAAAAATAGTGCAACCAATGTAATATTAATTATGGTTTTAGTCGATTATCGAAAGCCATAAGTTTATTTATAAATAAAAACAATTCTATAATACAATAATAAAATAAAGGGCATTGGTATGTGAATTACAGAAAAAGCCACAGTTTTAGCTTTTGACCACAGTACAGAGAAAACAATGTAAAACGAAATATTGGTTTTGTTATGTATTCTTCACTACTTCAAAAATGGTTATATGAAACTCTTGTGCCTACACTTGAGATCCTTCCATTAGAGTACGTTACGTACACGTACTTCACTAACATAGATATAAATTAAGTGTAAAATCAGCCTACGTCGTGACTCCGCGTCGATTGTACGCCTTATTAATAAATCCTGTAGCACACTACCAATAAACTTAATAATGTCTAATATATAGTACTTTTATTTACCGGTATATTCACTACCTACATACTACAATAAATAATATATTATATAGCGCCACGTCATCACAACATATATAACCTTACAGTGATGAGCTGATGAGGAACCACCGCGTTACATTTTAATCACTAAAATCGTGATATTATTTGCTAAATCCGGTCATCCTATAATAAATAGATAATTCATAATCACTGAACAACGAAGTAGCTGAGTTCTGTATTTATAATAATGAACTTGCTACAACATTGTGGTTATATTGTACAAAAAAGTAAAAAAAAAAAAACTTAAAAGGCATTAAAACATCATAAAAAATAAATATTGCTAAAATCAACTCATCACGCAGTAGAATTATGGCTGGTAAAATTTATCCAAATCCGTAAATCTTTTTATTAAAAAAATAAGACACTTGTCAGGTGTCAGTGCAGTCAGCTGTCAATATAAAATTGTATATTATTTTTTATTTAGTCCATATTTTTAAAGCACTATTTTTAATTTATTAATTAACATTATAATTTTATTTGGTAGGATGATGTTATTTCATATTATACGACAAATTTATTAGACATCTTATATTATTATCTTCAATAGAAAAATTGTTCAACAGCAATAATAACAAAGTATTAATATTCAACAAAACCATTGTTTTATAATTTAATAAACAAGTGAATAGCGTATATCTGTTGAATAATGTTGCATAATAAATTGTCAAATGCATTAATACAATGAATTCCAGTTGGAAACTAAGTAAATAATAACATAACATTAATTTTGAATTTTACTGGAATGAAAAATTAGGCTGGCTTTGGATTTTAATAAACTTGGTATCATGACTAGAATATTTCTTCAATCAATCATTGTTGTAAAATCCAATAAATTTGTATCTTATCCAATGATCTTATCTTAAGTAATATAGCGAGATAAAAACACTTTTCTGCTTTACCCATTACAAAGCATATTTATTCAATTATTTACATTGTACATATTAATATATTTAGTCAGGCTGTTAATATGTCGCTTTCTGTATATGTTCTACAAACAATTGCTTTTTTGGTTAGTATTATTTCTACATTAACAGTAACCATTATAATCATATCCTATTATTTGTGTTCTTATTACTCTTTGATTTTAGGATCTCTTTGCGGTTGGCCTAATCATACCACTAATACCAGGCCATGTTCGGAAAATGGGTGCCAGTTATATCTTTGTGGGTTCTCTTGGATCCATTTATGCCAGTTTCCAGCTGGGATCTGGACCACTTATAGTATGTTAATAGTTATTATTTTATATAGCCTTTTAACAATTTTTTTTAAGGTGCCTGATAACTTTTTAATTATTGTTAAATGGATGTGAAACTATAGTAGTCATCCAAGCTCCTCACAAGTATTTTATTAAATGTTACAGGGAAGCTTGAGTGACCTTAAAGGCCGTAAAACAATACTAATCATGACTCTATTAGTATGTGCTTTGGCATACACAGTTATAGGCTTAACACAGTCTATTACTATTATTCTCATCACACGAGCAGTTCTGGGTAAATATGAAATAATGATGTATTTTTTTAATTATAATCATCTATAACTTTTGACATTTTGTTTACCTAGTTTATAAATAATGTAATTCCAATAAATATTGTAATTTTGATGATGGAAATAATTGTTTTGAAAGAATTTCTATTTTTAAACTATAATCTCATTGTATCAACTACATACACTTTTTTCTTCATTTTAAATAATGGACAATTAGGAAACTATTGGTAAAAAAAGAATATGCAGTTTTATATGCTTTCTAATGCTACTTCTGAATTTTATTCTTTTTTGGTTGCTAGGTTTATTCAAGCAAACTCAGATGTTGACTAAAGCTATGGTACCTGATTATGAGAAAAATGAACAGAAGCAATTAGACATATATGGAAAAATGGCTGCCATTTCCGGTGCAGGTATCACATTGGGTCCGGTGATTGGTGGACATATAGCAGAGGATGACCCAGAAAATGGATTCACTTTCCTAGCTATCTTGGTTGGAATTTGTTTCATTGTTAATGCAGGTAAGTCCATTCTAAATCCATGTTTATGTTATATATATACAGATTATATCATTATAGCACTAAAGTTGTAGCTATAAGGTATAAGTTGCTAGAACTTATACCTTGAGCTACAACTTTAGTGCTTAAACACTAGTCTTAGCATTTATAGTTGAATATTATATCTGAATATGTCAAATTTACTTATAAAAATTAATTCTGCCAGGTATTTAAAAACAAATATTTTGATTCATATGAATGTAATCCAAACAATTTAAATATTTTCTTATATGGCAATAAGTACTGTGCTACTGATGTCTATACCCGATTTGGGTGTAAAGTAATAAAACAACATTGATTTATTTTATGAAATTGCTAAATTGTTTTTTATTTGTTTCAGGGTTAGCATATTCATTACCTAAAACAATAAATAAAAAGAGAAAATCAAAGAAGAATATAGAACCAACAAAAAATATAATACAATCCTTCATTTCTAATATCAAACAATCTGTTAAAGAATTATATAGTGTAAATTGGTCTGACTATTGGGATATATTTTTGTTTAAAGCTTTAATCGGATTTGCAATGGGTGTATATTATTCTAATTATGCAGTGTATTTAAAGACACAATATCTACTTACTCCGAAATATATGGGTTATATTATTTCATTTCAAGGTGTAATTGGTTCTATTGCCAGTTTTTTTATTGGTTACATTAATACATTTTATATCAGTGACATTGATTACAGTTTAAGAAATTTGCATGTGTTTGCACTTTTGAGTGTATCTCTAGCCGGTTTAATTATTTCTTTTAATGTTTATACTTATGTGATATGGTTAGTACCTTTAGCTGTAGGTAATGCTATAGGAAGGCTTGTAACACTAGAAATGATACTGAAACGCAGTCATGGTGACCACAGAGGAACATTGATTGGCGCATCAAATAGTATTAGATCTCTTTCTGGTGTAGTCGCCCCTATGGTGGCTGGATTTATTGGTGAATATTTTGGTGTGACATATGTGATATATGCATCTTTTACTGCTACAGTAGTGGGTCTTACAATGAGTTATCGATATAGAAATAAACGACTTAAAGTTGATTAAATATAGATTGTATATTTAAAATAGAGATATTATTGTTATTAAAAAATGCGTAATAAATATATTTGAAATATCAATCAGAGTTTTCTCTTGTAATACAGAAGAATTACAAAAAAATATATACAATAGAAAATAAATGGCTTGACCATGTTTGACACAATTCAGATTCTACCTGATAAGAAAGCTGTAAGTTATTTTAGTTACAATATTTTATTATATACGTTAAAAATTCTGTATTGTATCTTATTTTGAAATAGGAGTTTCTATAAAGAAAAAATCCCTTATATAACAAACTTAAACATTTATTTACATTTATTCTAAAGTTTATTGCTATCAAGCAGGTTATTTATAAAGATACCATCATACCGAATACATTGATGGCTGAAAAAATATTATTCACCCTCCAAACTTTGCATTTGTTTCTGTTTCATAGATTTAATAAGATGTTCGATATCTTCTCTGTCCTTAGCATTTTCCGGTGGAAAAATATTGCGCTTAGTATTTGTCACCCACTCTTCGAAATAAGCAGGTTGGTTAAAGTAATGGAAAAGTATAACCGGAAATGACATGTACATTGCCATTCTTCCTACTTCCAATTTCCAGTTTCCCATGTTAATTTAGTTAACTATTTGTTTTTATTTTAGTCCTATAGTAAGCGAAGTATAAATTGATATAAATTTTTATTTCTGAATACAGATTGTAAATTAAATTATTCACAGATAATGTCGATTCGATTGTAGTGTTACCTTTGGGTATAGTATAATCGATCAATACATCGATTGAAAAAATTTAATATCAATATTTCCTGACAACTATATCTTACCCGCGAATCTGAGAAGTAAGGTTTATTACCTATATTTATTTAGTTTTTATTTCAAAGCTGTTTCTATTATACATAATGGTAATAATGTTGTGCTCTAGTTTAAAATACGGTATTTTAAGATAAATATACGGCATCCTTTTTTTATAACTTCACTGTATATAAAATTTGAAACATGTATTTATAATAGAAACTCTAATATAATTGTAAAAACCCTTTGATGAAGTAAACTGAAAGGAACTTTATGTCTGAAAAAACAATTCCATTACTAAGTGTATCTTCCAATTACGTAAAATATTCGACGGTAGTGAGTACTGTCAGTGGTTACTTAGGTTTTGGCGCACCTGAATTAGGTAATGATGATCTGTGCACGGCGTGACGTGAGTTTGAGCTTGAGTATCGACGTCATAGTCTCTATCATCTGTGATTGTCTCGATAACATTAAACTTTTATCTGAAGCGTTTCTTTTCTATTTTGTAATTATTATTTATTTTTTGTGATTTAACTTGAAATGTGCACGTGGAATATTAATTTTGTATATGCTATGTGATAATGTGATGTGATTTAACTTTGGAAATGGAGACCAATGCAAATCCAAAGGGTGAGTGAAAACCGTCCCTGTTCTGGCTTATGGTGTTTGTGTATGAATAACTGTATTCTACTACGAAATCAGATGACGTATTACGTGCTTTACAATAAATTTATCCAATTTCTTCGAATGTATTAAATACGTACGATTTTGGTTTTATTGCAATTATTTAGTATATATAATAATATATGATAAAGATTTGCCGCATCTTCCTGTTTTACGAAATGCCTAATTTTTAGTGAAAATCTATAATTAACCTTGTATACAATGTCTAAAATAAGTTAAAAATATATATATTATTATTATTGTTTACCTGTGAGTCGTCTTTCAGAGTATGACTCATTATTTTAGCATTGTGAGGTCATGCATGTTGAATATTAATAAACAATCGCACGCCTCCTTTGGCTACTTATACAGTGCAACTTCTAATTTAATAGTTACTTTAACCAACAAAATTTTGGGAGTTCTGTCATTGAGATATGATTATTAATATTCACAATAATTTTATTTGTCTTGTATAGACCATACTTTCCAACTGTTATTTTTAATATCACCAACTAATGCCAGTAAAATAGCACATTTTACTACACTACAAACTGTATTAATTTTATCCCTCTTTGTAATACTGTCCGGTTATTAACAATATATTTATTTTAATTTGTAAAATAAGTCATTAATGATGTGTGTCATTAATGAATAATAGTTTTGTATAGGGATCATTCCAAAACCACTGCAATAGTCAAAATAGCAAATGAGAACAAATGCATTAAGTTTGCTTGAGCATTTGGTAAAGAATGAATGACATCATCTATATAGAATAGAATAGATAAAAATAAACTATTATTCAAAAACAAATATTTTACATACACTGAAAATTCATTATGATATTTCTGCTAAAATTAGAAGGAGAGTTGTTTATGATACGAACAACCATCAACACTAAGCTGTTAAATAATAATATTTATTTAATTATAATATTATATATCAATAGACTAATATGTCATCAATGCTCATCATGCCATCAACCACTAGTGCCCCTCTAGCATATACCATTAGTGCAGGCACTATTTTAAGAATAATTAAGTATTTGTTCGACATATTATAAAAAATTGCCCAACCTTAACTAAACTTTTTTGTAAAGCATTTATTTTGTTGTATCCAATGGATTACTGTATGGTCCTTTAGTTAATATTCCAATTAATTATTTGTTACAAAAAATTATATTACACATGTATATATCACAACTTTATGAAACATTGCAAACATGATTGATTGAAATAATAATAGTGATATTTTTGCTTGCTATATACATAAAGAACAGGAGGGAGACATTATTAGATGGTCTGTGTTTAATAATATATTATTTCTTCAAGTGTAATTAACTATTTTTAATTAATTTTGTATCCCACATAGCATATTAAGTAGGTTTAATTTATAATTATCTTGCACAAATATTTAAATGCATATTCTTTTGCAGTGTCATGTATTGTAAACTACACATATGATGCATCGGAACCTGATGAACTAACTATCAGACCAGGTGATGTGTTACGGGAAGTAGAAAGACTATCGGGTGGCTGGTGGAAAGGAGAACTACGTGGCCGTCGGGGCATGTTCCCTGATAATTTTGTTACTGTACTAGCTGAACAAGCCAATGTCAGGTTAGTTTATTAAATAAATTACTCATAAGAGAAATTTTTGAGACCCATCTGGTCTTCTGAAGATAATTGAAAATAAAACATGAATGTGTATATCATGCATGGATAATCTATATATAGATGTATAATATATAGGTATATTATATAATTTATACATTTAGGTCCCAAATGAAGTAAACTGATAATATTAATTATATATATATGCATGTGCAATTGTGAATTAATAAATAAAATATATTACTAGCTGACCTGGCAGGCTAAGCAGCACCATATACTTGATCAGTTTGTGTTTCCAAACCATCCAGGTGCTCATTAAAATATATACACAAAAATTCATCCAAATTGGTCAATCCATTAGACATGTAATTAGGATTTTGTAATCTTAGTAGTAGTAGTAGTTTAGCAATGACCAGGTACATTGATATTAAAATCAGTATAATTGTTTATATATTGTATATACTATTGTTTAAAGAATGATTAAATCTGTAGTATTCCATAGCATATAAGTATATATTGATAGCAAACTTTACTATAAAGATTTTACAGTAAAGTAGTTTTTTGTAATATCAAATGTGAAATCATGGTGAAATGGTGATAATCCTGTGTGAAATCGTTATCAAGTCAATAACCGAAAACACCGTAGGTTTTTAGTTGCTGCGTTAGTAAGCTAAATTTCGGTTGTAGGGTATGATTCTGTAGTGAAATACCAGATTTCACATTTTAGTCTTCTACAATGGCAACCACAAATGATCACAGGTATCACGTGATACCTTGATGTTCGTGGTGCTATTCATGTAAATAGTATAGGTGACCGTTACCGCTCAGGTGACCATTCCAATCACATAAAAAAATTACTTGCTTTGTCGACGGTTGATCCTAGTACTAAGTTTTATTAAGGTGCGTTCTACAATTGATATAGAGTGTATTCATAATATCAATAATGAAGACAATGACTAATTGTTACTGTACATTCGTCATCTCGAATTCACATTAAAGTGAGCAATATGAAAGTATTTCTAAATACTGTACCTACGTGTGCATAAAACTATTTTCTGATGGGTGATTACTGCTGGCTGACGTGTCTAGGAAATAGAGATAAACAGATATTTATCTTTTCTCATTTAAAGAGAAGCGTAGTATACATCTATGGTGTTTTATCAATTCGTATTGCCCTTATTCCGTGTAGTTCATTCTCAGGTTTTGATAGTATTCGCTGTCTGTAGCTTATTAAATGCGAAAAGGGAATGAGTATTAGTATCGGGGCCTATTGCCCCATTGCTAGGAATATACTCTATGGTCGACATCCACGCCTGGAAACCATTGCGGTTAATTCAGAGTAAATTCTCTATAATGGGCTGACTGACTAGACCTCATCCTCCTTTTATTATCAACCACTAGTCCCCCGCCAGTGCATACTATACCGTTAGCGCAGGGTGCATACTATCCTTATCCCTTTACACATCAGTAATAAGACCAATGCTGGCATATGGGGCCTTGGTTTGGTGGACAAGGTCGAAACTTACGACCACAGTCAACAAACTAAGATCTTTCCAAAGGCTTGCATGCTCTTCAGTTACTGGATGTATGAAAACAACCCCAACAATGGCAATGGAAATAGCCCTTAACATTACACCCCTTGACCTATACATACAGCAAGAAGCAGCTATAGCTGCCACAAGATTATACCATCTAGGTCTATGGGGCAAAAGCCATTACAGTTCTCACACAACCATCCTGAACCAAGCAATCGAATATGAACCTTTGATTGCCGCTCCGTGTGACAGAACTCAAGCATACCACTCGTTTAACAGGAAATACCAAATACAATTGAAGGAGGAGGAAAGGGACCAATCTGCAGTAAATGAACTACGCATATACACAGATGGCTCCAAAACACAGAACGGTTCAGGAGCTGGGGCACATTCCCTTGACCTCAACATGAACATATCTATACCGCTCGGCAAACACAGTTCGATCTTTCAGTGCGAATGTGTTGCCCTGACCGAGGCAGCAAAAGCCGTATACAGGTTAGGGGTCAACAATTTCAACATTAAATTCATATCGGACAGTGCAGCCGTGCTTAAAGCACTACAGAACAGAAAATCCAACAACAAACTAATAATCGAGTGCCACATCGCCCTGGAAAAAATTGCATCGCACAACGGAGTAATTATCCAGTGGATAAAGGGGCACAGCGGATCATATGGCAATGACGCCGCGGACGAACTAGCGAGAGTAGGATCCGGTATGGTGGTTGCAGGCCCCCTCCCGCTCATGCCAATACCATTCTCGCAATTTCGCACCTGGATTCGCCAGAGATCCACCGAAATACAAAACCAAAGATGGAACCTAACCACTCATTGCAAACAATCTAAAGTGGCAATTCCAAAAACGAACCATCGGTTAACAACATGTCTACTTAATCTAGATAGACAAAACCTCAAAATAATGATAGGGACAATAACGGGCCATTGTTCCTTAAACAAACACTTATACAAAATTGATGCTACAGACAGCCCCCTTTGTCGGGGCTGCTTTGAAGCTGAAGAAACGGCGGCTCACGTAATCCTGGAGTGCACGGCAGTGGCCCAACAACGAAAACAAATCCTCGGAACGGTGAGGTCGCTCCGTGAAGCCTGCGAAGACACCAGGAGTCTTCTGCGCTTTTGGGAGGAGCTTGGCTGGCTACGTTAGTAGTCTGGCTCTACACGCACAACGGCCCGAATGTGAGGCTAATTGCGGAGAATGGAGTCTAACATACCATACCATACCATACCATACCATCCCTTTAAAACCAACGGAAACCTGAATCTTATCATCGCAATACTTATCACAAATTAAGATTCCATCCCTAAGCCACTGTGCGTTTTTCCAGAAGCATATTGCCACGCTCAACCTCACAGTGGAATCAAGTAGTATTTTTGAACGAAAATATGTTGTAACTTTAAAATAATGGCATATTCTTAAATGGTCGGAAACACGCCTGCAATTCTGTCGATTATGAAGGTGCTTATGGCTGGTAATCAGTTATAGGGAATTAAGGAGCATGAGTTTCTTTTGAGGGTCAAAAGAAACTCGTGCTCCTTAATTCCCTATGCTATAATCAACCAAAAATTTAAAGACAAACGCCCAACTGACGATATTTCAATATAGGTACAGTAAGGCAAGTCTCTTTGTATGTATTTTATATGTTGCAATTAGATATTATATATTTTTAATTCTTTTATGCATATTAGGTGCAATTAGTACCTACAGTCACATGCATAAAGTTAATAACGACTCCTCTCCCCCTCTTCTTCCGTAGGTTCAGACTGGAAATTCACCGCTGAACACTGCAATAAATGGTGATTTATTAAATAATTATTATGATCTAATAATAAAAAAATAATATTTATTATTAAAAAAAATAAGGGATTACTACTAAAACTGCAATAATGTAACCCAATGCGTAATGTAATTGGTATAAATTGCCTTTCGCGTCGCATTCATTGTGGAAATGTCCACCCGTTCAGAACCGGGACGGGCTATACGGACGGGATAAAAGATATAGGAGATATAAGTACATAATATAACAACCATTGATTGACATTGGAATTTTTTCTATTCCGTAAAACTTCGAGTGAAAACGGTTAGATATTTATATTAGTAGATTTACAACGGCTTTGCATTTTTTTTTTATTAATAAAACTGTATACTGTTCGAGATTCTATAATTTTATTTTTTATGACATCTTTTACTAATAAAAGATTATTACAAAAGGATGTAATACCGTTTTCTGGTGATACTATATGTCAGAGGTCAGTGTATAATAATATACTAATTTACATAATGTTACCTTAATTTTGGTTCTGCTGATTGCTTGTTTACAGTTATAATCGTGTATTAGCAACACAGCTTTTCGCTCTAGGCAACTGTACCTTAGGAACTGGTTTAGGTATATCTTAATCTATCTTTACGCGTATTTAGTGATTATAACACTTATAATTATAATCACAAAGTGAACATTTTTCTTCAGACACAATGGTTTTAATATTTTTTTTTGTTTATGTATTAAATACTATTTCTAACAATACCTATCAAGAACTCGTATGTTTCACTTTATTTTCCGACTTATTTTCAATCAACTTCAAGAAGGTAAGTATTGCCCATACTGTGTAATATCGTAGTAAGAATCCTTCAATTGCCCTAAAAAGATTAAAATGGACATGTTACTCTATAATTAATAAGACTTAACGTAGGTATATCGTCGTAACATTGACCTATAATTATATTAATTTGTAATGCCTTTTGAACCGCAATCAATACTAAATCCAAATCCATTATAAAATGTCAGTTAATTCATCCAATCACCAAATAATTGAATTATATTGCTAGTGTATAATTTCATATATAACTTCACGATCATTATCCCAGATGAAATAACAGGTATACACATATTTAGATCCAATTTATGGGTGTATATCGCGGTGTTTCTGTCACCAGAGAGTGCATATTTTATGTGTAAGAAGTATAAGAATTTTTTGGTTTCGCCCACATTTAAACGCAAGCTCTTAGGGATGTAAACCGTAAACCGCAGTAAACGTAAATCAAAAGATACGAAACGGTACATTTCAATGCCGATAGATGGGAATTGGTTTCAGGACAGGATCTTTTTTTAATTCTTTGTGTTATGTGTAGGTATTAAATATCGAATCGATTGTAATGAATGTTTGAACAAACTGAATAGGTAAGTTAATTTACTTTAATACATTCATAACGATATGACAATATGAATGATGTCATATTTCTAGTCAAGGACTAAATCCTCAACAGAGTATGTACACAGTTTTGTACCGTATTTATGATAAACTGACCGTCATATTCACTTACTAAATAGACGATGATCTATGACCGTATTTATTTCCTTTATCTAAGTTTTGACCTTTTCAGTACAAGAACGAGCGTTACTGTTAGGATGTTCTACATTTGTATGAATAGGTGTATTAATTATTAAAATTTTGGGACATACACTTTTATATTATTTAAAGTTATGATTCTGACCTTCTTCCACAAGGAAACACTTAATTTATAATATAGGTAATACTATTTAGGATTACAATCTTGATTAAGTATCTATTGACGTAGATGTTTTTTTAAAATATTGAACGTTTATTCAGAATAGTAAATATCTTACTTAACCTACAAATATTTCAATTATGTGATCACCTCCTCCTTTTTGATATCGGTTAAAAATAAATTGGAAGTGTTTATTTCCGTTACATACATGTTACATATCAAATAGTTTGATAAAACTGGGGAAAAGTAACATTTAGGTATGTACTATATATACACGAAATCGCTAAGAGCATAGCATAACGTACGCAACGTTATGTTATTAGTGAATGTCTGATATTTGTTATTTTAAGTAAATCAGAGGGTCGTGATCTAATGGTTTATTACCCCGATTTACTCCGACATCTAGTGAGTTTAAATCTGAACGACACCAACAAAAATTTGCATATGAATTTATAAATACTAGTAGTCGTCCAGTTGTTGACGATAATTAATTAATTTAACATTCAGTGAGACTAGACAAATAATATTAAAGACAAACATTCTCAATTTAACCACAGACTTTAACAATAAACAAAGGAGTACATGTATGTCAAAATGGTAGTGTGTGTAATTTTTTTTATTGCCTTAATGTATTTTTTATTCTAAATTAAAAAAATATATTGGCATTCTACACTCTTTCTCTATATAAACTAGAAGTGTACGAAATTTCATATCCCTGCTTCCGCACATATTGTTTAGAAAGGGGTACAAAGTTTTTTCTTCACGTATTAATATTTAGATATCTGGATGGCTCACCGGTGATGAAATCAAAATCAATTCGAGACACAACATCAGGTATTGTGCTTTCCACAATGGAATCAAATATACTGCTCAAATATATAGGTATTTGAGCAGTATATTTGATTCCATTGTGGAAAGCACAGTACCTGATGTTGTGTCTCTTGTCAAGTATTGTCACCAAGAACTTGACTTTTGACAATGCCTCTGGCTACCCCTTCTAGGAAAACAGTCGTGACGGTACATTGTTTTATTTATTAAAATATTAATATCTAATAGTTGAAAATGTTTTATTTAATATTTCTTCAATTAATATCTTTGGAACAATTGTGCAGTGTATATCTTATCAGTACGGATAAGCGTCTGATAACACTTGGTTAGCTTTGCTAGTCAGTGTTTGTGCGTCCGTCAGCGAGATATCTTTAATTCGTCTCAATTTCGATATTAATATTGTTGTGAATTGTATTAGTTAGTGAAATAATTTTTATAGTGTCATTTAAAGTATAGAAGTTGACCTAAGGGGAAACTCTCTCCTTACATTTGAATCGACAGATGATGAAACCGTAAGTGATATATATATATATATTATAAAAAAAGTGTAGACGTATATGTCCACGTTGATTATTAATCATAATGACCAATAAGTCAGCTATGTCTTATTAATGGATAGTTTAGAACTGTTTAGTGTGGAGTCTAGGTTCAATCTGTCATCATTTTTCTATTTTTAAACATAACGTCGTTGTGGTAAGGGCATGATTAATAAAAGCGATAAAGTTGTATTAAGAATTGTTATAAATGTCGTTTGGTATCGGTTAGTATTTTAATGTACCTACCTACTTCAAACACAGTAGTATTATGATACAAGGAATTTTGAGTTATTATTATACAAAAAAAATCAAATCAATCTTGAAATGATAGTATGATACCTTTTGGATGAATAAAGGAATAATAAAAATCGATACAAAATTGGCGAACTTGCTGTCTTGAACTGTCTTGTTATATATTTTTGTTTAAATCTATTGTAGGAAATAGTTTTGATATTTGAATAAATATAAAGAGAGAGTGAATAGAGAAAGGAGGACACACTGACATATAAATATGAGGTATCCATCTTCTTGCTATCAACCAGTTGGTTGTCAGCTTTTGTATGCGATTCGTTATATATATGTAAATGAGGTTATAGAAATCCTTATTAAATATTGGAATTAATTAATATATGTTTATCCATTATAACATGTTACAAACAAATTAATGAACAAAAGAAATCCAAATCATTTCCTCTTTATAATATTAGCATAGACAAAAGTACCAATCTATATATCTTATTAGGTGGATGTCAACGTGGTCCCCCTGGAAATATTTGTGTTTAATTCCTGATAAATTCGCAATAATGAGGTAGCTAATCTGACTTCAGCGTCATCTCGTTATACTGATACTGATGCTTAGCCATACCGAAAGGCAGCTAAATATTTCAGCTCTCTATATTAATAGCTAAATTCTATATAATATAAAAAAGTAATGCACAATAAAATAATTAAAAGCAGGTGTATAGAATAAATGGGGTAAAATTTTAGGTTGGTATTATAATATTAAATACTAATAATGAAATTTAATGAAATATTTACAACATTCATATGTAATAAATTATCTTTACAATTATGGAGTTTGAAGCATTTGACAATTTGTGTAAATGCTGTAATACTGTAGGTACCTAAAAATTATAAAACAATAATATTTATTATCGCGAGGTCGTAGTGAAGTCGCACGATTCAAATTCACATAAATCGTTCGAATTAATTAATTAATTTAAAAATATGGTTTATTTATTTTAGAAATTGATGACTTACGACTATGACAGGTAAATTATTGTTCAGAAAATTAAGAGGAATGGACAAAATGTATAATTAATTGAATAATTATTTATATTTTAAGCAATAGGAATATAATATTTAGAAAAAATATATATTGTAAATGTTTTTTTGTTAGCTGTATATAATAGGCGCATAAAGATATATTATATATATCTTTATGCACCTATGATATACAGCTATATTTATTTTTTATCAGGTGATTGTTCATAAGACATTATTTCATAGTGTGATCAGTTAAAATTGCCAAAGTAATGTGACACACATAAATCGAAATCATTATTTTTCTCAAGTTTACTTTATTCTGAACTATGCCTGTGACTTCGTACACATTGTATACGGGATAAATATAAATTACAAATTTTTTGTTTTTGTTTGTGAACCGATTGGAATTAATCAAACATCAAAAGTCATTGCAAACTTGGTACAATACAGTAGTGAGAACGGCATTTGAATTGGTTAATTTTTGAGATTGCCTGATAATTTCTCAAACATATCGAAAAGGATATTACAAATATATTTTTAGTATTTAAAGTAACGACTTATATTTACATATATAATTTTAGAATAAAAGTTGTCGATGCGAATACGAATAATAATCGTATTAATGTATAATAAATATTAATAAGCACATTGTAGCACTAGTCATTTACAAATAGCACCAAGTACTAACTGAACAGGAAAGATGAACAAATTTTAGTCGGGAGACATTGTCTTTTGTGTGCTCTTCGAAAATGTATTGTTTTAAACAATGTTTTATGTTTTGGATCAGGTCTGGTGGCGTCCAGGGTCGCTGCCGGGCGGTGTTCAGCTATCAACCAGCTAACCCGGATGAGTTGTCATTGGGTGTGGGAGATGTGCTCGACGTACTTGGAGAGGTATTGTTTTAAATATTTATTTATTATATTTTTTTATGACAAATAGTCATAATCCAGGATGCAGCATTATTAAATACTAGGTATTAAAAGTTGACCAGTAGTTTGTTTTTGTGACCTCCTAACCTTCCATTATTTCAGGGTGATTTGTTTTCTACATAATAATTTATTGATTATGAATTGCTAATACAGTTATGAAAATATGTTTACTGATGTTAGAATTTGGATGTCAATATCATTGTAATTACCTTGGATTAAATTTAATGCCGTTTCAAAATCGGACCATAAAATATTTGCTTTTTAATGATTTCGGCCTATAATTAAGTACCAGGCTCCAAGTTCAGGTCTTCCTGCATAGAAAATAAAAACTATGCTTTCAAATTTTATTGATTTCACTATCAGTGTGTAAATTTATTCTTATGATTTTAATTTTTAAATATGTAGATGTTAACGGACGGGTGGATATAGTCACAGTATAATGCTGATCACTGTTTATTTTTTTTTATTTAATTATGCTAATTCCTTAATGAAGTATAGTTTTCTTTCATTTTCATTCATTCATTATAGTTTTCGTATCAAATTAGTTTCTAGTTATTTCATATAAAAGTTTAGCTATGCTAATTTTGTTTTAGGTAGAGGAGGGGTGGTGGCAGGGCAGGCGGCAAGGCCGTGTTGGCGTGTTCCCCTCGAACTTCGTAGTGATGTTGGACCCCCAGCCGGTCCCGCCTGTTGAACCCGCGCCGGCACTCCCACCTAAACCTGGTTAGTATTTTCCTATCGATAAATATGTTATTTCTTTTATTAATTTACGGCTTCGGTGGTCTAGCACACTGTTATACTTTCGATGGTCACGGGTTTGATCCCTCGCACGGTCACTTTTGTATTCATGAGTATGGTTTTTTGTCAGTCAGGGTGTTTATGTATATTATATGTAAAATATCTCAGTATTTATCGTAGTATAGTATTTTGTTGTGATTTGATAGCATTTGTATACATATTTTCCTGTTAATATTAAAACTGAATTAGTTCCAGTATTAACCTTTTTTTACCCCAGATTTTTTTTTACCATCTTTTCATGTTATGTCTATATGGAATACTAATAAATATAATAATACTAGTAATAATAATAATCTCAGGACAATTCACACAGTGCCATCTAGACCCAAGTTAAGCTAGCTAAAGCTTGTGTTATGGGTACTAGACTGATACAAATACATAGATATATTTTTTTTCGTAAATACATAGAAATATATTATACATAGAAAACACACAGGCTAACACAAACAATCATACTCATGAATATGAACCTATGACCATGGGATGTAAAGCAGTGTGCTAAACCGCTAGATCACCGAGGTCGTCAAATAATTGTAATACCAACGTCCTCTGTCACGTTTTTGCTTGTCAACAGTGAAGGAGTTATGCCGCGTGTTATTTCCATACACGGCTGTCAACGAAGATGAGCTCTCGCTGGCCGAGGGCGACATAGTGACCGTGGTGTCGAAGGAGGCGCCCGACCGTGGGTGGTGGCGCGGCGAACTCCATGGACGCGTTGGCTTATTCCCAGATAATTTCGTAGAACTGATATCCTCAGGTATTTAGCAGCTTGTATTATTAATCTTACTCATATAATAAACGAGAAATCGATGTAGAGTATGGATTGATGTTTGTTACTCTTTCACGAAAAAAATGCTGAACGGATTTTAATGAAACTTTACAGTAATATAGGTTATGTATCAGAATAACATATAGGCTATTCTGATAAATAATATATATATAACTGTACATTTTTATATATTTAAAAAGATATTATGTAAATTGTGAATTATAATGACAAATGTCAAGTATGATGCAGGCGAAGTTGCGCGGGTCAGCTACAGCAGCTCTATATATATACAAAAACATATATATATATATATATATATATATATTATTTTCATATCTCGATTATAGGTTTGTTATACTTTGGGTATTATATTTACTCTCTATATTTGTAATTAATTGGATGGAGATTTAGAGAGATACAAAAAATATTGGACTGATTCTAATTAAATATGGTACACAAATAGATTATATACTAGATTCAAGTGTACTTTTTATATACGAAAATATTTATTTGTGTCTTAATAAGTTATATAAGGAAAACCCTTTATAAAATTAACTTTATATAATTAATAACGACCGCTTGTATACTTAATTTAAATTAATATGATTGAGATGTCAATATAAACAATAACTGGGGACTCCCATATTTAAGGTTATTAATACGTAAGTGTAGACTGTAGTGTCATAGTCGTCGTTTATGGCGGCTAAAATAGTTATTAATTTGTGGTACAAAATCAAATTAAAAAAATATGAACTCTACAGTCTATGTCCATTCTTGTGTTTTTATATTACTTGTCTGCACATTTGATATCTAATCTAATCCAGTTCTGTTCAAATCAGATTAGTAATCATAACAAACAACTAATATTCTTAAAGATATGTGTACAATTATCACAAAAATGTACATATAATAATATAAGCCACGTACAGTGACTCACAATGGAAGCTGAGAATAATTTTAACTCTTCCATTCATAATTAAAGAGCCGCACTCTTGTCGGTAGAGCTCTAGCCATTTTCCACATTGTTCCATCAATATCTTTAGTTGCTAATACGACACAACTCTTAAGTTTTTCCTTCATCCTATCTTTATCTCCCCCCCTCCCCTTCCATCGATAATAATATTCATAAGTTCGTCGTGTGTTATCAAGTGACCCAACATTTTTTTCCCGCCTATTCTCAATAATATTTATGATCTGTATCGTTCCTTTAATGCTTTGCAGTACTTCATTTCTTATTACAACTCTTCCAAATGAACTAAATCTCAATACGCATAAAATTGGACCACTTTCACTCAGAACCAAAGTGGAAATTTGAAAATAAACGTTGACGCTTTTATATCCAGTTGATCACGTGATCGCTTAGGTTATAATATAATAATAATAAGAAAAAAATTTCATTTTGCACTTTATTTATACACTTTACGACTAATCCCTTTCAAGCATGTGCAATGGATTTTATGACTTTCTGTAATATAAAGTGAATAAGTATCAAAAGAGACGTTAATAAAATTACACTTTCAAAGTAACTTCTTTTTATAGTTAAATTCCATTTTAATTTGACAATGTGATTAAAATAGAATGTGGATTTAGATGATACGAAAGTATGTTTTATCTTTTAGGAGCATTCGTTACCGCAGTATAGCAGGGTCTGTGTTATCCGTTATATTTCAAAAACATACAGAATTTTTGTTTCTGAATATTTACAATAAACGATTGTTTAAAATTCTAAAATGTCTGATATAGAACTAAAACGTGTAATAGAACACCTTACATGCATAGAATCTGTAAATTAATGATTAATAATTATTTAATTCTACGTTGTAAAGAATCAATAACCACTTAATAATTCATGCTTCTACACTTTTACTTTGAAAGTTTGCAAATAGGTACTCATTTACTATCAGAATTTATTTTTCAAAAAAAATTATAGCTAGCTATTTTAATTATAAAATAGCTAGCTTATTTTGATTAGCTAGCTATTTTATAATTAAAATATTTAATAGCTTTTTTTGATTGTTTGTGTTCGCTAACAGAGCACTTTTAAAGTATTATTCATAAATATTGAATTTATCGTTACTTGATACTTCTGTTACGAATATTGTTAAACAAAGAGAGGCCCTTATTGTAAAAGGTTTTTTATTGTTACATTTTCCCATCGCAACTTACAACAAAGAAATGTAACTGATTAGTGCTATCTAATAAGATCGACTATTTAACGCACAACTAGAATAGCTGTATACTAATCAGTTGAGGAACAAGAAATTTTTCCAGGTTAAGAGTACACCGCTAGTCTTTGTGACTCTACCTTATTGTATGTAAACATAATGATGTAATCTTGTTACTATAGAGGTAATATTGTCATTGACATTGAAACCATAACATTTATTTAATAATACAAAGTCTATATGTTTGCGATTAATTAAAATCATTTATAATTTAATTAATGGTACTAATATGCCAGTATTTATTTTTAATTTCCGAATGAATACCTTGTGATTTATCATGGAAAAGCCATTCATTTCAATATTATTAAAGATGACTATATGTTACAAGGTTATTGCATTCACAACATCTGATGAAATAAATGCATAATTTATTTAAAAAGGAAATGCATATTGATTAGACTGTCTCGATGTCGTATTTACCGCATGAAACGGTTTGTTTCACATGATTAGTGTCATTCCCCTTCGGACGAGGACGGTATGACAAAGTAGGGATTGCAGACACAAATTTAACCATGTAAATAGAATTATCTCGATTAAAATGTTTAAATTTAATATTAACGATGTTACTGACGTGTACTTTCTTATAAATATTCAAGAAAACATTGTTATACTTTTGTTGTAGTATAAGTAAATTTATAATCAGATTACGTAACGATCGAACACACTCTGTGTTTGGTTTATTTAGTGACGGAAAGAATGCTGTTATCTAAATAATTGTAATTATATTGAATTCTCAGTAAACTTGTGAATTAACAATTGACTGAATGCGATACTAGTTAATGTTAAATGATAAGGATACGATAATAAACGATGAAAGACATCAGGGTAATATTTAAATGAAAATTAAAGTTCGTATTTATAATATTAATAAAAATTATAGCCTTAAATTGTGTTTCAAAGAAAGCTTGTTTTTTTACTACAATTTGTCTTATGTTAAGCATTGTAGTATGTACAAAAAGTGCTAATTAATAATTATTATGATATTAACCGGATCAAATTTCTATTAAATATTGTTCAATACATATTGTCATCATCTATTTTAATAGATTTTATTGTCATCCTACTACTGGACGTAGGCCTCTCCCAAGGCACGCCACTGTGCACGATCTTCAGCCTTTCTCTTCCAGTTATTACCCACAACCCTATATCTATATGTCGTTTGCTCCACCGAGCTACAGGGTGTCCTATACGTTTGCTAATACATTTGGTTGCCAAAAATACATATTAATATAATACAAAATAACTAAACATATCTACTATATTACTTTTCTGTATAGATAAGTGTTAACTACTAATATTATAGATACAGATGCAATGTTATGAATATTAAGATTCCAATACAATTTACATGTTGATGATTTAGCGTCCACGCGTGCAGTACAAGTTATGTTAGTAAACAGTCCGCCTACACCGGCTCAGTATTCGATGCTTTGCTATTGACATTTCACATGAAGGTTGCGCAGAGTCGTGATTTTGCGTAACTTAGATCAGCATGCCGTGCCTTAGTATCTTTTTATAACCAGTTGCCTCATAGACGCCTTCGTCTATGTTCTTGAGTATATTTTCTTAAGATTTAAATGTTTTATATTTAAAATGGGAGCAGAATGTGAGTTTATTATATATATAGGTATTTACCTAGGGCATGTGAATAATTATGTATGGATAAAGTGTTATTTTAAGCGGTAAAAGTCTAATGAGGTAAAGCAAGACACGAATATAGTTCTTTCGACGTGTGATAAATGCAAAAATATATTTTTATTATAACATTTAAATCGACATACTCATGAGTGCTCATGTTGTACTCGTAATCATAGCGGTCATGAGTTTGCATATAGTTCACTCTTTTGGACCTGACCCACTACGTCTTATTTCGCGTACGCTTAGTTGTTTACTACTAAATAAAAAAAAATACTTTACCCATCAATATGTTGTAAATAAAACTTTTATAAATGTCTATAAATGTGTTGTAATAATATTTTTTTATCTCATATATATGTAAGTAGCTCTATCTGTATCTTGATCAGTCAGTACACATAAACAGTATTCATAATTCGGTACTTATTGATATTAACTTACGAGTTATATAAAGGCATCATTGTCCTAAATAGTAAAACTGATCTAGTGAGAAAAAAAATTAAGGTATTTCACATTGCAAGTGTTTTGACGACCCTTAAAAACGTATACATATCTGCTATTACAAAACAAACATTTTGATTATCCTACCATTCCTTTAGCATCCGTGCCTCATTTAGAAGCACGAATTTCGTGATCGACAAATTTTAAAATATGGCAAATATAATTGGCCATAAACATTGACATATACGTATCTTTTCTGATCGTAATGATTCTCGTACACGACGTGTATTTTTATTATATCAATTATGTGATGTAGTATTAGATTTAAATAAATATTTTAGTACTATCATTTGGTATCATTGTTATTAAGGATCACACTTGATTATGTATATTAGTAAACTGTTAGATAATGCAATTTGTTGCTATTCGTATAATTATTTATTGTATATCGCGAGATTTTTTCGATGTATACACAGCTTATATTCCATACAAAATAAATAGATCCAAAATTATTTGTATGTATGCAGACAACATAGCAGTGCTGAAATTTTTTTATTTTTGTTGTAAAGCAATAATATTTATATTTAGATTTGATTATCGATTGTAAGATGAATTTTAGTGCTTTAGTGGACCTTGATCCATTTTAATTAGGTGTATCTATCTATACCCATACGCGTCAATTTGGAAATAAAATTTAATAAATTATGTATATTGTGTTTTAACAATAATTTACTGTTTTATGTTCCAGTAGGGTTAGAACCCGAAGAAAAGAAACCAGACCGGCCACCTTCAAAGACCCCCACCAATTCAATATACCCCATTCTCAACAAGTACTCTGAAAAAACATCCTCCGTCAAAGAAATAACTACATCTAGAATAAGGTATTAAGTTTCAATATCGTAAAATATTCATAATATTATTATTACATTTGTATATCTAATGACCAAACGATATCTATAAAAAATAATTTATGCGATCCATCTCTTATATATATAAGAATAATAAATAAGATTGCAGGTTGTATATTCCGTTTCAATAGAATTTACGGAAAATGTAAACAAAGATTATTTAAACACCCAATAAATGTAAATAGTAACACATCTGATTCTTGATAGTTAGTTACTGTAGGTATATATCACCAATTTTTTTTAAGTATTTATTTATATCTACATACTAAATTTGTATTTGAAATATTTAAGCGAAAATTGCGAGCAAAATGAATGAAAGAATGTCGATGGTCGCCTAGCGATGTACGAAATAAGATCATTCATCTATTGAATACAAATCTTAATAATGGAAATCTTATATATTCAATATAAAAAATAATAATAATAACAATAATTAACGATATCAAGTAATACAGATACTTTAGAATAATGTTGTATTTATTATTCGATTAACATCTTTATTGTTACTAAATAAGTTGTTTTATAAGTTTTTATTCTATTATATTTAATTTCTTTTAGACATCATCTGTCAACCTTGGAAACCTTCGATTTTCGTTAGTCATACCAGTGGCAATCCGTGAGGAAGTAGCCATTATTATTGCTAAAAGTTGCATATAGATGGCGTGATTGGTATCGATGGAATTCTTCATAGTTTTGCAAACGTTTTAAAAAACAAAACTGTGTTTACAAAAATGTTTAATCCATTTTTAAAAAGTTATATATACATGTTAAAATGAAATAATGCGTTTAGAAAAGTAATTTTCATATATTTACTCATTTTGTTATTTTCCAGTACTTAATTAATTTAATCAGTGCTAATACGGGGCTCAATGTTTTCAAAATGCTTTCATAGATGGCATTGTTGTCATTTGTATCGACCTAATTAAATGTCTTTTTTATATTTTCCAATAATAAGCACTTAATATATCATTATTGTAAATTAAACATATAAAAAAATTTTAAGTAAATTAAAAATAGCCGAACAAGCAAGTAATACTATTTCCAATAATACTTATGTATGAAGTGTTGTCATATTAAAAATAAATACATGTATTATCGATTTTTTTGAATAATCGATAACAGGATTTTATTACAGCGCATTATTCGATGATGCTTTTAATGAGTCGTTGTGAACAGTAAATTTTCATTATTTTGAATTATAGCAGTGTTCCGTTTCAAAGAACGGAATATAGTAGTACATTATTAGTGTCGTTGGTTATTTACATTTGTACGGAAAAATCGATTACATAATAATTTAAAATATCGAGTACGAATCGTAGCTGTCTTTGAATACTGGCAAGATTAAAATAGTATTAAAAAAAAAAGAGAGAAATCGACCCTAACTCGAATACCATAAAGTTGATTTTCCTTTCTCATTAATATCATAGCAGTTTGTTTTTAACTTGCGTATGACTCTGTGGTATGATGTTTAACGTGTATTGTTATTGTACGGTGCATACATTTCAAAAATTATATTTTAATGTAGGTACATACATTTCTTTCATACATTTCATACATGTCAAAAATTATCTTTTAATGTAGGTACATACATTTCTTTCATACATTTCATACATTTAAAAAATGAACTTTTTATGTAGGTACATACATTTCTTTCATACATCTCATACATTTCAAAAATTATATTTTAATGTAGGTACATACATTTCATACATGTCAAAAATTATCTTTTAATGTAGGTACATTCATTTCTTTCATACATGTCAAAAATTATCTTTTAATGTAGGTACATTCATTTCTTTCATACATTTCAAAAATGAACTTTTTTTTTTATGTAGGTAGATACATTTCTTTCATACATCTCATACATTTCAAAAATTATATTTTAATGTAGGTACTTACATTTCATACATGTCAAAAATTATCTTTTAATGTAGGTACATACATTTCTTTCATACATCAAAGATATTATTATTGTAGATATCGAAAGTTATGTATACAAGTAATTCTGAATATTATCAAGTTCAAAATAAGCACACATTACTGGCTTAGATAATAGAGTAATATTACTTGTAATAAAAACATTTGTGACACCCATATGTATACATATTACATAGTAAGTACTTACGCCCGTGCCGTGAGACTCATCTAAGCGTACAGCGCATGCGCGTCGTGCGGTAACCGCACCGACGGACCAATAGGAGCGCGCCTCTCGCGCATCCAGAAAGTTCGCGACTAATGGACGGTATAGTAGTAAAGCAATGAGTGTTCCAGTGACATCATTATAATATTTTCTCGTTAAGTTTTATTGTAATATACATAATTTCGTACTAAGTAACGTGTTCCCCCGTTACACATTTCTAACGTGTAATGGGCGTGAAAGCGAGACAAACAGACAGAGTTACTTTAGCATTTATAATATTTGTAAGAATATCGCTATTAAAAATAGGGGTTGGTGAAAGACGGGCCAAAATTTAGGCGTGTATGTAACATTATAAATAAATAAAAAATTGTCCATAATACAAAAAAAAAAAAAATTTTGGGTAGGCCACCCCTATGACTTAGGGGTATAAAAAATAGATAACAACCCTACCTCAGACCTAGCAAGTATACGTATCAAATTTCATCAAAATGTGGGAGAAATATGGCAACTAACACTGTGATACGAAGTTTATATATAAGATATAGCGGAATTCTCATTAGGGAAAAGAGGGGTACATCGTAGAATACATGAGGTATATACCAGTAAATTCATTGTAGCTAAAACCAGTCTCTTACACATAACGATTGAAATAAAAAATCATATAGCCCGATGTTGATACGTACGAGTATAAACGTATCAAAATCGGGCTATACGTATAGCGCAGACGCGTTACAACATATCTTCGTCGAGAGAAAAAAATAGGCATGGAATGTAGAATAAACTATAACATAATATATACATTGGCACATAAGCCATATCTGCAGGGTATCGGCTAACGATATTATACCTACACATTTACATTGAATCTTGAATCGTCCCTAATGAGGTACACGATACAGTTACCTACATATCTTGTATATACCTATCTTTGCAAAACAGATGTCATGTAGACTGAATTGACTGCCATCTATTTTCGTGCTTTGTTACTAAGCACCCACTAGTAATCCGAACTGCTTCAGATCTAGAGACATCTAGCGGCTACGGCGGCGAAATAAAATAGCCCGAAGAATAGCCCGAGTTAGGAAGGAACCATTTTCTTGTATGGGATGGGGTATCTGTATGTAATATTATGTTATCTGTGGTCATACTGACATATCGTATGTGTGATGTATAATTAATTTAGTGAAAGAAATCGAATTATTTATCTTTCTAGTTCTACTGGAACGGGGTATATATACTAGGTAGATTAAAAGTTTATACAAAACATATCAATCCTCTTTTTTCAAAGTATTTTTCGCAGCTTTCTTTAGCCTGTATGTAGACCGATATTACTTGAAACCTTAACACATAACAGACAGTTTTTGCCTCGTCCCTATTTTTCATTTTTTTATTATATAAAAATATTAAATTTATATGTTTATAAGTCGACGCCAATGGTGTCGTGTGTAAAATATTATATTTAAAATAATAGCTAATATTGATAATATAAGTAAAAAAAATATTACACTTATAAAAAGCATAAACATATTATAAGTGTAATATTTTTTTTGCCTTTACTGTTTTTGTGGACTAATGGTGATGGTGTATTGGTATTTGAGTATCCTGGTCATACTGTTGGTATACGGTATTTGTAGCTACAAATGTAATAATACCATAAGGATGTTAAGGATGGTATATGCTGTATTTATCATATTCCAGTACGCACAAGGAGAACACATCTAATAAAGAAAGCAGCATACAGAGTACAACTACACACGCAAATAAAAATGAGTCAGAAAAAATGATTCACAGCGAGACTACCAACGACGGATCGCTTGAAGTACAAGTAAGTAGTTTATTTTTGGTTATACATATTAATAAGTATATGATCATTATATCCCATTAGCACCCTACTTCTAGGTTAAGGATAAATAATTTAATGACGGTTTTGTACAAGAAACTCAAATTGATAAATAGTGGCGTATTAACAATACATTGTATAGCCTATACATCTATTATCACATACAGTTATGTCTCTTATGGGCAGAAAGAATAGAGTGCCAAAGGATATACTCCCGCATTTTATTATGTTATTTAGCTGTTTCTTGCATAGGCACTAGGTCCAGAAATTTCTATTTGAGATTACTCCTTTATACAGCGTCAAATATGTTGTAATATGCCCAATAATTAGTCTTATAAATGTTATAAATGCGAAAGTTTGTAAGTGAGTAATGAGTAATGGAATAATAAGTAATGGATGTTTGCTACTCTTTAACGCAAAAACTACTGAACTGATTTTAATGAAATTTAAAGTAATATAGACTATGCAGCAGAATAACACAAGTGCTCTATTTTTTTATTAAAATTTAACGCAGGTGAAACCACGGGCACAGTAAGTAAATAATAAATATTGACCTTGGATTATGCAGTAATTGTTTTGATAAGGAAACCTTGAAAATTTTATTTATTATTTATTACAGATTAGAAAACCTCCAGTACCGACAAAGAAAAGTCCGACAATGTCGAGCGGTGTTGGTGGGTGGCTCAAAAGTAAAATGTTATCGTCGACTGAAAAGTAAGACCTGATTTAGCAATTTGTACTACAATAAAAAAAATGTATCAAATTTTAATTAAAAACATTGTTATTTTGCCTTATTTATAATACGTGTTAAATGGTTAGATAATCTGTGAATTGTATAAAAACATTAATAACTATGCTTATCGCTAAAATCCATATCAAATCCGTTAAGAATTGCCTAAGATATAGCGTTTTATATGCGTGGGCCTTACAGTTGTACTAAAATAGTAGTAATATGTTAATATAAATCTTATATGTATATCATACCGTCAAGAATGGTCAATATATTATTTTTGGGGACATAGATTCCATATTAGCCGTACCATATTAATGTTACCATTCACAGTTTTTTTCTTCATATTCCGTTTTGCACAAACATCTTCATACAACTTATTTAAATTTTAAATGCGGTGCTAGAAGACCGTTTATTTTTAGCTGGTGGCTTTCAAAGCCGAGAAGTATATGGCTGTTTATAATGATTTGATAACTTTAAATGTTAAAAAGCTTGAAACTTAGCTGCCAAAATAATGCTGACCACTCTGTGTCACGGTATTTATGCAGTCGAATGTAATAGAAAAGAGGCATGACCACTAAAACCTACCTACCTAGTAAATATAAGAAAATAGAGTTTGTAACAGGAGGAAATAATATTCTGTGGATCTTCAGCCATAGCTATATATAATATAAGTGATTGCTATTTGTACATGACAGATATATGAGAAAAAATACTAATGGGCCGTTTTATCGACGTAGTAAAACCCAAAACAATACATATTAGAATTTTTGCCTCTTAGTCCGAGCGTTTATGCGTGCTAATCTTGAAAACGGCCTAACCGAATTTGGGTGCGGTTTTCCCTTATATGTATTACTAGCTACTCGCCCCGGCTTTGCACGGATGTACATGTACTATATATATAAACCCTCTTCTTAAATCACTTTATCTATTATTTAAAAAACCGCTTGAAAATCTGTTGCGTAGTTTTAAAGATTTAAGCATACATAGGGACAGACACATCTGTCTGTCCCTATGTATGCTTAAATCTTCGTATATTGAAAATATGTATAAAATGTCGATGGTAAGTTACACTTAAAATTTAGTGTTTACATTTTTCCAATCTTTTCAAAACAAAAAAGGCATACGGGAACTAAGTCGCGGATTCAGCTAATCAAGAATCTGATTATGTAAGCAAGTTTTTACTTTAGAGTTTACGCCTATACTAATTGTGGGCGATAAAGGAAACCAGGGAATTGTAAGATATATATTATCAATGAAACATCACAAACACAGGAAGGGTAACCGAAAAATATATATAAAGCTTTATAAATACAATAGACTAAGTGGCCTGTATTATACACTAATGATAAACAGAGAGAAGTCATCATCGACAACTGTGAGCAGCGGCAGCAGTAGCGGCGGCGAGTGGGACCGTCCCGACGGCGGTGGCGCCAGCAAGCCGCCCAACAACGCCGCCACGTTCGACCATGTCGAGCGGAACTCGTTACTCAACGACCCACGCGCCAGCAGGTAACACATATATTAATAACTTGGTCTGCAGTTTCATCATATACATTGATTACTAAATAAGATTTTCGTTCATATAATATGTATGTGTCTAGGAAGTTGATTCCAAAAAATGATGAAACAGTATATTTATTTTACTGTGGAGGAAGGAAAACTTAATGGAGATTAAATAGCATAAATATAAATAGGCTCTTCTTGCTTCGCATCATTTTGTTTCTCATATCGCATAATTGACTGAACGGCCTTTGACTAACGACATTTGGTTGATATAAATCTATCTAGTTCTTACCAACTTGCAATATGTTACTACCTCCTATCCTACTCGGTTTTACGGAGATTTGTTGTCAGTTTTCCTTTTCTACCCAACAATATTTTTGTATTATATCAAACATTGCCAAAGCTATTCCTTTGATTATTATCTTTGATCCAATCCGAGCGTTTGCCAGTGGTAAGTACAACAGAAAAATGTTAGGTATTATATATTTATTTGGTTTCTTGCTAAAATTTCGGACTCTTTTCCAGAGCGAAAGCGCCGAGACGCAGACCACCCAGTCAAGGAGTAAGAGATGAATCGCCTCAGCAAATAGGCCTCAGTAATGGACATGAAGGTAATTTAAGAAAATATTACATACAACTTCTAATGACGGATACAATTTGTTTCTTTTTAATACCTGGTAGGTATTGAATAGACAAAGTAATTATAAACGAACTAATCTTAAACGATAAGCAATGATAGCTTGATTTTTTTTGTTCTTGTTGTTGTTCTTTCTTATTGTTTCTCCAGAAATTATTATTCTCCAGTAATTTCTTTAATATATATATAATATATTGGAGCTACAACTGTTTTATTAAGAATATCAACTTCATTATAATTCTATCGTTAGCCGCCCCAGCGGAAAAACCTCCCCTCGAGAAAGTGGAAGAGATAAGGCCTCGCACGCGAGAGTGGGAGAAGCATAGAGCGCCATGGATGGAGGAGTTGAAGCTAAACCAAGCAAAGAAGACCAGCATCGGAACTGACGGCAAGCCGCGCCCCGCCGGGGCCGGCAGCACCGACAGGTACTAACTGCATTATACTTGTGAGCGAAGGGACTATATTATTACTATGCTGGTAAATTTAATTATGGAAAGACAGTGTTTCTATAAAGAAAAATAGTATGTTTAATATGTAACGAAAGTAGAGCAGATAAAAGAAGAAACAACGCAGTACTTTATAATAAAAAATGTAAACAATATGTAAAAACGTGCATATTTAAATTTTTTAATCGTACTGATTTTTACTTTTGTTGTTAACTGTTTGTTAAGTCTAAGTAGGTATGTTAATATTGAACTGAGCTAAATATATTATAAAAGTCAAATTTAATTATAGAAGCCATAATGCCTTATTTATAACACGCTTTCTATAAATATAAGTTAGATGTCACTTAAATGTTATAGTATATTAGTGTGAGATATCTTCATCTAGTCTTCTATTTAATGGCACTGTGAACTGCTATACTACATTTGCAATAGATAATAATATTGTTCAAAGTCTATAGTTAGTTACGATGCTTTTGTATTACTGGTAGTTATAAGCAATTAGTAAAATTGCATAATATTCGTGTAATTACAGAATTTTGGATGTTGGTCTCGACGAGAAAAGGCCAACAAGTCATTCTATGGAAATGTCGAAGAGCACCTCGTCCATTAGCAGCCGAATGTCAGTCTTGGAGAGTTTCGAGGAGGTGGGTATACATATATTAAAATCCATGTGTGATGATGGACTTTTACATCCACTCCATCCTAACCTAACCTAACAATGCAAACATGTTATCATTTTGTATTAATTGTTTAAAGGGTTTCAAATAAAATAATTATTTAAATATAGACAGAATCTCTATATTGTATGTTTGAGTGAAACACATAAATTCTTAAATAAATAAAAAGGTAAATATTTAGTGTTTTATGAATGTTTCAGACGAAAGTGCGTCATTCGTTGGACTCTAAGAAGGACACCGCCCCAGTAGCTCGTGAACGCGAAGAACCCGCCAGCAAACCTGCAGTACAATCGCCAACCGCCGCAGGTACCTTTATAATTGGATCTTAAAACCTTTATTGCCTATGTACGTCCAAACATAATATATTATTCATATATATACTAAGATAGATTTTGCACCATATATATATTATATATATTGCCTTTATATTGTGGGATTGTTTTCTTTTTACTTATTTATACATCATACTCTCATGTATACATTATTTGTGAATGATAAATAAACCATTTTCATTTATAAATATTGTAGTATAGAATTTTTGTATTGTTGATTCTATTACAGGCCGAACATTAGCAAGTATGTTAGACGAGGTTAAGAAGCCTACAACGCCTCACCCACCTTCAGCGACCACTCGTACAACCGAATCTACCCCACCCTCTGATAAATCTTCAAACGCCAAACCAGAAAAGACTGCAAGTAGTACAGAGAAGCATAACGAAGTTAACACGATCACAAAATCGTCAGAAATGTTCGAGAAAATATCGAATACTACAGAAATCATAGAGAAATTGGAAGAGAAAGCACCAGAGAAGCCGTCTAACTTATTCACTAGCGATAGGAGTGTATCGACGACTTTAGAGAGACTCAAACAGCTCAAAATAGATAAACCAGAAGCCACGGACGCGTTGGTAGCGCAGCTCAATACTAGAGTGAGTAGATTATTTCATTTATTTAATAATACGCAGATGGAAGGAGTGCAAAGATGACGTGTTAAGTATGGTTAAATTATGTACCCTACCAGTTTTGGAAATAATTATTTAATTATCATATTATGTGTAACTGTTCATTTGTAATAATCGGCCTTAATAAATTATATTGTTTGTTACTAATCTAGTTGTAACAAATTGCTTGAATAAAAGGAAATGCGAATTTTTCACATGCAACGCGACATTAAATGTGTGCGAAGAATGCATTCGGCTTTGCATTATCAACTTAATTAAAGATAATAATTTCTTGTAAGGTACCTTTCTGTGTTGAATAAATATTGAATTATAGTACTAATATTTCTCGTCTGAAACTATGCATAAATTTGAACGCTGCAGGCCAAAATTCCTTATCATTGAAAATTCTAAGAAATATATGACCTACTATATATATAAGCACACAATGTGTGTTATGGTTATTTCATCTTATTTACATTTTACAGATATTAAAGTTGGAGAAAATCATAGAAGATCAGAATACTACATTTAAAGCTGCCATCGACGATCTCAATAGAAAGCTAATGATAGAAACAGAGAAGCGACAGGCTCTGCAAGCTGAGATCGAAAAGCTAGCGCAGTGTGTTACACAAGTGTAGCCTTTATTACATGTGCCACTTAAGTCAATTCACCGTGGCCGTACAACTTCGAGAGAATTTTCGTGTTACGTTTCATTGTTAGTTAGGGAAAATGATGACGATTAGAATCACTCGGGAAATTTTCGAGTTTCTTGACCGTTTTATTGATATATATACCTAATTATACACTGCTTATGTACTAAAAGCTTTATCGGATATATTTTATTTTGTAATACAATTTTTTTATAAATTTTTGTGATGCATTGTTAATGTTAGCATATAATTTATGCTGTATATACTTATAATTTCGTTAAGGAGATAGTCCGAGAGTGGATTACCAGAATATATTGTACTTAGCGGTCATCGTCATGTATTTAAAATAATTGACGCAAAATGCAATTTCAATTAATGTTTTATCTAATAGCATTTTTTAGCTCAATATTTAACTGAGCGCCATATTAGTGTAAAATAAAATTTCACTTGGCGAAGGACGTTGGCGCGTTGTTTTTAGCCTCTGGTTAGGAAACAATGTAGTGTATGCATGGGTAATTGCGTGATATTAGTTCGTCACAACATAAATGATATGCGTACATGAGATTAAATTAATTTAAGGTAGGAAAAGTTAATTAGGCGTATAAACAAGATGTAGGGCGTCAACAATAATGCAGCTAAATCCCGCCTAAATCAGTGCATAATGACTACATAATCAATTCCTAATAAAGTTCGCATTAAAACAAAGTTTAAATCAGTATAGATAGTGATATTTTTATATTCAGTAATAATTGTAATGTAATCTATTTTCTATTAGTTACTAGTACATTGCTTAAACTTGTAACTAATAAAGATTAAAAGTAGGAACACACAATATAACCAAACATACCTTTACATTGGTGTTATCCAAATCTGATCGCTATGGGCTGGATTAGTGTTTTTTATAACTAGAAGAGGATGTTACTTTATTTTAGTTGCATAAATTAGTAAAGCTCTACAGTTTTTCCTATAGTCAAGTTCAATCTGAGATAATATTAGAAATTTTATATCCTATTTTTGTTCTATATAATTAATAATATATATATATATATATTCATATAATGATATAAGCATTGAAGGTTGTGCAACATAACGACATATATAACAAAAGTTTATTGCCCTGGAATATTATGTTCTATTTACTGCATAATACTAATTAATTCGAAAGTGCTGCTAATTCGAATTGTATCTCAAATATAACATTGTAACTTTTAATAACGCCTAATCGGATAAGTTATGTAGGTAAGACTTGCGTTATGTAAGCGTTGTGTACGATAACAAAATTTGTGCCATTTTAATTTCGTTGCACATTTGTATATTGACATCAGATTGTACTATAAGTAAATATGAATGAATGAATATAATGTCTAAATTAGATTACAATATAGTATTGTGATTAATACATTCCATATACATAAAATTTTAACAATGTAATCCAATATTTATATTACATATATAATTATTTATTGGAAGGGAATATTTAACCAAAGCTTCATTTAGTGGGGTATGTGGTGATTACAGTACCTCCTTTGTATATTTATTGAGCAGAAGCCATATTTTAACTACAATTAATATATTTTTATATTTGTACAGACATTATTCAAATTGTTATTTAGATGACGCTGTACCTTTTTAAATACATATCTCTTGTATTTGTTTTTATTGTACCACCTTTGTAATATAAGAATGTTTCCGAAATATAATCGATGTATGAATTAATAAAATATTTTGTAACCAGAAATCCGGTTGTGTTTTGCCATCCAATGTGTTTTACAGTCAAGTATTATTGCTTTATGGGTGAACTGATTAATGTAATTAGTGGTGATATAAAAATAATAATTTTATGTTTCATGTTTTGTAGATTTAGGTTACGATGTGATAGACGTTGCCTAACTTATATATTTTGAATTTTATTCGTCAATAATTTGTATGGCTTTAATATGCACAAATAAGGTCACACAATGTTATTATAACATGCCACCTGTATATGTAGGTTAAAATATAATCGGTTTTATAATGTATAAAATTGGCACTAAATTAGATGTATGTAATTGTCTGACATTCAAATTTATAATATGAATTGTATCACGAGTGTTTTCATATATCAAACTTTGTTATAGATTTAGTAATTTACAATGTAATTTTTGTTGCAATAAAGCATAATAATTTAATTTTTTACATAATAATTATGGTATAAATGTTATTTGATCTATTTATTTCATATTTGTAGTAACCAAGCTTAAGAAAACAAACTTTTTGTCTGTGTATATGTGGGGTCATAGGAGTTGGCCGCATTTTCATGCTAACATTGGCTGATCATGTTTGGTTGTTTTATTACGCCACATGGACTAAGGCTCTAGAGATTCTTAAATTATACTCAATATTGTCTATTATACTGATATTAGATAGGTACAAAGCGTACAAAGATATAGAAAGTTATATGGATGTTTTCTTAGGCGTATTGTTTCGTGCTCTTTACAAACGGAAAGACTGAATGTCTGGTTGCATAACATATACATAAAGGTTATTGATATTTATATGCATAATTTCTCATTCATCAATCTTTGTATAATTATCTATTTACAGTGACTGTAACTTTACTATTAGGAAGTGGGCTCACGTTATCTAATTTTGACCAAACGGCCTATGTAGACAACGTCTTTCGATTGACGCCCTAAAAGGACGAACGACGGCCCTAAAGGGCGAATTGTCGGGCTAAATTGATAATATAAGCCCGCTCTAACACACCTCATGTAGTATGTTTTGAGAAGAGCTAAATTTAAATACATTTCTCTTCACGAAACAATTAACAACGATATTAGCTTACTTTAACTTATTGTCGTAAATATATAAAAGTTTTCGACTTGACTTTTTTCCGTTTATCGATAATTGCTGTTTTGTTCTTTTTTTAATGTGAAGAATTATGTTTAAAAAAAGAGACGAAATAATACGCCAAAAACTATTGTTGGCCTACTGACTGACCATATGAAAATGAACTACTGTAATTTCACCCTTTTAGATCACAATTAAGTCAGTAATAATATTAATTTGTGTAATTTGTAATACCTTTTTTTAATTATTATTGAGCAAAACAGGACAGGTGCAATTGCTATACCAATATTTTTATTACTATAAAATTCTTTAATATATGAATTTCATGTACCTATGCTTTTTGTCTGATTTACATTTAATTTATTAATCTTTGTTTAATGGTTTCATTAAGACACACGCCTAGTTTGAATGAATAATAATAATAATACTTGTATGTCTCATAATATAATATATTAACAGTTGTTGAAATAAACTCAGTATTTTAATATAAAAAACATGACATTACCGACTACAATTTATTTATTTATTACTAGTTGTACCCGCGACTTTGTTCGCGTGGCATTTAACAAAAAAGTAAGTTTTTTTTAAAATGAAAGTAGCCTAAGTTACTCCTTAGTACATCAGCTACCTGCCAAAAAATATGCCGTCAAAATAGGTCCTGCCATGTCAGAGATTAGCCGGAACAAACAGACAGACAAAAATTATAAAAAATGTTATTTCGGTGTGTTTCGGTGAACCGTATTTATATTCATATGCATGTGGTAAAAAACGGTTATTTTAATATTACAAATAGGCATTCCAATTTTATTTATATGTATAGATTTATATCGCGTTAGGGGGCTCCATTGACAGAACTTTAAGAATGAATCCCTAAAATTGCTTTACCTTTCGTTCTGGTTCTACATAAAAAATACATTAGAGCCGTATTCCTCAAATATTATCCAAATCAGTAGTCACTTCATGAATTTTCTACCGACTTTAAAAAGGACGTAGATTTCGGTTTTATGTGTTATTGCACTTGTTATTCGTTATCAACATGCATTCTGAACCGTTTTTAATGAGTCTCTTTTAATGCTTTTTAGTCACAAACTAATGTTATTAAAATTAAAGTTTTTTTTTGTCTAAGAAAATAACTTATAGTATCCAATAATGTGTTTTTCATTTTGGTCCGATATTAAGTTTGACCTTTACTGTGTGCGTGTGTGTGTGTATGAATTTATCATAACAACATTGCTTAAACGGTGGACTTTACTGCTGCTATCACGTTTCTATAAAAATATAGATTCATGCTAAGTATTGCCACGAATTCAAAAACTCGTATGTGAAAATGTCATAATACATATTTCTACTAAACTAACATACGGCAAAACGAATTGTTGCGAATTTGCAATCATTATTTGTTCTAAAGTTTGTTTTTTTTTCCTATTATAATCATCGTGTCTAATATCCTATAGCAGATCTTTCCCCACAAGTAGACACTTTTCTACACTACCATGCTGGCCGACTTGGTAGTTTTTTATTTCTTAAATCTAATTGGTTATTTTTCGTCAAACTCTAGTATTTTGGGCCTATGTAGCTAGAACAAAAAGTGATGATATTATATTGTATTCGTCAGTTTACAATTTTTTTATATATTATCATCATTACCAAATCTAATTATGTATTTATCTAGAAAAAATATTAACTGTAAAACCACAAAAATTATCAAGAAATAGAGACATTACGATTCGCAAGATCGACCTTAAACTTCATGAAGCCAATTTTGCTTTTATTGTTAGTTAGCAACATACTATAAAATAATGTACATACAAAACTTGTTTCAAAGTACATAGTAATGAAATAAAAGGTTTATGTGATAAACCATAGAGAAAAGTGTATGATATAGAATAATTATTCGATATTTGTTTTTAATAGTACTTAAATTATTTTATATGTGCTGTAATGTACCTTCCCATTTCATGCATTCCTAAGGTTTCATGGTTTAGATTAATCAACATATAGAATAATAAATTAAAATTATTATATACCAGCTTTGTTTTATTACTTACCATCCAAAATTAGGTTATTATTTTATAGGTATTCATTCAGAGTAAATATTGAATTTACCTCAATATTTTTGTGGTAACTTAGGTACTTATATAAACAATGAATTCTGCTTAAAAGAACCTATAGAAGACTTACGAAATTTTGAAATGTTTCACATGTGTATGTATGTATATGATATTTTGTGAATAATACAATGTAATTTACAGTAGGTCCTAATATGAAAAAAGCATTTGTTTTTTTTTTAATTTCTTCACAATTACAGCATGTTGGTATGAAAATATATAAGCCGGTTAATATGTTAATTGCAGTGATTAGACAGTTATGCATAGTCGAATCATTACCACATCAGTTGTGTAAGTGCAGTTGACTAGACGTACTTGATCTATAAATGGCTCCTCAAATTAAATATACAAAAGTATGTATTATTAATTGTAATATTTTATATTTGTTATTATGTATTAACTAAACTTCTTAGTATTTTTTTTTATTGAGTTAATTTCGTGAATTTTTGCAAGATTTTTGTAGACAACGAATGGGTGGATTCCAAAAGTGGGAAGACATTCGAGACTTATAATCCTCATGATGGATCTGTGATTGCAAAAGTAGCAGAAGGAGATAAGGTAATAAAAAAAAAGATTAAAGAAATTGTTGTTTAAAATGCATATACTTTCTTTAAAGTTGTTTAAAACTTTCAATACGAGTAAAATAACCATAGTTATATTCCTAACGATGGCAACGAAATATTATTTATAGTCATTTTATATTACATGTATATGGTTTAATGCCTTGATTGAAGCCAAAAAGATTAAATTTGGTCGATTGCAAAGAAACTGTCAGTTTACATTTGTGATTAATTTTCTGGTGATGGAAGAACCGGCAATAAACCAATTTATAACGTGAATAGGCGGTAAACTCGTCTTTTGCTATGTATTATTCAAATATGCGCAAAAAAAATGTTTATCAAGATATATCATACACTTCTGGTGTTTCAGACGTCCATAGGCTGACGGTACCTAATCGTTTCTCATGAAATGGGCCGTATACTTGTTTGCCGATATATTATATAAAAAAAAACTTACCATACTATCAGATAAGTCAACATTGGGCTATCAAAATGATATATTTGTATATTATAATATATTGCTAGAATATACTTCATTGCTAGAAGTCCAGCATTTAGTATTTGCAACCGGGATACATAAAACGATGAGATAATATATAAAAGAGGTAAGAATAAAGATTGGTACTCTGTTTTCTCTGTCAACCGTACGTAAAAGTCCTGGCGAGAGGACAGAAAGATTAGTTATGTACAGCTACATAAATAAGATTGTACTGTATAATATATAATTAATAATAAAGGTCAATTTGGGTAGGTTGATATAGATGTGGCGGTGAGGGCCGCACATCGAGCGTTTCATCGCAATTCGGAATGGCGCCTGATGGATGCATCGGAACGTGGTCGGATTCTTCAGAAGTTTGCGGATCTGGTAGAGCGAGATGCTAAATATCTTGCAGAACTCGAAAGTTTTAACAATGGGACGGTGCTAAGTTTCTCTCATAGTATGATAGCAATGGTTTTACCAGTCATTCGATACATCGGAAGTTTAAGTGATAAAATTCAGGGAGACACCGTGCCAGCAGGTATAGATTTTATAGTGTTTTTTGGCATGTAGCTACTAGTGGGCGTGCTTTGTCATACGAAGTGATTAAAAATATAACCGTTATTAAATTGACGACTTGATGATTACATTTATTTTTTTAAATAGATATATAGATACTTACCTAGACTCTCCATCTATTGTAGTAAAAAAATAAATATTATTATACAATACAATGCCAGAAATATTAATTATTAGGTACGCTGTTACATGATCGTGACTTTAATATGTGATAATAACATTAATGGTTAGTTCATTGTTGTCAATTTAATGTCTTAATTTAAAAATGATTTAATTTATCAAAATCTGTATTTTACCTGCGTATTTGTTAAAGGTCAATCATCAATAAGATATCTGACAGTTATTAAAAATAAGTTTATAAATGTATAGATGGCGAAGTCTTCAGCTACACTTTGAAGCAACCCGTCGGAGTTTGTGGACTAATTTTGCCATGGAATGCTCCAATTGCTATGTTCATTAATAAAGTCACTTCAGCCCTTGCCGCTGGTAATACCTAATTAATTTTCTAATTTCCTACCCATATTTTACACAACATACCATGGTACCGTGATATTAATATACTGTCCACAGTGGCTCATATTGGCAATTTTACCTCTGAAAGGACCAGAAAACTATAGATTTAGTGAGATTTTATTAGATTAGAGTCAGAACCTAGAACTAATCACACTTGATATTTTTAGGACACAGAGAACGGTTGTAAATTACATTTTAGTAACTTTTTTGCCCGATATCTGACTAATCAAAATTAACAAATTTCACTGACTTATCTAGAAAACGTTACAAGTGTAATGTAAGTATTAAGTGTCTGTAATACATCAATTTCACTTGATGTTGTAGACCTAATTAATAGATATTTATTATTTTGATAATGTAATAAGCGCTAGATTTCTTCATTAAGGGATACCTATATGCTCTAAGATATGTACAATTATAAGATTTATTGTTTTGCTCTAGATTGGTACTTACATGAACTATCTAATAAGATATGATTATGTTTTATGTAAGTAGGTACTACCACAGATAAGATAATATTACATAGTACTATTAATAAAGTAGTCAACATCTCTTTAGTTTGTAAGAGAAACACAGAAACTGACCTAGTCATTGCAATGCATTATGACTATCTATCAGATAAGTATTCAGCAGCTCAGATTATATGTAGGCAATAGTATTATATATCTATACTTTTTATTAAACTTGTTATTGTTATATGAAAATGTTTTTGTTATATACATTATTGGGGGCGGTCTTATATCGGAAAGAAATCTCTTTCAACCACTTAACTATGTGACAGTGATGCTAATTATCGGGCAATCGTAATGCAAAAAACGAGTATTCTAAAGACATAAAAAGATTCAATTATATATCTATTAAAAACATAACAACAGATATACCTATACATCGTACAAATAATATATCTAACTTATATTTACTACTGTAATTCTATTCAATTAAATATAAGATTATTTGTAAGGTTGCACAGTGGTCGTGAAACCAGCAGAACAGACACCGCTGACGGCTTTAGCTTTGGCAGCACTGCTTGCGGAAGCTGGCGTTCCCAAGGGCGTCGTCAACGTGGTGCCCGGTTTTGGAAAAACGGCCGGTGCTGCTCTCACACACCATCCGGATGTTGCTAAAATTTCATTCACAGGCTCTGTTGTGGTACGGACTACTGTTTGTTAATGACTTTAGTTTGCTAGTTTCCATCCGTGAATTTGTGCACGTTTGTTTACTTGGGATGTATTTATGGAACTGAAAAAAAAATAGCACGTGTTCTTATTCATTCCATATAAAATATAAATGATAAATTTCGTCATGATAGAGAGACAGATAATAGACCTTTTTAAGTGCTACTGGAAAGTCAAAAGCGCCTCATGGTTAGGTGGTAATCGTCGTCTATATACATGAATAGTATTACAGACATTACTATATCATGCGACGTTCGTGGTACCATTAATGCGTTGTCATGCTGTCCACTCCCGAGGACTAAGATATCCCTTAAATTCACTGCTTTATCTAAGCCGAACACAGTTTACTAAACAAACTGACTGGCAGCTGCAATAGGTAAGACAATTAGTTACCCACGCATACGATTTTTTGCTAAGCCTCGATAAAACTTACTTCCTAATCAGATGTTTTGAGCTATCAATGACTCATTACTTGAACTAGAATATAAATGTAGAACAGATTTACTTATAAAACTTAGGCAACAGCGTCGTGATCAGATTTAAGAATGTAATACGGTCTTAAAGTTAGCCAGTCAATAGGTGCTATGACTTAATTTATGTGAGTACGTGTTTGGATTACTTTTATTGTGTTTTCTGTTGTTGTTAGGTTGGCAAGGAAATACAACAAGCTGCAGGAGTCAACAATCTTAAAAGGATCACTTTGGAGCTGGGTGGCAAAAGCCCACTTATTATAATGAACGATGCCGATTGTAAGTTTCGTCTCTAGCATCTCTATCTCCTAATTATTTACTAGATGGTTTGCTGTACTATTTATTCTTATATAAAAATTCTATTTTGCAAGAAAAATTATTGTTGAGATTGTGGACAATGAAGGACACCAGCAGGGAATTGTCGTAATATGTATAATATATTATTATACAAAGAACTACTAACTAGGGTTAGAAAGGGAAACCGAAAGCAACAATAGGAAGAAGTGACAATTGAAAAAAGAATATGGTATTTGAAATATAAAGCTTATAACATAGAACTATGCATCTATATATATAAATAAAATTGGAGTGTCTGTTTGAAATATTGAAATGACTGTTTTTTACTACATGCATGTTAATATAAATACGATACATACACCAAAAAACATTTTTTTAAATTTTTGTTTGTCTGTCTGTTTGCTCCGGCTAATCTCTGAAATGGCTGCGATTTTGACGCGACTTCTATTGGCTGGGTAGCTGATGTAATAAGAAGTAACTTAGGCTACTTTTATTTTAGAAAAATAAAGTTAAATTCCACGCGGACGCAGTCGCAGGTACAGCTAGTATTAAATAAGTGGTCTGTATTCCGCAGAGATACTACTAATACCTATACAAAAATCTGTTTTCTTTAAATGATCTGTATTTTTTAAATGATAATTTTTTTATAGATCTTTGCCATTGAAGAAGTGTATCCATTTTCCGATAATATTATGACGAAAATAATGTTTAATACAAATATTCACTGTCTGTTATTTTTGTTTGCCTGTTATCCTGGTTGGGACGCACATTGTGAACGCTAAATTTGGCATACTTATTTTGAATCCAACGCGGCACTGTAGTGCCTATCGATAACATTCAGAATAGTTGGTTTGTTTTTTTATTAGGTACCTACTGGAGAGTTAGTAAGAAATATGCGACTATATCAAACATTGTCAATTTTATCTTTTTGATCATTTATTGAAAGACTATTTGGTATCTATACCTATTATTTGGCTATTGGTAAATGCCTCGGTATAATAAATATATTTTAATTATCAGTAACAGTGGCTGTACCGTATGCTGCTTTGGGTGTATTTACAATGCAAGGACAAGTTTGTATCGCCGCGTCGCGGTTGTACGTCCAATCAGATATTTATGACAAGTTTGTGGAGGCAGCAGTCAAACACGCCAGATCAATTAAAATTGGAAATCCAGCCGATCCCACTACGCAACACGGGCCACAGGTATTTTCATCCCTATTTCAAATACCTCATGGAGGTAATAATTGATTTGATTCATTCTTTCATTCACGTATGATCACACACTAACAAAGATAATTATTTGCACACCATTTATACAGAATATCTTTGTTTACTGTACTGAAAAAAATATGGAGTACCTAATAGGTATTTATCTGAAAGCATTTCAATTGAACGTTCGTGAACGTGAAGGGTGATACATTCTACTTCATTTTCAGAGAAAATTCAAATCGCTTTTTACAATTTATTGTGTCCATTGTTATTGTTGTCTACGTATGATACTTTTACTACATAAAATGTACACTACATGTAATGCCTTCAGTTTCACGTGCTGTGGGGTTTTTACAGTGTAGGAGTCTCACAGTACCCATTCTTTCAACCACTTCCCTTGTGGGAAGAGGAATTTAATAACCCCATTGCTGGCAATGTATCATATCAGGTTGACCTCCACACCTTCAAACCTTCTTCGTAAATTGCCATTTGCATGAAGTCAGATGGGCTGACTGACTTCATGCTCATTTTATTAGCCTACGCTGGTGCCCCGCCAGTGTAAACACTTTGTGTAGGCAGGTGCATTATGCCATTATTATCTCTAAAAAAAACCACTGAGACGGTCTGGCCTCTATTAAGTATTTTCCCTAGGTAAAAAAGTTATAATAATATACCTAGGCGTGATGCAAGTAATAATAAACTTCTATAATTTGATACAAAAGATGGTTTTCTAATTTAACTCTATAAAATGATAGTATATCGTTATGAACTACAAATTTCATTACAGGTGGACGAGACTATGATGAAAAAAGTTTTAGGATATATTGAAAAAGGCAAACTAGAAGGTGCTAAATTAATGACCGGGGGCAAGCGTGTCGGACACGAGGGTTACTATATCGAACCTACAGTATTTGCTGATGTGAAGGACGACATGACCATAGCCAAGGAAGAGGTAAGTTAACAGTTAGATACACTCATACAACTTATTTAATGAATTTTAAAATCAAAGTTTCTATTATTATTCTTTGTTTAGTATGGTTTTTCCCACTCGTTTATGCCAGTGTATGACCGATCTATTGGTAAAAATTCTAGTCGAATTCTGTATTACATATTCTGTTATTAGTAAGTGGTAACCGTCGCCGATATAGGTACATATGTATATATATATATATATATATATATATATATATATATATATATATATATATATATATATATATATATATATATATATATAATACAATTGCCCTTTCAGAGAATTACGATAGTTACCATGATTCGGCCTTTAAGTAATACACGCATTCCAGTGTATTACGATGTCATCCCTTCGTACATTGTAATTTCACTACCTTATCTCATCCTTCAACTCAAATTTATGTTGTAAAAAGCAAGCTTCTGCAATGCTACAGCTGAAATAGTCAAGACCTAAGCGAGCAGATCACTTTGTACAAAATTTACCTCGGTAAAATATTAGGGCAACTGTACTGATCTCTAGTTATCTCAATCGGTACTCATACACATTTGTCCAAGATTAATTATGGCATAATATATCAGAATTAGCGCAGACCTGTAGGTCTTGGATAAAGCTATATTGCTAATATTTAGGAATTAATCAAAATTAATAAAAAAATATGAAGTAGGTAGGTAATAAACTTGCTTTCAATCAAACACTCGTAAGTTTGTTTTATACAGAAACATTAGGTAGGTACATTAGCCTTAGTATATAAGTTCAAATATCAAAAGTTATCATATCAAAAGTTCTGGTGTTTAAACGCATATTAATAAATTGTTAAATTAATTTGAATTTGGTCTAAATATTCGTCATTATAAAACTAGTTGTTATATTAAAAAAAATTGCAGTGATTAAATCTAGCTCTACGTTGGTAAAATGATCTCTACCAATAACCTTTATTTTTGTTATGCGTGGAATTTTATTTTATTTTTCTAAAATAAAAGTAGCCTAAGTTACTCCTTATTACATCAGCTACCGTCAAAATCGGTCCAGCCATTTCAGATATTAGCCGGAACAAACAGACAGACAGACAGAAATTGTAAAAAATGTAATTTCGGTATATGTACGGTACATATATAAAATCTAGATTCATATGCATGTCGTAAAAAACGGAGTGTCTGTTTGTTAATTTCAATATTACAAACAGACACTCAAATTTTATTTATATGCGACTAGAGTTATGGTAACGATATATTATTTGCAATAGATTTTTGGACCAGTTCAGAGTATTCTAAAATTCGATACTCTAGAGGAGGTATTGGAGCGAGCTAACAGCACCAGCTATGGTCTTTCTGCTGGTATTTTCACCACGAACCTCAACACGGCTTTACAGTTCACTAAACACGTTGAGGCTGGCACAGTTTGGTAAGACTTGCTCATGTATTTTCGTCATTTCCTTATAATTGAGTAAATAGGAAACTTAAATATTTGTGTAATATCGTTTACTTATGAATAATTTATATATTTTGAACAGGGTGAACAATTATTTAAAAATAGATCCACATGTTCCATTTGGTGGTTTTAAGGACTCTGGACTTGGCCGAGAATAGTGAGTGTTTTATATTTTTCCTTTCATATTAGAATCATTCATGATATACGAATGTACTTAATATTTTTTCCAAAATAAGCTGCAAAGTTTGATCAACTTCGTTCATCAGAGTGAACTGAGTCTGAGACTTGTCTAAATAATAAAAATATTTTACATATCTTATGTGATTCGAAATAAAACTATATATTTTTCTAATTGATTGTCATTATAGATATATTTATTTAGTTCTCATTTAAAGTCTAGAATGTAATTGCACTCTATTAATTTTTTGATGTTCATTTTCTTTATTCTGACCTATTTATAATTTTACTTCTTATTTGCAGTGGCCTTTATTGTTTGGATCCGTATTTAGAAGTGAAGACTGTGATTGTAGCGCTGTCCAAGAAACTTTAAAATTAACTAAAACATCATTTAATTACACACACACACACACATGCACAGATATCTATTGCCTCCAGTATCGTAAAGTGGAAGGGTCTGACAATTCCATTTATTAAACTATCAAAATAAGAATGTCTTTTTATTAAATAGTATACTACTAAAAGAATATCCTTGACCGACGATTCCTTGGCGATTTCATTTATGACATTATGAGTCGGTTCACATAAGATCGGATCAACTGATCCATCGGGACGATAAATGTGTTTTATATGTATTGATGTTATAGCACTATCCACATTACTGGGATCCAATTCGATAAAACTGTAGACGATATAATTTATCGAATATTGTGCCACGATTTGTTGTAGTTGTTTTGAGTAGATAGCCAGTTGTAGTCGTCTAGCGGAAAATGAATGTTTTAAGTGAAGACCGGCTCCAATTTCATCTACGTTCAACAATATTACATTATAGCTTATATCTATTTGGGTTAATATATATTTCAAATAGAATAAGAATTTTTCAAGTAAGTGCAGAAGTTTCGTGGATTTATCTTTAATATTGCAAGTAAAAAATTACTTTTTTATTGTAGCTAGTAAGTACAATACGTGTACCCATTTTGGACACATACACATAGGTACACTTATTATAAATACCGAGCTTAACTATTAATAGGTAATCTTGTTGTAGGTATTTATAATAAGTGTATCTATGTGTATGTGTCCAAAATGGGTACACGTATTGTATTTATAAGAATTATACCTATAATATAATTTTATTAAATGTGATTATAAATGAATTTTTGTTAATACTAACAAAAAATTATGAAAATATTTTGTTAATACTATTTCAATTAGTTGCAGCTAATTGAAATAGTATTAACAAAAACCATGAAAATTGCGAATAAAAAAGATATCGAGAATGGTAAAAAGTAGTCTTTGTTTATTGTTGCTTTAATAAAAAGTAGACAGATCATACTATTGTATAATTGTCGTATAAGTACGTAATATACAGATTCATTATCAGGCTATTCGGGCCTAATAAGTATAAAAGCAAGATATTATTGACAGTTTCAATTTACTGTTTATCTTTTTTTCATAGATCTCTCGACTAAAAATTACAACAATATTCGATCTCATCATTTGCATTGCTACAGTATTATTAGCTCATCATCTGAGTAATTAATAAAATATTTAACACTCGCTTCAAAATATTACAGACGAATTTTATTGTACATTTAAAATTACCTATTTCCACTTTAGGAATTTAATGAAGATTTTAGGTAAATTATAAAAGCTAAGTATACAAATTGGATTATTTGAACTAAGTCTCTGTAATAAATTCCAATTTCTGAGGAGAATTTTTCGTAATAATTTATAATAGGTATAATAGGCAGGTAATTAAGACTTTTTAGGAGTCGTGGGCTTATTTCGTGACTGTAAAAAAACAATTGTTCATAACTTTATTTAGGTTTAAATATAAAGAAATAACAATCACTATGTAACAATAAATATATTTAACAAATATACAAACAAAATCTATTTAAGATTAAAGAGATAGAGAATAAAATTATACATGAAAATAAAACTTCAATATAAAAAATTATTATAAATATATAGTGTTGATTAAACTTAATTCATAAGATCTAATATTTATTACATATTTTTTATAACATAAAATTATAATAAAATTGTTAGAAGATAAAGCCGACCACCACCATCAGATATATTCATTTATAGCCTCACAGGTCAGCCTACATTTTTCCTGGCACCTGTTTCCTTCCACAAAGTTTCATAAGAATTAAGACGGCAATAAATCTTTGCATTATTAAATGTAATATTTCGCGATATAAGAGAATTCACAATGGTTAATATAAAATTATACATCTAGTATATATTTTTATATTACGTAAGTTATTATTAGGTACGTAATGTACATACCAGGCAGCTATAGTCTGAAATTTTATTTCGATAGTTCCCAAAAACGAACAATAAACATTGGAATACGAAAAAAATATTCGAAATTACTAATACTGCTTCGGCAAGCGAGGAAGTTTTTATCTGCGTTTGATCGTTGACGACAAAATTTCCTTTTGTGTTAGATATTTCCAATATTATATGCAAATCCAGCCAATGTGGTGTTTTTGAGGAGGAGGAAAATACGCTGAGGATTCTCTCTCAACTGCGGAAGTTATTATCTTAAACAATGTTGACATGTTCAACAAAGTTGAAGGATAAACTAGAATAAATCACAACTTTTAAAAGAATATAAAACCATTATGTACTACTATTATATATATTTTAAGTCGATAATATATATATATATATATACAATATATCTAACATATTATATTAATTAATGATATTACATTACCTGAACACAGATTAATATAACATAGATAAAAATTCTAGATAGATAAGACGCCGTGTCTTTTATTTTATTCAGCCTTTTATGTAATTATTCCATATAATAATAAATTTTTTTATTCACAAATCGCTGTTCACTATAAACCTATTGCCCTCAGAATGCTTGCCGGTGTATTTGTAATGAATTTTACCGTAGGCACCTGAAACAACAACGATGTATGGTATATGTAAATAAAAGGTATAGTGTACAGAACATAAAAATAGTAGAACTGGATTTTTCTATACAACTGGAATGAAAAAACAAGTAACGGTCTACATGATGGATTGTGGTAACCGTCACAAATATACACGAGCTTAAAAATACTAGGTTACATACATACATACATACTAGGTTAGGTCATCGCATTACAAATATAATTATAATACATATATCGGACTTGTTAAATGATAAAATTGGACGAAATTTACTATTTGTAGTTTTATTTTATATACACGGATGTTGTTACTTTTATATTATTACGGCATCGTTCTTTTTTATTATTATATATTTTATAATTATGTTTAACATTTAAATTTAACAATGTTTATAGAATTGAATTATTTGACGGCTTCGGTGGTCTAGCGGATTATTTTCAATTTTCCACTTCTTGGACAAATCCGTGAATACTATCACTGGCGTTCAACTTTCTATACATCCAGTATCTACGACTACTTTTAGGACCCACCCCAATATCAGTATCTATATCGAAAATCTTTATAAAGCAGAACAAGATAAAAAATTGAAATACGCTGATGTTGCTTTGATATCTCCGCCATGTGGCACAGTGAATATTTCATACTTCGATAATCATATCTATAAACGGGTTCGTTGGAAAAATTCTACCCCGCACTTGTGTTCACTCTCGCTTCCCTTATTCGTTGAAGGTTAAGATCGGAAGGTAGGTCTTCTTGATACGGCCTGCGTAGTATTTCTAAATATCGAAACGAATAGTTTTTTTTTCTATCACGTATGTGGCAAATAAGCATACGGCACATCTGGTGGTAAACGGTTACCGTAGCCTATGGACGCCTGAAACATCAAGGGTGTCACGTGCCGACCCTTAAGAAACCTTAATATAACCCCATGCTGTAGTCTCTCTAGGGATAAGACCGCTTTTTGTTATTTCTTTTCGAATTACTGTTTTTTTCTTATTGTGTCTTCTGTGCATACACTAAAGAGTTTATTATTATCATCATTACATAGTATAAAATAAAGTATGAAAAATGCACTTCAAATTAATCCCCATTAAGAAAAACCATTAAATATTTTTTTAATAATTAAAAAAAAATTACATGCCACCTACAGTTTCATTAATATTTCATTCATTAAATAAACATTTGAATTTTGTTATCGTTCGATCATCCTCAATGGATCACCTACAAACAAACCTGCATACGAAGTCACAGGCTCCACTAGTATATTATAAAAACATTCATAACAGCAATTACATATTTTATAATATTTCTATAACAATTATGTGTAATTAATTATTGTCAAGTTTATAATAAATATTAATACCTTTGTGTTTGCCCAACGCTGCAAAGTCGACCGGCAGCGGTCTGAGTGTTTGTGTCTGAGCTAACTGTCTCTCGGGAGTATCTATTACATCGTCTGGAGGACGCCTCACTCGCATAAACTCCCCTCGTGTCGCAGCTTCCCTCCATTCACTTGACGACACACGACGGGAATCCAAAAATCGTAGTTGAGGCAATTTGTGTATTACAAAATACCTGCATGAACAATTCAATATATATTTATTCATGTAGGTCTATTACAGACCCTTATGATATGTCAAGTCTACTGTCAGATCGGAATGATTTCGAGATGAGAATAACTGACAAAAAACTCATCTTGTTTCTTTTCAAATAAATATTGTACACGTTTACAATAATACAGATTCATTATAAATTTAAATTTGGGAGATCAGAGCTATCACCAGCATATGCTATTGCAAAAGCAAAAACTAAAAAAAACAGTATTTATAACCTGAACAGACCAGTCCCCACAAGCAGCATCCGTTCACTAGTATGACAAATGAGCTAGCCATCATTGCCACCATATTAGAGGGCACATTTGAGCACATTGACCCAGGCCACCATGTCACCACAAATTAATTTTGTTATTATAAATGTTACATAACAGTGTATGCATATTTCTTCCAATTTATTGTATCAGGAAAAGATATATATTTATATCATTATATGTATAAGGAAAATAATATATATTTGAGTTCGTATATTGTTAATATTACATGCTTTCTTTGTAGCATATTATATGCAATGCGTATAAGACGAAATCAGCGATATATCGAAATCATAATAAATATAAAAGGCTCCTTGCGATATATTTTCTTCATATTAATCCTGTATGCAAATAGCGAAGTGTTATTAAAATTTTTATCGCAATACAATAGCTATCGTGATATAGGCATACAAAAGCATATAATTAAACAGCTAGATGAGGTATATACCTCATATATACATATGTATACCTCAAAATATTTTTGTACTATATAATATTATATAGTACAAAAATATACAAACATATTTTTTATACTATATTAAGAATCTCGATGTCTGAATAACTAACATAAAGATTTCTCACGGATAGGACAATGATAAGTATATTGAAATATGATCTACAAGAAAATAAATTTTAATTAAAAACATAAAACATGCATCATTGGATCCACGGCAGTAAACTTTTTGATTAATTATCGTTTAATTAATATTAAATTTTTGCGGATGTCAAAAAAATATTTATTATATAAAAATAAAGTCACGGATAAAATACATTAATATTGATAAATATGACTTCACACGAGACCTGAGAGAATGGTACAATACCTAGCAGTGTAGCAGTAGATACCCTATACGTTAAAAAGTAGATAATCAAGTATATTATATATAAAGAGAGCATTCAAAATTATTAAACCCTAAAGATTTACGTTCGATAAATTGTAATGAACACCGTCAGCAAAATCAGTTTGGAGAAACTAAACAATAATACTAATTCAAAGAAGCAACGGATTAAATAATTCAACTCACAGCAATAGAAATGACAAACGTTGCTTTAATTAGTCAGTTGTTTGCATCAACCCGTATTCTTGTCGATTCACTGTTTACATAAATCGCAACCCCACATGTTCTATATCACCCCGGCTCTCCACCATTGCGTGTGTTTTGAGGGTTCGAAGCGTTGTGAGACTAATTTTACAGTTTACAAATACATATTACTTAAACTTTACGTACACTGAACGTTTCTAATTCCTTTTGATTTGGATCAGTAATTTTAGGAATTTAAATGTTTGGGCTTTGTTAAATTAAGTAATCATAAATCTTGATAAAATACTATTATCGTTACATTGTAGTATTAGGATTATTTTTGGTTAAGAATTTTAATTTATATGCTAGTTTTTTAACCTTTTGTATGTATCTCATCAGAATGTTAAACTACAATAGATTCATGGACAACCTGAAGGTAACTGGTAACCATTGTCTATACATATAAATGAATTACTCGTTCGTTGACATTTCGTAGGAGTAAGATGTTATGCCTCCGCAGCCTATAATTTCACTGTTTTATCCCAAAACAAAACATACAAAGCAATGTACTGAAACAACCACATAGAGCGCTGTCCAAAACCTACATTAGTAACCTGAGTAAAGCTTACAATTAGATATATATTTAAATAAAGCTGAAATTATTTTACTTCTGTGTAAGATTAGATTTTTTTATTTTATTTTTTTATACTCTTTATTGCACCAATTACAGAACCAATTAGATTGTGATAGTTCTAGATTCAATACTTTCGGTTCACTGTCCTACTAATATTAAACGCAAAAATTTGTGAGTATGGATGGAGGGATGGATGGATGTCTCTTACTCTTTCACGCAATGTAAAAAAATATTATGTAAATTGGGCCAAATATAATGACAAATCTCAAGTAAGTGCGCATATAAAGTTGAGCGGGTTGGTAGAACCTAATATTTTATATCATACGATGTTTATTTTAAGCAATACTATATGTGGGTGATAAATGAGTTATATTATAGATACAGTATTTTGAGACATTTACACATAACAAAATAAAACTCCGGACGGGACTATATTACGTTAAACTTTATTACCTAACAAGGTTGCTAAGCAATACCTAGTTTATCAGAAAACTTACCTATATCGCTGATAATCGGAATCGTCTTTGTCCAAGTCTGAAAGTTGATTCGGACAGGCTTTGTTACTAAGTAGACTTAGGTAGTTCAGGGATGGAAAATGTTCATTTACTTTATTAATCAACATATCTAGATCGGTAATCTGAAAAATGTAATACATTAATAATATCGAATTTAAAATTAAATTTACAAAGGTAGAGCGTGAGAGACTGTTTTGGTGCCACGCGAACTAAGCGATATACGATGGATAAGATAATTTGGTAAGATTTACCAAATTACAAAATGAAGCGCCATTATTCTGTAAATATGTGAGAGGAAGTGTTGATTATTTAAATGGGTTAAATAAACGAAAATAAATTGGGACTCCAAAGCGTCTCAATTTATTTCAAAATAATAGGGTGTAGTATGTCACCTTCGCAGTATTTTCTATTAATAAGGTTTACTTTTTATCCGCGACATCGATTCCAAGAATGACACTCAAATTGCTTTGAGGTTAATGTTGTGGATTTTGTTGAAAAATTATAAATTGATCTCGCGCACAAGTATCTATATATATAACTTTATAATTTTAACTAGGCCTCACCCGCGACTATATCTGTCTTTTTAGATAAAATATACCTTGTCCTTGTGATACAATGTATCATAACAAATTACATTAAGACCCGTTCAGCCCTGAAAAGGTACCAACCAAACAGACAGACAATTTATAATATTAATATAGATAACATAGGAGGGAACGACCTTTACTATCTTCCACATGAATTCAAATTAGGTAATATGTACAATTACAATGCCCGCACTAATGGCACACATTAAGGAAGTCTCTTGCACTGTTTAATATATTATTTATGTGTAATATTAATTAGAGTGTATCTCTCTAATTATGTTTGTTCTAATGTTCGTATGAGTATATAATAAAGCAACTTTAATGTGTTCTCCTTAGGAGAATGTACGCCCTGGAAGGCAACGACCTCTTTATCTCTTTTCTTTGTTCTGAAATTGAGACGAAATGAAATTTATTTTCATAAAAAAATAAATGTAGCATACATGGTGTTCCGACTAATAAATATAGTGTAAATAGGCAACAGATTGCTAGAGTCTACAATTTGGAGGTTTATTGTGTAACGTAGGTGCCACCAGTTTTCATTTGAAAAGACGGAGCAGAGAGAAACAGCTGCAAATTAATAGCTTTGCGAATATTTGTGCATTATTTCACAGTTCTAATTACTTGAACAACTTAGAAATTATAACTTTCAAGTGGTTCATACAAAATCACAATCCTATTGATTTATTTTATTTGAAACTGTTATTATTGATAATTGTTAGCATGTGTGTTGCAGCATCATCATCAGTTGGAATCCTAAAAAGGCGAATTAATAATATAATGAATAATAACAATGATAAACTATACTTTAGACTATAAATAATTCTAAATGTGATAGTCGGGGTCATATATTTGAATGTAACGTGGCAAGATGACGTCTCTTAGATTAACCTAATCTAATATAATATTGACTTCGGTTTTATTTCACGATGTTAGTGCCTATCTACTACTATTGAAGTTTGTTCGATAATTCATAAACGTAAAATCTTTTAATAAAAATTTGATATAAATTAAAATTTTTCCAATAATAACTGAATTCAATCTTGGCGAAATTGGTATGAAATATTTTTATCCTCTTTATATTAAAAAAGGATAATCAAAATTTGTGGAAAATTTTCAGATACCATGTACTTATATTATTATAAAATAAGGATTCAAAATATCTATTTATAGAATATCACTTGTTACTGGGAATCTCGTTTGATTGTTTTTGACATAACTGCCCCACAACGCTTTCTGCATACGTAAAGGTTAGCTGGTGGAGAATGCCATACGGCAATAAGCTCGCCTTTGTACAAGTTATATTGTGCATTAAAGAATAAATAAAATAAGATATGCTCACACGTCTCAATTTTTGATACAAATTATCGACAAATTTGCTATTTAGTATGTGCATATGTTCAGCTTCTTTAGTCATGATAGTTGTGATACGGATGTAAATGATTGTGTAGAAATTATTATCATAAATATATGAGATCCATAGAGCAAATCATTATAAATGCCAAAATCACATTTTAAGCCACCTAATTGATTAGATTTTGAGTTCATCATTTTTACGAGCTTTTATTCAATTTGCCCGTATTGGTACACCCCTATTTCCTCAAACTTTCTGTCGTGTTTGCCGTGAATTAGTATCAATACGAGTGATTCGAAGTAATGTTGAGTGGGCAGAAAATTAGTAATCTAGAGAAAAAATCAAGAGGGAACCTCGTAAAGTAGCAGAATCGTTTTCAAAATAAATTAAATACATTTGTTTCAGATTCATGCTCATTTTAGCAAGCAATTATCTATACTTCATCATTAACATCATTAGTGTCTTCCTTGGAACATAGCGTTTAAAAATGTGAAATACTGAATGAAGCTCAGGCACCCACATTACAGTTCACGTACATTACTCATATATGGGAGAAGATATCATTGAATATTGAATTTTCTTTTTTTGCATTAATATACTGGTGCTTTATTCAAAGTCATGGGAACGAATAGGAGAATTGTAAACTTTTTCAAGACATAGCAATATTAGAATACCTTAACATTATTTATAAACAACGTGGTATGCACGTATATGTATTTTTGTCTAATCTTCCAATTAGTTGCCAATTACAGCTTATTTATGTGGATGCCTGTTAAAAAGTTTAGCACAATTTTATACTTTTGTGTGTAAATTATTTATCCTCCGGTGAGTGAAGAATCTTTAGGCCCTCCCGCCCTTCGTGCGGCAAGGAAGGATACAGCATTAAAGATACGACCGTAATTTAGGCGAAAAATTATTTCTCTCATTAAGGATTGTTGCGGTCACTTTTTGTTAAGCAAACAAACTGTATTTTATTACCTGCGTAATAATTTTTACTCAAATCATTTTTTACATAAAATTTTCATATTCTGAATTTAAACTGTACCCATGTACTTACTTATAATTAACCACAGGTAAAGGTCTTGGAAGGAAAGAAAATTACTAGTCCATAAATTAACGTAACATTTTAGCTGACTAATTTTACTAATTAATTAAGTCTTACGTATTGCTACAAGGAATACATAAGCCTTAAATAATTACACATATACAATTTTCTCGTGCTTCTAACAGCCTAGGCAGGCTATTAGAAGCCCGCAGAAGCAGACTAAGCAATCTGTCGGTCTAGTTAACATGTAACATTAACTAAAGAGTAAATAAATGTACCCAATTACCTGATTGTTATTGAGCGATAGTGTCCTCAAATACGGCAGGTGAGGGAAAGTAATGTTGTCCCCTAATTTATTGTTGTCCAGTATCAGTTCCTCTAATCTGTTGAACTGCTCCAAGCCCTTTAGAGTTTCGATACTGTTGTAGCTGCAAGATAAATCAGTACTGTTTGTTATTAATGGCACGTAATCTTGAGGAAAATTAACGCCGGTGCTTGAAATAGATTTTATTAGGTTCCAGCGGTAGGAACGAACATTTTACCGATACCATCGTATCACGTCCCTATCTCTAGTTACTTAAATTTTGTACGAATGTTTACCTGAGAATTGAATACTGGGAATGTTTAATTAAGGATTAATTGATGTCGATACAGATTGTATTTTATCAAAGGGCGGTAATATGTATTTAATTCGCTTGGATAAATCAACAAGATAGATTATATCTACTATAGTGAAATATATTTATTTATGTAAACTTTAATGCACATAAATTCAAAGTATATATGGCGAATTTAACACCATGCGGCATAAGCACCACCAGTCTACCATGGGAGGTCCAGAGAATAATTGTATATCGTTTCTCTTTGCCTCAGAAAAAAAACATGTGTAAACGTATATATGTAACGCGTTTAACCACAAATTTATATAAATTGCGATACCTGTACGAGTAGGTATAAAATATCGACAGATTTCATGAGTATTTATTAAATAATTTTGTATAATGACATAAACTTAAGAGCATTTGGTGGGAGTCACTGATTTCATACTCAAGTAATTAAATGTAATACTCCAATTAAAAACCATAATTCGAATTACGTTAGATTTGACTTATCATAGATATATATGAATAATGACATTTAGATGATTTTGCTTTGACACAATTGGATTACGTAAGACACAGGCTCGACCAAATCTATGGCTGACAATACGGGCAATTTTTTTATCCCACTACATAAGGTCTTTCATTTACGCAGCCTATAAATCGTACAATATCCTTATCCTTCGACTTTGACTGTGAAAAATAGGTCGTTTGGAACCTCGTTATATGTATTTTTTTTTAGTCTGTTAAATGATGGCCTTGTCTGTACTAATGATATATGTACTTGTATGCCGGTACTGCAGGATTGAAAGGGCGAAATTATAGATACATTACCGGCTAGCAGCAATAGTAATAAATAGTATCTACTTGTTACTAAGAGCTTTTCGCCACAAACACTAGAAACATTTTGTATATTTGTATTATGTATTCTAAAATAAACATATTCATTTCACTGTTGCATCCAATTATAAATTGCAAGAAGAGCAAAATGAATATTAAGACAACTACATGAATAAGATAATAAGCAGCTACTAAGTACTCTCCTGCGAGCAACGGAGAACTAATTAAAATGATCATAATACTCAACTGAAAATAATTTCCAAAGACTTTATGGTAGTATTTGCTACGATATATCACTACCATCGCACTGTAGAATTAACACTGCATCTCGTAGTTATATAGATAACTGTTAGTATGTAGCTATACCTACATGTAAGGTTCGACTTACAAAATTATCGATACACTTTAAACAGTAGCAAATGAAAACTAGTGGTAGTCTAAATGTTCCAATAAAAATGGATGGGTTCTCAACTGAAGCACTATTAGAATACCCTCACAATCTTTCAAGTTAATTAGACTATTATCTTAGAATACTTTAGACAACTTTCGAATATCAAAGTTATATAAGAAGCAATTTTCTTATATAACTATGTGTAATTTTAGAATGATTAAACCAAACAAATGTGATAAAATTAATTAATATATTAAATATTTAGGATTTCTTTCTTTTCGGGAAAATTCTATCTATAAATTAGGTATCATGGCCAATGTGGAATTCGTTGTAAGTAATAGATTTAGAGTGCATGAAAAAGTGCCGATTACCCAAGTTAATACCATCAAATACTAAAGAAATCGAAAAAATTATCAATTCCTTATTCGAATTCCCAAAATAACTTACTAAAGCTAACGTCTAGTGGGTAAGTAGAATTTTAAGGTAAAAGATACGATGTAGAAATAAAACTTATCTACAGACGTGTTTCGACTTTAAAACCAACTAGGAGGTTCTGGTGCTCATTATGATTTCGGAATGATTTGGGAATCTTAACGTCCTATTTAGGAAAAGTATTAATGCTACAGCTTCACCGAATGAAATGGGGGCGAGGGAATCAAACCCGCGGAAGGACTTATGGAGTGGCTGAGGGCTAACTCTTTACTGACAGATACTAGCTTTCCGACGACAAACTAAAATTGCCTATGAACATGTGGGAACGTGCTATCATTGAGATAATTATTGAAATAATAAATCCGACACCAGTAACTTAATTATACAAATTGATCTTAAACTTTTGACGCTGACAATCGGGGCTGTTATTTTAGACCTTCCCCGGCCTATTAATTCTTTAGGCAGCATTGTAATTTTAACGTCCCAAAGGAAGCTTTTGTAGATTGCGTGCTAGACAATCAGAAGTTAAATTATAATACATATATTATTCATATTTTGGAAATGTGACTAAATTTATTTCTAGAAATTTATATGTAGTGTTGAACGGATAAAAATAAATTAAAGCAATTATAGTTCGATGATAAAAACGAACGAATGATTCAAAGTTCTTAGAATTTAGAGATTATGAAGTCAGTTTCTCATCTTTTTAGGTTTTACTATTGAAATTTGTACAGCGTATAGTAGAGTGAAAATCCTCCAAGGACCAATTTTGATATTGTCATGATTTATATGATCGGCAAAGTGGTTTTGCCAAACTGTTGCAGAAGGAGGGTAGGAAGGTGCAAATCTTAATTCTAGACTAAGCCTCAAAATATACATTGCGTAAATTAATTCATTCACAATGGTACAAATTAACTTGATTCAAATAACAAATAATCAAATCCATTACTTAAAGACTACTTGGAGGGTCTGCTATGAATACGAAGATGTATTTATACAACTGTATATACCCATTTTAAATTGTATAACTAGATAACGTTTTACAGAAATAGTTAACAATGATTAAAAAAGGATTATGTTTTATTAACCAGTTGCTGCTAATTGAGTTTTAGATTCCTCAAGCGAATAATTATTTGATTTATTCTCTTTCATTTTCGTACTGAGTGAATTATGTTTATTTTAATACGTTTCATGTAAGTCAATATACATTGTTAATGCAAATTAACTGACAAGTGCTATTGACTACTAAGCTTTCTAGATACAATTCCTTATTCAAATTCAAAATATCTTTATTCATGTATTACAGACTCTTGTGATATGTCAAATCTACCGTCAAAGCTACTAAAGCTGTTTTCCTTAAATAATTGTAATAAATAAAATTAAGACAAATCACAGAAACACAAAAAATATTCAATATTAATTCCTAATTTAATTTAAATATAAATGTGTATTTTTAATAATGTACAATCTGATAAAAAGGACAAGAACTAAATTTCTTGTCAGTTTTTCTTGCTTCGAAAGTAAATTCCGAACTAACGGGTGTAACCGATGTCAAATCGACTTATCATAAATATCTACTTTTGATAAGTAGAATGACATCGGTTACACCAGTTAGTTCGAAATAAAATATCTTTATTCAAATAAATAAATATATATAAAGTAATAAAGATACGTATATATATATAAAGAAATAGAGTTATTTTATAATATAAAAACTTGATTTTTAAGACAAATGAAATAAAAGAAAAAATGAAAGCGATGTTATGGAATCTGGTGTCAGTTGTCTATACAAGCCCTATATACTTACATAAGTAGCGAGAAGTAATTTCAAAACAATATATTTAGGTAAAGCAATGACAAGGACAGTTTTTGAATAAATTGATCTTTCTGTGTACCCAAAGCTTGTTAATTTGGTGTCCCGATAAATTGGCTGTTTCGTGTGGGGAAAGTGTGAATGAACAATTTACATATTAGGTATGGTCCCTCATAATTTGTAAACTGGTTACGTTGACATGACGTAATCTCGAGAAATCTTCAATTATTAATAGCTTATGTGAATATTTTATGGGGTGCTTGTCTATATGCTGGATGGGTTATGTACCTAGGTGTAGTAATAAGATTTAGATGAAACGTTGTATTTTCTGAAAAATGCATAGAAATTTCGCCCTTCTGAAGGTTTGTTGACATCGTGCCATTAGAGATTATAGGTTATAACAGTTTTTCCTAAAGATGATAACTCAAATATTTTGTAAAAAAAAATCTGTTTATTACATATTATTATATCATAAAAAAGATTAATAGTGTTAGTTATTCACGTTTTAAATATTATACCTTTTATACAGAGATGGCTAAGGATTAAGTTTATATTTGAAGATGTTAGGATAAGTAATTGTACCCTTTCATTGTACATTCATCTATGAAATTAATAAGTGCGATTTACGTAATATAAGTAATTAGATATATATAATTCGAATTTGATTTTCCCTTATGTTTGGACTAAACTTTCTCCTGTTTTCATAGGTGTGCGGGACTATAACAGCTGGGATCGGTGCACCCAACGATGATAGACATGATAGTAACAGAAAGACGTAACAGAAATATAATATAAAATATACTAGTCAAATTTAATAGATGTGGAAACAAAAGTATTAAAATGGACTTTAATACGAATTTAAGAACAGAAACTTTTAAAAATGTGTCAAATCATGTATTTTGTTTGTAAAATAAATTTGGCTATAATGAATATTATAAAGAATCGTAAGCCTATCTGGTTAAGGCTTTATCCCCGAAACGTACAGAGGAATAGAAAGTATAAAACACCGCGGAACGACCCAAAGAAAATGGAAAACTAATAAATATATGTACCAAACCTGGGAGCGTGTGATTCGATGTTGAAAAAGTAATCGGAAAGTGGGAAAGTTATGGAGCAAAAGACGAAAAAAATGAAAATTGTTTGTTTGAATTATGATTCGTTTATCTGAGTGGTACTGGAAGATTAGAACCAAATAATGCTACATTAAAGTGTTAATAAAATATAAGTGCTAACTATACATTTTACCTCTAGAAACGTATGTTGCCAATTCTTCTTGACTAAACATCAAAAAGAGATGAGCAAGAATTGCGAATTAAAAAAATTACTATTCTAATGAGCTTAAACTTCGTTTTATATGAATAAAGATTACACATATTCTAAACAATGTTTATTGTCTAATTCTTACATAGATATAAATAAATATGATAAGACAAATTTTTAAAATACAGTAAAGTAAATTATTTTGATATTCCAAAGATTTCTATAAGTCTCTATAAGAAGTAAAGTACATATTGTAGTAAGTTAATACTTAAAATGTTTTTTCAATAGAAAAAAAAATATTACCGGTATAATGATTATAATAGTTAAAAATCTATTATTGACAAAAATAATCTTACTTTTGCATAAACATTGAAGTAAATTTTGTTCTTAAATACATATTGTATAAAAACGCAGAATCTGGGGCTATAGCGTTAGTTTTGAATGTCGATAAAAATCAATATACAGGATGTAGTAAATAAAGCAATCTGTAGTTGACAGAAGGACAGAGAAAACGGAAATGTTCACATTAAGAGTGATGTAATGCCAGTGATTGGTGTTTCATGTAACATGGCGAATAACTGTATTTTTTTTACTAAAAATACTTGGCGAAGCGATATTAGTTCGGTGTTTTATTCTTGAACAACCATATGTTTTCAGAAAAGAAAAAAGAAGTGAACATCACCTACTCACTTCTTTTTTTCTTTTCTGATAATAAATTCAATTCTATAAAAAGTATCTATTGTCGATAACCATTATAATTATGAGATAAGGTTACAAATTAACAAATAAATATATGGGAATATTTTTGTGTAAATTGAGTTTTTACACAACTATAATTTAAATAAAAATTTGTATACTTAGTTTAAATTTTAATGTCCTAAAAAACATTTACCAGAGTACAAAATTTCATAAAGAAAAATAGGCTATATAAGTATAGGTTTGACGCCCTCCCACACAGACTTAAAAGAAGCCGCCTTTAAAGGAAGGCAGTTAGTTACCTGAACGTGTTGAATTTATTATATTAAGGTAGCTAAGTTAGGTTATTACAAGGTACTATAATTCTTAACGGTATTTCATCGTAACAAGCTAAATGTTTTTTAGGACATTAAAATTTAAACTAAGTATACAAATTTTTATTTAAATTATAGTACACTATCTAGTTAATGAGTAACGAGTTTAAAATAATATTCTTTTTTAATAGATAGGCATTAATAGAAGCTTGCAGCAGATCTTTTAAGTAGTTTATGTCGTTGTGGGCTATTATGATTTTGTCTATTTGATTCATTAACGTTTTCCACTTCCGTTCAAACTTAACTTGCTTTTTTACGCATTGAGTATGTCATGTATATGTACATTTGCTTGTTCATGCAAAATATATTAGTCTTCTAATATTATAGTCAAAATATATTAGTTCAGACGCATTTGTATGAATATTTAGCATATTCATACAAATGCGTCTGATCACAGTGTTTAAAACCAAATCAACAAATATTTTAGAAATACCTATTACGACAAATGAATGTATTGCTTTAACCTGGTACTATAGTTGATTGGTTAAACAATGAGTAACATTTGATTTTCTAAAGATTACTGGGAATGATTGTTTTGGGTGATTTAATCGCCTAATAAATTCAGTCCTATCTAAAAGTTGTTTCGTTTCTTTAAATTGAACGGATTAAACCACCAAAATAGGGGTGAGTGAGATAAGCAACTGTTAATTTGCATTAAATTTGTGGCCTTTGCTTTGTTACCTTTGTACAAACGTGACCCAATTTAATAACGCTTAATTATCTATAACTAGGTTCAGCCCATCTTTTCGAATTGCGTTCTGTTATAGTGTAAAATGATTGTTTAATTTGCGTTAAATTTTAAATATTCTGTTGTTGCCGAGTACGTAATTGTTAACTAAATTACAAATGTATTGGATGACTGGGTTCTGCAAGAACGAAACTAAAGAGATAAAGTTATAGTACCTACATTGTACGTATAACTTTTTCTTTCTTATTCCGTTCTGCTCATTTTTCTTTAATCCATACCGTTATTTGTTACTGCTATCAATCGTTTTATCGGTATACCTTTTCTTCTATCCTTAATTAATTATGTAATTAGTAACACGTGGATAGAAAACATTTCCCTTTTCTACTATAGCTGCAGAGCGGCGGAAATGAACTAGTTTATACATATATCTTATATAAACTAAATGACTAAAAGCTGACTACCTGATAGTAAGTGGCAACTATAAACGAATGGCATCAATACGATATATATAATCAAGCGTACATATGATGCCAAAGGCACCTCTCATGCGTGTATAGTATATGTATGTCATACGCCGTAATTTTGAATACCATATCTCAACCTTCAAGCGGAACTCCGCAAGTTGCTTGGCGGCAGAAAAGGTATCCACGGTTTAGCATTACTTTTGATTGAATTCAATCATTTGTATTCATGAGTAAGTTTGTTTGTATTTATTAAAAAAATGTACCTATATCAATTGTGTAGTATCCATGTACTAGTTACGCTTAGCTTGAGAGTAGATGGCGCTGTTGAATTGTCCTGGGTTGTTATTGTTATTCTGAATTTTTATCATTCATCGATAACATTGAGTGATAATTACATCAGCTGTATGTCGTAATGAAATGAAAGATAGAAGTTCTGTAAGATAGTAAATTATCAATAATATACCATGTGACTTTTGGGTAAACAAATTATTATATTGATTATAGCTTCCCTACACTTCCACGAATAATAGTCACTATGTTATAACTATTGATTTTCCCAGTCGCTATATTTACTATTAATAGTCTTTGGACATAATGACATAAATAACTGATATAGTGACCACATTATCCTATAACATTTTCTACGTTTACAGGAAACCTTTTTAAAGGTAAGCTCGCCTTTTGTACATTACATTTACCTTATTACTGTTATTTTATCCTATGTGTGTGTACAATAAAGAATAAAGAAACTATGATTAAATATTAAAGAAACCAGAGATGGACTATAAAAAGTCTCACTTATTTCAGCCGCTAAGCAGCTTGCTTTGTAGAGCTGTGTTTCGATTAAGCAGTAAAATTAAAGGATAAGCCATGACATTTTACTTCTCTGTAGTGACAATGCACAAGTGATATCGGGTGTCACATGACAACGTGATACACGTAGTGTTGTTTATGAATACAAGCTACAACTACTGCTTACCATCAGGTTTGCTATTTCCATTATATAAAAAAGTCAAAACTGGTAGGCCTCAAATATTGAAAGTAAAGACGTAAGTAGATTTTTTCATGTAACCGCCATCGTATATTTTATCAAACTTCTTTGAATGCTGTTAGGTTACGTTATATTGTATTGAGAGAACTCTGGGGACGTACGAGGAAAATAATATTTCAATAGAAAAAGATATTCATGCACAATATAAGTGTCAATAGAGAAAACGTGAATTGATAGTATATTGTTTATCGAGGGAAGAAGTGACCAACGGATAAGGTGTGTTAGTTATTGCCAATCTGAAAGGGAGGATTTCAAATCAAGCGTTTCGAATCATATTTTCTCTTCAGTGATATTTCTCCTGTACCGAAAATGTTGACTGTTAGTGATTTCTTTACATATGTGTAACTGCCTTTTGTATCTTATTTCTCTGATACTACGTATGATAATATAACACTATTATGATAATATATACCCATATACATAAATATATATAAATTTTTGACAAATCGAAACCCGAAAACATCTGGCTAAATAAAAAAATATGGGAAATAAGGTTGTTGTCGAGAAATCTGTTAGAAGAAATTAGATAGATTTAAAATTTATTAAAGGGTCGCAAACGAAAAGGAAGCAGAGCGTTCGTGGGCGTAAATACCACGGTCACAACCGTGCGAGGATGATGTGGATAAGCAGTCCTTAAGTTAATAAATATTGAAATCTTACTTAAAAAAATACGGTATTTAAAAGAAGTGAATAAACAACAATGAAGTTGCGTCAGAATATTTAATTTAATTACGTTAAGTTTATTATTTATCAACGTCGGAATTCTTGATGAGGTGACAATAAAGAATACAAACTTGGGATAGGCTGTTTCTGTGTACGAAATAAATTATCAATATTTTCTAACATACCTTAAATCCAAGTATTTTACTTTAGATCCATACATTTTCTGTAGTGCAGTGGGTATCTTGTTGCAATCTTGACCACAGTAGCTCAACTGTAACAATAACAATCAAATTATTTACAAACTATCCACCCATCTCGGCTTTGAACGGGTGTACCGTACATATACGGTAGAAGGTCATATAACTATATTCATGTAATATAAACTATAATGAAATTCAAGAAACGATGGTTAATAGAATATCAGTTGTGTGGTTTACTAAAAGTAAGAGGAGAAATAGACAATACGAAAACAGGTTTGTTTTGTATTATTATTTTATTCTATTTATATACATATATAATTTCAAATTCTATTATTAACCACAATAATACCTAGATGAATTTAATATAGGCACACATTTATAATAATAATATTATTTATTTATTTTAAGTGACATATTTTAAAGCAACACGAAATGATTCCCTGTAAAATACAAGAAAATATGTACAAAAATAAAATTGTAATTAAGACCAATCAACAATACTGTATACAAAAAAAAACAATTACAGAAACTAAGTTCTCTTCACCCACGAAGCGAGATTTGCCCATATTTTCATCGTAGAGCTGGCTTCTAAACCAATTAGGATTATTCAAAATAAAAAAAGTTAACAAAATTAAATATAGGATGTATCCTCCGAGTCCCCTTGTCTTTGCCACCCGGTATAGGTATAACTATATGTATATGCAGGCATCAAAGAATTCAATTTGAGTGTACATACTCCTATGAAATTCAACGGACCGTATTCTACAATTTTTCCCCTTTAGGGTATCACGATATTGCCGCGGTTTTGTATTTTATTTATTTACTTACATACTACAGTGACTTCAAAGGATGGCATTCCAAAATTGAAATATATTAAAATGTATTTTGAAAATAAAAAAAATATATATGTATAAAAAGTTACAGCTAACGCAAAAAATAAAGAATTGTTACGAAAAAGAAAATTAGAGAACTTTATTGAGTATGTAGGATCAGTCATTCTGCCAGAAATGTCAATGTTGCCAGGTCTAATTTGAAACTGTGCTCACAAAGTGTCATTACTCTAATTGTGTTGAGAACTTACTATGTACCTATGTCATATAATATATTTTTCAATAAATCTATTACATTTAAAGGCGGGAATTAAAAAGACATGTAAATATGTAATAGTAGCAATAAAAAGTATTTTCTTATTTTTTCGTCATAACTAACATTTCTAGATTTTGGTATATGAACATATTCTTATGTAAATTTCTAAAATATAAAAGAGGCAATTTTCTCAAAAGGAATTACTAGCTTCAACTCTACTTTTCAAAAATTTTCATCATTAATCTCACATATAGATAGTCCTTCGCCGTAAAGAATTCGGGTTTTATTTTATAGTGCTGTATAAATTTGGACATATTATGGAAGAATGACAAAAACTATTAGGGTTCGATGAATTATCGTTTCAGAAACACTCCTCTGCACTGAAATTCACTAAGATCTCTCGTAAAATTTTAAACACTATATCCTAAAATTCGTGATAGGAATCGTTGCTCACGAAAATGTTGTTCATCATTTCAACTCATGTTATTTTTATGGCAATATTTTTAAGGTAATAAATTTATTTAATTTCACGCCGCTACGGCGGAAGCGTAAACGGATTTATAAATGAAAACGTTTGTTATAATAATTTATGTACACACATACGCTGGAGTGCCCCTGAATTTTGTTTCTTCGTATATATTTCAGTAAAGAAAATATTGCAGATTTAGTTAGTGACTGAGAAATATAACAAGTACATGTTTCATATTTTTTTTTAAATATGCGGTCATTATTAGTATGGTTTTTTTTGTAACTAGAATTGGACATAAGCTTTTAAGTGTAAGTGTTAACCGTCGCCACAGAATTGAGAAGTCTGCTCTGTAATCGTTGCCTATAATACCTACGGACATCACGTCATCATTTGACGACCGTGGTACATCTTCAGCGTTCTCGTTCCGAAGGACCCTTAATACGAAGAAAGGGTTCAATACCCTTCAACTAAAACACCTCTTTTAAAGCAAACTACTTGGCTGTTGAAAGAGGTAAGACGGGTCGCCAATGGCTTTGTATAAAGACTACTTCAAACCTAATATTAATCATAAGGAATGTATCTGCCCACAATCTGTCTCTACCACCGACCACCCACGTACATCATTATACTTATTTTACTGTACAAATTTCTACTTTTCTTACCGTATATAAGTAGACATATTGTTATATGTCTTGTTGGGAGTTTTTATTTCGAGTCATATCGTTCTTATTACGGTGTTATTTTCCTTTATTGCGGTCATTTTATTAGTTGTAATATTTCTTTTATTGTCTCGATGATACCAGATACGGGGTTTTTAATATGACCGTTAAGTGTCTTCTTACTTCTTATGAACAATAAAATGCAGACATATGACATTACATTAAAAATATAAGATTTTTAATTCAGTACAGTAATTACAATTAAATTATCTACATTTTTAATACGTATATGTATTTACGTTATACATAGCAACATAAATACTTTATGTTGCTATGTATAATGAAAAGTATATTTAAGATATCGCATATATCTCAGGTTGTAGGATAATGTGGGGATACACATTGAAGGAAATAGAGCATGGGAAAGGAAGAATATTGTAGTTATGAAGCAATTTAATTTGAGTTATGACTTGCCCATAGTTGCATAAATGAAAATATTAATGTATTTGAGATTAGGTTTATCCGTAGTCTTCATATAGCACATAGAAGTAAGAATTTCGTACCCAAAAGCAAAAAGGTCTTCCTAATTCTATAAGAATGATGAGGCAATAAAAAAAGTAGAAAGTCACAGGCTTAGCTAGGAGGTAACTAATAAAAAAAATAACGGGCAAACTTCGGGTCAACAACTTCTTCTCGTGTTTTTGTTTTCAAATATTAGCAGTTTGTATTAAAATACCGAAAACAAAACTCTGTTATTAACATACTATAAGATCTCACCTGTAATCGCTTATCGTCGCTTGGGGTATCACTAACGTTTTCTATAACAACACTTAGGTGGGAAACGTTTTCGCTAGAATTCTTCTCGGATAAACTTTTCGATGTGATAAGCTGCAAATTGTATTTGTAGAGAGACCGAAGGGGTTTCCGCTGTGTAAGGTTACCTTTTATAATAGGCAATAATCCTCCCCATTTTGTTACAATGACCATCCACTTTATAATAGCAAATGGGAATATGTAGGATTCGATAAAAGTCAAGATTACAATGCCAATATTTATTACCAATGTGATATTTACAGATAATATTTTAGTTAACCTTAGAATTAGTTGTGGCATTGTGAAATGTCATTAGGTAGAGAATTATTATTGGTCTGGAAAGATCTAGCCACTTGATTCGGGTAATGCAAGTTTGTCTACGTTGTGATACAGAAGTTTGTAACTTCCAAGAATATTTGGTTAACTTAGATATTTTAGATTGTTTGTGCTTTCGTATTAGTTAGGTTCACATATTGGGTGAACTAAACTACAGTCGACTGATTAGATTTGTTAGAAATTGCTTCACATATTTTGAATGTAAAATATAACCAAGAGTTGAGACTGCAAGTGACATTTGTACATTTAAGGAATTTGAATTATTTTTTGTCTAGCATCTTAAAGACCAAAATAATTTATAGGATCATGAAAATAAGATTGCTTTTATATAACACACACAGAAAATATAAAATCTGTACTAAATGTACAACAGGATGTCAGCGTAACAAACGACTAAACAACAGACTGAATGTAACTTTTTACGACGGTGCAGTATAATTTAATAACGCAAAACGACTTACTCGTTCTAGTTCTGTAAAGGGAATTAGGTCGTTAGGTAATATATATACATGATAATATGAATATTATATATCTAAAGATTCGTATCTAAAGAGTCGATCCGAAGAATATAATAGAATAGATTTACATCCTATATCATCTAAATACATGAGCGACTAGACTAGACCGGTAGACTTACTTATTTATATAGCTGCCAAGTAACTTGCAAAATGTGTTTCGGTAGTGACATCATTGTCGTCAGGAATGACAACGCATGATAACGTGATGCTATTCATATAAACGTATGTATATATATATGTACTGGCGACAATTGCCACTTATCGTCATGTGAAAAAAAAAATATACTTTGCTAATAGTAGTAAAATGCAATTCATGCACCAGATTGGTAAACTTCTATAGGTTGTGCATGAATTTAAACGAAATTGTTGTTGTATAAAATTACGGGTTTTATAATTGTAAGAAACATAACAGAAGAGATGTTATATTACTACTTACTAGTTACTTACATACTTCGATTTTTATGCAAGTCGCCTGACGTGAAGATAGACATCAGTAGATTAGAAACATTGCAGGTCAGTATCTTTGAACATGTCAATATTTCATAATATTATTGTATATGTAGTAAAACAGTATAAAATGCTTTGTCATTATGAAAATATAATTACATAAAATCAGTGATCGTCATTATTTATATCGAGATCGTATTTATATTACAATTATGATTTCGCTGATGTAGTAAAGGGCGCATAATTATAGTCATAGTAGTTAAATAATTTAATATTTGTACTTAGGGCTTATTATTTCATATATTATGTCAGTATGTATCAATACATTGGATGTCCTTCTCCGATGCTTTCCACCGTTTGTGATTTTACGTTTTCGCACTCAAAAATGGCTGGGTACATATTAATGGCTTTGTCCATCGCGCAAATTTCTGTCCATATTTATTAATTGGAATGGCAAACGGCCAGTGAAATCTTTACGGACATCACATTATCATGTGACGCTTGCGATAATACTTTTGCGTTGTTTTTCCGGAGGAATAAGATATTAAACCTCTTATTCAGTCATTTTTACCTTATCCCACACTTCAACCAAAACACATCTTACAAAGCAAGCTGCTAGGCGTCTTTAAGACAGTACCTACCCACACAGTCAACTTTTTACAAACTCTGGCTTAGTAAATACTGGCGCAGATAATCCATGATTATGGAGCTTTCCAGAGGAGTATATGAATAACTTTATTGGAAAAGTTTTGAAGAATATAAGAGTTATGAAAATATTTATCATTATTTGAAACATTGTTGAATACAAAAGCGGAAGTTCTGGTCATTGGGACCCACCCAGGCCTATTCATAAACATAATATGTTACACGAAAAATATGCACATATTATGACTGTATATTTTATAATCAACAAGCTATTAGCCGCGACTTCGTCTGAAATTTATTTTTTATGAAAATAGAATATCTAAAATAAAATAAAAATACGGTGTAGCCGTTTCAGAGATGCAAGAACAAACAGACAGACAAAACAAATTAAACTATTTTTTTAAGTAAATCACACATACTTTAATATGCATTTAGTGAAAGCTGTTAATTTGATATTAGAAAATAATTTTATTTATTTATATTATTTAAAAAAATGTATCACTATAGTATACATATAAAAATAGATGAAAATTTATAATTGGCTACTCATTCTGATATGCTCTACATACCATTCCTCATATGTTTTGTTTGAAGATTCTTATGACTTGCTATGCTTATTATTTTTACTGCAAACAGTTGACACATTAGTATGTCGAAGATACACTAACAAAAAACATAAAGCGAAAAAACCTACATACTTACTTTTTAAGTTTTTTGTTAGTAGCCTGATGATCTGGCTTAGTCAGGACACATCTGAGCAAGCTGTGATCACTAAAATGTTGACACAGTGGACAACAAGGTAGGCCAGATCATCAGGCATCCTAATTTAGGGTCAAACACAATGATGGCTTCCTTATCCATCTCAATCATGAATGGATGCTGCTTAGGCACTGATCCATTTTTATCACTACAACCTACTTTGTAACACAAATGAGATTATTACCATGATTTCTTGCTAGTTAGTACATTATATTATATAAGATTTCCATTTTAAACATCTAACACATAGGTATGAGCACAAGCCAAGTTTCTTGTCCATTTTTCTTGGTTGAATCTGCATTTTGAACTACTCAAAAGTGAATGGTTTAGAGATAATGAATGTCTCATATAAATATTCATAATAGATAAATTAAAATAAGTTTGGTACTTAAATTAAATTAATTAATTAATGTGAATCAATGTAAAGGAGGCGATGACCAATAAAATATGGATTGTGTGAAAGATGATATGCATAAAAGAAGTTTATTATTGATTAAAAGAAGTATCAAGTTCTGCTTTTATGTATGTCATCTTTCACACAATACATATTTTTTTGGTATATTATAGTACCACAAGATGCATGACATAGGCAAAATGGAGTAGAAGAATGACAGAATGATATCCTAGAGGCAGTAAGATGAAATGGCTAGAAATGGGAAGATGAGTTGAAGTCAACTGTGGGCACAAAATGGAGAAGAGTTTGCAACTCATGTGCACATGATAGAAACATATGGAAGTCGCTGGAGGAGGCCTATACCAGAAGGCACACTGAAATTAGAGATCTATTGTAAAAATATATATTTTAGTTAGAGATAATTGTAAATATCAGAATAAAAGACTTTATTATTATTATTATAATTATTAATAGAAGGTATGGCGCTGACACCAAATAATAGGGTGAAGGCAATGCAATGATGATGTTGTTTAGTAATTTGAAATAAAATTAAAACTGTTAAACATATGCTGGTAATATGAAATCACATCAAGAATTATGCGGTGTAAAGGATTAGCAAGTAAATATAGCAATGGGATGCACACATAATATTATGAGTAAACAACTACCACCCCATTGATTTTAGAACAGAAGCTTTAGAATGAAATGTATATAAATATGAAAATAGTATAGGTAGACTTCTAAAGCTATGTTCAGCACTTTGCAGGTAATGAAGGAGAATTTGAGATGATGGTGAATTTACACACAAAATATAGAGGGCAGTAACAAAATTTGTACTTAATATGTAAGAGATTCACAAATTGTAAGTGGGGATATCACATTTAATCTCTAACCTTAAAAAATAAGTAATCACTTATACATTGTAAACAAAAATAAATAGGTTTGCTCTTCTTAGTTGCATCAGCTGTTCAGATATTTGCAAATTTTACATACTCATAATTACTGAAAAATAATCAATCAATCAATATATGGATTGCATAAAGTGTAAACAAGTGCAAGTGTAAACTAAGCAAATTAGGTAGTCGTATGGTTATAATTAATCTTACTTACGTGATTATTTTCATAGCACAACGCGAAATTATTAACATGGCTCTCTTCCATGTTTACTTTTTATCAACAAGTCAAAGATATTAATTTTATTTTTATTTAATTGTTATTAAAAAAACAAAAAAAATAAGTATGTAAATAAACATAGGTAAGTGCACTGATGACAGTGGCAGTTTAATTTTATTTTGACAAATATTTCGTTTAATTGTCAACGTGTCACTCAATGTCAGTCAAGTTAATTGAGGCGAAATACTCTTTAGTCCGTACTATCATACTTATAAACCACCCTTATTTGAATTAAATATTCCATTACTAAGAATATACACATAATTGTATTCATGTAACTCACAATCAGTGACAGGTATAATACTCGTACTAGTCTTGTATATGGATACATCGACACGTAGAATGAAGAAGAAATTAATTATCTCTGTATGTAGCTACAAAACAGGTTGACCCATTTTGACAATGAAACGACTCATTTGCGACCTTGGTATGACTATGCAAGTAATCACTACGATTTTGATGTTGTTTACTAATCGGTCTCATTTTTCGATGGTTGTTAGTTCGATCCCGATCGATATTCTACCTATTGAATTGTATTGTCCTTGTTTCAAGTAATTATCTTAACTGAAATTAAAATTGCAGAACATTAATAGTTAAAATACACAGGCGACCGGCTATAATAGGCTTAGGTGGTGTGCTATAATAGTGGATTAAGGATGATCGTGTTCTTATTGAACTACGTATAGACACACAGACATTACATGATTTCAAAAATATATACTTTTAGTGCCTAATTATCTGCACGTTATTTTTTTCATAATACTACCTATATTTTTACAATATGGAATACTTAGCGTATACTCTGGCGAGGTACAGCTAGAGAATAATATGATGAGAACAATCATAGGCGGTACGTGAAAACATATTTTACATTATTAAAAGATATTTTCAAAAATGCATTTAATTCCATATGAATAATGAAGCTACGCTTCTGAAGTATGTTAGAATGAGATGGATCAATCGATCCAATTCATTGTGATTAGATACATTACGTATCATAAGGCCAACAGTCTATAACTTGCGGGTAGGTATTATTAGTAACGGGGACTTCAGACCTCGTGGCGAATATTCTGGAACTACCATTTAATACATTTAAAACTTTATCAGGGTTTATAAGTGATGAAAATAGTATGAACTATAGTATATTCATCATATAGTATATAGTAGGTCATCATTATTTATTGTCCAGGATCCTAACCGCGTGTTCCGGGGTGGTGTATTGTGAATTATGAATAAAATCCGGTAATCTATTGACTTGTTTATTATATTACTCAATTAATAATGACATACGTATTAATTTTACATATTGAGAGACTAAGTGGCAGACGTTTTCCTGCCACTCAGACTCTCAATTAATTAGTGCACTATTTAACGCTACGCATTATGATTGTTTATTTGTACTGCATCAATATACCTGCACTTTCATGAAATCTTCGTTACTTAGCTGAGTAACCAGATAAAAACCTACCTGTATACTCAATAAATTATTTGCATGGTGTTGTTTCTTGCTAGGTTTGTCATCTGATACTGTCGTACGAATTGGACGTTACGTTGACAAAAAATATATAAAAAGTTGATGTTCCTTGCTAAAATCTCGTATATGAATTTGAGTATATGTGAGGGTGTATACGAAATTCTTAGATTCATTGTGCAAAATCAGTTTTTATTAATTACATTACTAAAAACGCAAGTCATGGTGTTTTATCTTTTGCTGTGTCATAATTTTAGTATATATACTGTTTTGTCATGATGTATGCTTCAGTTCGAATTTTACTTATGGTGTATTTGTTCACTACGTACAACAACATTTTAAACACATTTGTGTCTATCGAATAGTGCTATAAACACTGAAATGGCTCCTTTAATTAAATATACAAAGGTAAGTAATTAGTATAGAAACAGTCAACTGATATATGTAGGTATAGATAGGTAGTCGTAGGTATAATATTTTCAAGGTCATATAATCACAACAAGTTATCAAAATATACAAAGATGTTTCTTTGTTTATTTTAAATGTTGTTATTATCTACTATATTAAATAATGGTTATATTTTTTCGACAATTGTGGCGATGGTTTACCATGCTACCTGGTAATGGGATTGAGTTTCACACAGTATACAAGCATTTATATATTTTATTTTATTACAACAAATGTAAGCCTCCACATGGAAGTATGTAAACATTATATAAAAAGTGTAACAACATGTGTAACTAGCAAAAGTTTGCGAGAAATTAATAATATGTCTGAAATTTTGTTATGCAGTCATATTTATTCTAAATCAAGATCTCGCGTCTGTTTATTATAACTATAGGAACATTGTTTCTATACGAATTACCTCGTAAACATGATAGTTATATAATTTAGATAGACGTAATCATTCATCTTAGTAACAAATTATCATTATAAATAAAAACTTGTTAACTTTATGTGTCGGAAAGGAATACATATTTTACAAAGGAGAGGATGTTTGTTAGACTGTTAGTAATGGGATTGAGGCATTTTTTGTATACTACGATGGTGGCAAACAGCCATATAGCTCATCTGATGGTAAACGGTTACCATAGCCAATGGTCTAATTGGCCTGAGTTCATACTCTGACCTTCACATTATTATAAATTAATTCTATCATCTTCCACTTGTGTCCCTTTCCAGCGTAAGCCATTCCGTATTAATCCATTAAATAAATATTAGGTAGCTTTATGTACACTTACGTTACTTCATAGTTGTTAGCGATATAATAATATTGATTTAGGAATGTGATATTTATAAACATGTAATTACAAGTAGGTAAATTATAATTATACTGTAAGAGATGTATGGATATATAAAGTAATATATTGTTTACAGCATTTTATCGACAACGAATGGGTGGATTCCAAGAGTGGAAAGACCTTTGAAACTCGAAATCCTGTGGATGGATCTGTTAATGCTAAAGTGTCTGAGGGTGATAAGGTGAGGGTTTAATCTAATATTTAATTTTTGTTGTATCATGGTCAGATGACAAATTGCAACATTTCATTATATAAGGTGCTACTAAATAAAGCTACTTATACACATAACGTTTATTGTTGTAAAAAAGAAATTTCTTGTCTTGGTAGTATTAAGCTATTTAAAAATATATATTATGTATACTATAACTTCTTCACTGTGCATACATCGGTCCTTATTTAGCTATTGAGTTACGAGTAGTTCACTGATCCTTTGTAGTAGACACTTATCCAAATATACTGCTACCAAAGCGGCAACATGTGTTTTAAGGGAAAATTTACACAAAACGGAATATTATGTTTATTGTATGAAAAAAGGACGTTAAGCATACGAAATTATTATGAGTAAGGTTTAGTTTTCTAATACTTTTTTAAAGCAGTGTATTACTTAATTTATAAATCAGATTATGAATGTTTAATATTATTTTTTTGGTGTTAGCTTGATATTGACGAGGCTGTAAAGGCAGCTCGCCGAGCATTCCACCGCAACTCGGAGTGGCGTCAACTGGATGCGTCACAGCGCGGTCAGATTCTTCAGAATTTTGCAACACTAGTGGAACGAGATGCAGATTATCTTAACCAATTAGAGACGCATGACAATGGCATGATCAAGCTCATGGCAAATATGATGTCAGATTTTGCTGTTAAGAGTATTAGATATATAGCCAGTCTTGCTGACAAAGTCCAGGGATATACAGTGCCGGCTGGTAATTTAATTTCATCTTTTATTATTTCAGAAAAAAAAAGTCTAACTATCATTATTAGAGACCGTAAAAAGTCCGTGGATACGTCAATCTTGCCTATTTCAGGAACCAAACAGCTTGCTTTATTAACTACGTTTCGGTTGTATAGGATGTTATTAGGCAGTGAAGTTACAGGAAATCTTAGTTTTCTGGAATGCCAACGTAAGAGTGGTATCACGGTTGTGACAGATACTGTGTGTCCGTAGTTCTGTTCATGTAGATATATAGGCAACGGTTACCGCTTTACATTAGATGGGATGGGATGATGGCTTATATGTCATTACAATAAAATATCATAGCGGTAGTAGAGGTATTGTTACCTGTCATTGTTGTAATGACTGCGCCACTAAACATTAACCAAATTTCGCTCGGTGCATTTAGAATCCAATGTGGAAGATGGTGAGTCAGACAGAAATATAACTTGACACACAAAGATGTTTTAGATGTCGACTAAAACTGAACTCATGTAAAATAGAATAGTAAAGTACTAGACTATGTATACACTCACTACATTGTTTATTTAGTATTTCTATTAGTAGTAATTCTTTTGCATTGCAAGAATTTAGTTAATTTGATATCTTATTTGTGTTTATTTTAAAGATGGCGATAATTTTTCTTATACACTAAAGCAACCAGTTGGAGTTTGTGGTCTTATCTTACCTTGGAATGGACCAATACTCATGTTTATCGGTAAAGTTGTAACTGCTCTAGCAGCTGGTAAGTAGTAATTGCTTTGTGCTTCGATTTTCTGAATATTTTTTTTTATAATAAGAGCAGGTATTCTGTAAAAATAACATTGAATTACTTACTGATTAATAAAAGGAGTATCAGAGTATAAAACTACTATCGTATTTTGAGCAGTGTTAAATATTAAAACAGCATTTCCTCAAGATTTTTTTTCATCTGCATGTCAGTTTTGTTTTATTTCCTGAGTATTTAACTGTTGAATTAGTTTTTTACATTTCTTATGTTAGTCACCATTTCTTATGTCACGCTGTGTTGGGACATCTAAAAGAAATTTGTTTATATTTAAGACCATCTTTGTTATTATATTATTTACGTTTAATAGGTTGCACCGTTGTCGTGAAGCCTGCTGAGCAGACACCTCTCACTGCCCTTGCTCTGGCTGCTCTTCTAAAAGAGGCTGGTGTACCAAAAGGAGTAGTTAACGTTGTCAATGGCTATGGAGAAACTGCTGGAGTTGCCCTTACACATCATCCTGACGTCGCTAAGATTTCTTTCACTGGATCTGTTGAGGTTCATCATCATTCTTATATATTTTCATTAGACCTTTACGACTATCCTGTTGTATGCTTTCTTGTTTAAGTGAATGTATATGGTTTTTAGTAAATGAATAATTGGATGAGCATTGCCACTTCATTTGTCTTTATTATAATTATTAAGAAGGTTCGTTGCCTAGTGATTTTCTACTGTGACTTACATTCAACACATTATGAACTCACACTTAGTCCGCATCAAAAAAAAACATTTTATATTTCTGACTTTCAGTACTCTGTCAATGTCTCTGGCTATTCCATCTCGAACAACAGTTTTTTTTTGTTATACTGTATATAATTTTATTGCAATCTTTATAATCAGAAAGCTTTGATGACGCTTGTTGAAAAACTTTTGGAACTGTTATTCATTATTACTTGATGTTTATAGGTAGGCAAGCTGATTCAACAGGCAGCTGGGGCCACTAATCTGAAACGAGTAACTCTTGAATTGGGCGGCAAGAGTCCTTTAGTTGTTATGGATGACGCGGACTGTAAGTATACCCACCTAGTTATGACTAATGTGTCTTACATAAACTAATTTTACAGCAAGGGTTCAACCATTAGTTACGTCACATGAATGTCATAATTGTGTCTCATAACTTAGTCCTTGTCACAGCTGGTCATATTTATGAGAATGTCACGTTTCTAGTGTAATGTCACAAATAATGCAATATTACATAGAAATTATTCAATTAAAACAGTTGTTACAAAATTAGTTTACTTAAATTTAAAATGTCTTTTTATATACATGACCAGCAATTCTGAACTGACGTCACGACACGAAATATATGACTCCTCCCACACTTTCAACCGCTTCCTACCCCTTAACGTATAACGTCATTTGTGAACGTCTTAAAAACAACTTACATACGACATAAAATTAGGGATAATATTAAAGCGGTTTTGGTGGGAGTACACCCGGGTGGTATCGGGCGCACTGAGAAATTTGCCCTGATTTCGCTATACACGAGGCAATTTGAAAAACGGTCCAGGCCACTGTCACACTGTTCATGTATTACCCCGGCTTTTAGTGTCGTGTGTAGGCTAATTAATAATACACAATGAGTTAGGTACCTATATATAGAATTTACTACATAGTATAGACAGTACGGTATACTTGTTATTTTAGTGAGTTTGGCAGTGCCAATCGCAGCAAGGGGAGTATTTGCTAATCAGGGTCAAGTGTGCGTAGCTGCATCGCGTCTGTATGTGCAGTCGAGTATCTATGATAAATTTGTCGAAGCAGCTGTCCAATATGCACAGCAGATTAAAGTAGGAGATCCTGCATTAGAGACCACACATCAAGGACCACAGGTAAGTTATATCTTTAAATTACAGCATAAGAAACATGGCACTTTAAGCATATGGAATGGCAACGCATAAGTGATTTTTCATGAAAGAATTTTAAACATGCATCCATCCTCTCGAACTTGATTATATCTGATATGTAAAGTACAATAAATACTAGATGTTAACAGCGACTCTGTCTGCTTCTTTTAGAGGTGAAATGCTTACAAATCCCAAATTAGTCTTGACAAACAGACAGATGGATACACCTTTATATTCGTTTCATAATTATTATTAACCACAGCAATATTTTCATAGATTGACGAATTGATGTTGAATAAAATTTTGGGATATATTGAGAAAGGCAAGAAGGAGGGAGCAAAACTTCTGACCGGTGGTAAGCGTATTGGGACCACAGGATACTTCATTGAGCCAACTGTGTTCGCTGATGTCAATGATGAGATGACAATTGCTAAAGAAGAAGTAAGTATATGTAATATGTAAAGCGTTTATAATTTTTTGCTTGGTGATACTTTCTCCGAACATTTTTTTTCAAGACGACTTTTTACAAAGTTCATGTGACTTTGTAAAAAAAGCTGACTGGCAGCTGAAATAGGTGGTAATCTCACCTATTTCAGCTGCCAGTCAGCTTGCTTCGTAAGCTGTGATTCGGTTGAACGGTCAAATAAAGCAATGAAATTACAGCATAAGAGGCATGATATCTTAGTCTTCTAACGTAATGTCCATAGTGCTATTCTGTTTATAAGGGACAGTTGGCACTTAATATCAGGAATATCGTCTTTTTTTGAATTTGTATGTTAATCTAGTTTCATAATAAAGTATACTACATGTGTAGAATATTATAAAACATATTTGATTCTCTCTACATAGATTTTCGGTCCAGTGCAGAGCATCATTAAATTTGATACGTTAGACGAGGTTATCGATCGTGCCAACAATACGACTTATGGACTCGCCGCTGGTATAATCACTACGAACCTAAATAACGCACTGCACTTCAGCAAACACGTCGAATCTGGTGTCGTTTGGTAATTATATTTGAATTGTGCTTACACTTGTAATATTTCTGTCAACATTCGGCAGTCTTTACTTTTGCTACATGGTTCAATCCGTTTTGGGTGTTCGCGTTTATAACGCGAACACCCAAAACGGATTCAAAATGCGGACCGATTTTACTCTGAACTTAAATCTACATTATATGGAACTCCATATAATTTTACTCTGAACTTAAATCTACATTATATGGAACTCATCTACTATAAATCTTTCTAATGTAGTACAGTCATTTCACCTGAACTTTCACTAACTAAATACTAGATACAGGAAGCAATAAATTAAGTACCAACATCTCATCAATACGAGTATTGGAATCAATATATTTTATTTAACATGTTATATAAATGTCTAAATTTACGTGAACTGATTTTGATATTTCTTTGACAAACTAAAGCTTCTCGCATGGTCGCATGTAATTTTAGGATCTGCCCAGTAGTCAGTTTTTTGGTGGTCTGTACACGGTATTATTATTGTGATTCGTTTCTACTTTGCTAAAAAGTATTTACGAATTACAATATTTTCTCACAAAGATTCAGATATCTGTACAAATTTAGATTAAATCAAGAATGAATGGAATATATGTATTCTAATGTGTTATTTTTTTCCAGGATAAATACTTACCTAATGGGCGGTATCCAAACTCCATTCGGTGGTTTTAAGGATTCCGGGCTTGGTCGCGAAAAGTAAGTAACTATATTACATGTCCATGCTTAAAATTATTTGTGACAATTAGAATATTTAATATTTCCTATAATAATAGCAAGGAAATAGTCTCATAACTCTCATATATTTTTATAAAGAGGAATTGTATTTTTTTTGGGGTATATGTATATTATTCCCAAGTGCTATGAAAAATGTGGAAAAAATATTCATTTTGAGTGCCTCCGCAGCGTGCACTGTGTAAACAGTTAAAGTTACGAATAAAAATATGTATTACTAATCATTGTCCTTCTAAAAAATGTCCATAGCAACTGCTTAGCATGGAATTAGAAAATTAGATATTAGGTATACATATTATAGCCTTGAGATATTATTATACAATAATGCTGTGGTCTATACTACAATAATAAGAGAGAGATAGAGAAAGATTGTAATTATAAATAAATAATTCACGGTTGTTTTTCAGTGGTATTCACGCTTTGGATCCATACTTAGAAGTAAAGACCGTGACCATATCTCTTCCCAAGAAACTGTAGCACTACAGGTGCATAGTATATTACTTTGAAGAATTAATAATGGTAATCGCGAATTCATCTATACATCATACGAAACATATATTTGAAATCACAGTTTAGTCGAGTATATGCAGTTCTTTTTCGAGCAGGATGTGCATTGAGTCATGACTCATGATTAGTTTTGATTTAACATTTAATGGAGTAAATTGACAAAAAAATGGTTTGAGATATATTATAATAAATATATAATTAAATGTAAAGCTTCATATTTAAATCAGTTTAAAAGAATATATAATTGCAACTAGGTTTATATACTCCAGTTAAATAGTCCAAGACTTAGGTCCTAATAGGTAATTTGTTTAGCTAGTATGTTTAGTTACGCTACTAATAAATAATGCGCGAAGTGTTAATTTGCGTGTTGTGATTCTATGTCTATGTTTTCAATCATTTGTAACAAAAAACTGAAAACTGTCAAATGTATTATTTTCATTAAATATTTTATAATTAACTATATTGTGTACCTACATATACAACTTTAATAATTTAACCTACATATAAAATTACAATTTTTAATAAAAATGATAAAAATATATTTGTGCATTATTATTATTTAGTTTTAGTCAAGTCATGCTGACTCATCAATGCTGGATCGAGTGAACAAATTTTAAAATATTAAATAGACGTCAAAGGACGGTTCAAAAGGTAAGAATATATAAAGAAATTGCGAGGGAAATAGTGAAAAAACACTATATTGTGCCATACAAACTGTTCCTAACCCTCAGAATGTGTACAGAAATAAATTTTCCGACTAGACATATTATATAACACTGAGGCGATAAAAAGTACGCCGGGTCAGTGGGCATATTTATAAAACATGATAACTTATTTATTTTTGGAAATAAAAGAGCAAGGGTAAATATAGTTAAGTTAAATGGGATGTTACGAAGTCCTAACATAAAACTTGTGTGTCATCGGTCGAGCTTCGTTAATCATGTTTAATCTGAATTATACACAATAGATCACTATTACTAGAGACCCTATTGTTGTATTGTTGACTATGTTTTGCACTAAAGATGTTGCCTACTGAAGTTTATTACTTTACCTAAACTTCGACTTAAAAATGTATTAGGATATGATTGTATAGTCAATTGTAGATATAAAGATACAGATTCACAGAAAGAGACAGTAAATATATAAACATAATATAATGAGTTAATACTAATATAGTAAGAGTACAGTGGGTATAGACCCACATATTTAATTTGGTTCTTGGTTTAAAAATATATGTATACAGTATTAAATTACTTTAATACATGAACCATAAAGATATAATCTATTTTAATAATACCATGACAGTTTAGAAATAGTTTATGGAAGGGTTCATATAGCCCTTTGTTCACAAGTTGATTTGGTAACGTCATACTTTAACCCAATATGGTCATAAAATGAACTAAACGGTTTTACGTATTTACAATTTCTCCATAAATCTTGGGCGATATTACAAAAAAAAATATATAATACCTATTTATAGAAGCTCAAGTTTTTACTTACTGAATTGATTGAGGTCTTACGTGGTCACTGGTCTTGTTGCATGAAGGCCGTCTCTGATGTCACTATTGTATGTTTTACTGAAGTCTATACCTATAGAAAATTATTTACGGTTCCTACGGTTAGCTTTCTGCTTAACGTCACCAGAGTTTTTGAAGCGTTTCGTTATTGAAATCGAACATTAATCACATGATCACCTGACATTGATTGATAATGGTTAGGTACGTGCCAATATACCCTCACCGAGATGTATACTGTGGCATATATTACCTTAAAGGCATGCAAATAATGCTTGTTATCAAGTTAATTGCAACAATATTATACAAAATCTTGAAAAGTTTCTAAAGCGAATTTAAATTTCAATAACACGTTTTATTTAATATCAGTATTATTTTCTTGTTCTCTTCTGTCTTATTGTTATTTTAGCGCTTAAACTGGTAAGTATATTGTACTTATATAGTTCCATATTTTTCGCGCCATTTATAAACATATCAAGTGGTATGGTATTATTCCCCATATCCTAATCCCTTTCTCGCGCACAGTATATCAACTGAGGTCGCCCGACTACCTCGTCTACTAACGTGAATGATGACATCTCGTCCCAACCGCTCCGCTTTAAATTAATTAATATAATATTTTGACATTAAAAATAAGTAACTTTGTGTGCGTGCCTTGTTAAACTTAGTTTTCAATGAGTGCAGCAGCTGTGCAAGAATACACCCGCTCTACAGTCGCAGGTACGTACTGTGTACCCCTTTATTTCATTCCATACAGTCCATTTACCTTACCCGCTACCCCCCTTTTCTCCACATATATCAAAAGCGAGTTTTAGTCACTGCCTAACGCCATAATATTTATTATTTATTTCGAATAACAAATTGTAATGTTTATTTAAAATATTTAAAAATTACGAGTGAATATCATTTTTAATCTTTATTGTTTTTTATTGGGCAACTATTTTCAAAACATTATATCACATTAAGATAACTCGTCTGATTAGGTATGTTATAATCGGTGTGATGGACAAAAATTGCACGATAAGCGTAATAATATTTATTTTTGTAAGACACAAATGTTATTAGTATGCCTACGATTTTTATTATGTACATCGTACACACACTACTTGCCATTGAAATGCCACATACAATAACACATTATGAGTCAATAGCTCAGAGAGTTCCGTACGATGTATGCATTGGAAACCTGTTAGATGGAGAAATTGTATTCACATTTGTTAGCTTATCGAGAATTCGCGACGGAATGGCTTACAATACGCAAATACCTGAAAACTTACTACCCATTTGAGTACGTCGGTTAAGCTTATACAAGCAAAACGTTACTGTTCGTACTATGTTAGTTTAGCTCGGTCTAGTTCGGCTAAATCCAGTTACGTCGGTATTACAGTAACTTCTATTTTTTGTCAAATCCTTCAACTGAATTGTAGTAGCAACCATCAATTATTGATTTACAGTAGCTGTAACAAAGTTATTATCGAATGAAAATAATCTTATATTTAAGTATGAAGTATTTTGGGAGTAATTTTCCAAATCAACTGATTGAAACTTTCATTGTTATTTTGTGTAAATCCTCCAACACACCGCTCCAAAAGCTCATCCTTACTCAGGTCTTCATAAATTGGTTTCATTGCAGTCAAAACACCATCTGGTAATGGAGTATATTGGTGTTTGAACGATGAGAGAGTACCTGATGCTGATGCTCGCTGCCAGGTGCACCACGTGTCTGGATCTTCAGGACACGTGCTGTTTGTCATCTGGCACGTGCTGTTTGTCATCGCCTTTTAATTTTTTTGCCGACGTACTCGTGAAAGAATTATCATCTACATCAGGATTTTTTGGATTAAACGATTGTTTCCTATTCTTAGGTCTATCTTTTCTACGAACACCTTCCGTTATCTGGGTTCTAGACACTTTAAACGGCATTTTTTATTGAATAAAATTCACAACAAACACTTATAACCTCAAAATAAACTTCGTAGTTTAACGAGAAATCACCAAATGAAATATTTTCCAGTAGTTTACCTTATATAAAGAAAAAAAGGGACAAGAATTACGGCTAACAATAGATGAGCTGCAGCTGCGTTTTACCTACTGCGCCCTCAGCCTATACCTGACCTCGACCGTCCACCTTTTCAAGGCTGTATCTCCGAAATTATTAGTCGGATCAACTTGAAAATTTAGGACAATATTCTAGAGATGTTATAGAATTTAATAAGATTTTTTTAAACCGTGAAACCTATGTAACCCCTCAACGAGGAGTTCTAAAAACAAAGTTACGCAAACCTCTCCAGGTTTCTTATTTGTTAAACACGTAATGTAAAGTTCTACGTGTAAAGCTATAATAAATATGCATAGTTATGGTCTCAGATTCGAACTACGAATAATTAATAAAGAAACGGGTATATCCCATTCCTGCACACTTAATTTGCCAAACTTCACCCTACTTCAATTCTTCCTCAAATATATGATACTGCCTATCATTTTATAAATATAAGAGACCTAACTTTAAGAGATAGCTTCTCTTAAAGTTAGGAAACTGCAGAGACCTGGCTTCTAAAATTTAACTACTCACAAACAAAGATCATTATTTAGTTTGTAAACTTATGTTGTTGAGCTGTTTTCTATATAATATAATATTCAACACATACATATATAACATACTGTTTTCTTAATAGAAATAAATATTATTATCATTACATAAAAATAATCTCAATATATTTGCCACGGTCAAGCGGACGAAGTTAAAATAACGTGACGTAAAATAGGCATATGAAAATGTGGTATAATGCGTAGCTAATGAATATCCAGAACAATTTTGGATTAAACTGTAATTAAAACTACTATGATGTAATTTAGTATTTTACACTCTAGTCAGCTAAAACATTATTATAAATTGAGGTGATTTTCCCTGTGGGGTAATAAACAACATACATTAAAAATCATAGGCATATTGTGTGACCGTCACAGGGTCGTCGTTAATCCTGTTTGCAGAGTTTGATAGTAAAAAGCTGTGTACATGTAATTTTAATATACAAAAATATACTCATGATAACTGGCGTACTAGGGCTCAAAGATTTCAAATTTCATTTGAAGGCACTTAATCATGTCAGCAGGGGAAGGACATCGTTATTAATGGGGACTATTTCTATCCCATTGCTAGCTACTATTGGTATGTCAGTTTGATCTATACGCGGAAACCAGAGTGATATATTATGGTGAATTCCCTATGATGGCCTGATCTGATATTATATTCGTCCTTTTAACTTACTTTCACTGAAAGCCTATCAGTGTGTGCCACTTTAGTACAGACGGCATCACCATGCTTCCCTTTGATTTTCTGTCTGATTTCAACGGGTATCGATATTACAGCTCGAGATTTATACCCTAGGGATGTCTTGAGACTAAAATTGTATACGTCATATACTAAAAACTATATAAGTTGTTCTTCAGCAATTCCAGAAGTTCTTTCGCGTACTGCACCCGACCAAATTTTCATCCTTCATTCGACGAAACAGTAAGGGCCAGCTGCGGCCAACAACATTAGAATAAATCGAAAAAAGGGTTCACTATTCTATCATTATTATAAAAAAATCATGCCACTGATACCAGATTGATTATGTACGAAAAAAGCAAAAGTGTTTTGAAACAGT